AAAAAAAAAAAAAAAAAACAACGTACGTCTAGATCGCAAGAAGAAATCTCAGATATCGAATAAATCCATCTTATGCAAGTGCACGATACCGTTAAGATATTACACTCGATTGCATAATGCCAGCGTAAAAAAAAAAGATAAAAATCATCGCCCGAACTCGATATATCCGCGCGTTTTACGCTCCTTCGCCGCGACCGGTTTACTCCGATTAATCGGAAAATTGGCGGAAATTAAAAGCCGCGAACGGGACAGATCGTTGACCAATTACCGGTAAACTTCGATCTACTCGCGGGTTTCGCTTTCGACGAGACAGACAGACCCCCGACTTCCACGTCATTGGGAAACGATAAATCGTGCACGAAGAAACGCATCGATCCTCGTCCACCAAGGAGGAGAAGGGATTTCGCGGACGAATAAAGCCGTTTCTCGTACTGCGCGCTCCGCATTCGCATCACGCATTTTCGTCTTCCCGTCCCGCCGCTCCTCCTCGCGCGACCGCGAGCGGAAAAGGGACGGGGAACGCGATGGAAAGAGCGGAGTCTCGGAGCCACGACAATGAGGCGGCGGCGCGTGAAGAACAACAATTAAACGAATAAGAAAAGCGGAGAAAAGGGAAGAATAGGAGACGGCGCAAATTCGCGACAAACGCGAGTGGAAGGAAGGTGCGAGGAGAGAGAGGACGACGACCTCGCGAACACCGAATTCGGGAATGAAAGTCCACACGCATGATCTTGTCTTGCAGGAGTTCGCGTTACGCAAAATCGTCCGCGCTTCGTTGTTGCCATCACCGCCGCCGCCGCCGCCGCCGCCGCTATCTCGATCGTAAAGGAGCGGAGCGCGCGTTTACTCGCCGTGACGCGCGCGTGACGTCGGCGCCGATTCACAGACTCACCATCGGGGACGTGACGTTGCTGCGTGTTACGGCGTCGCCGGCCGCCGGTGTGTTGCGTCCCTCTCTCCCGCGGTGCGTTATCGCGCGGCCACACCGCCGTGACGCGGCGTCGACGCTCGCCTCGCGGCCGTTGTTACAACACACGAGTTCGTTAGGCCCCGGTAAGCGCGTGTGGTGACGCCGCCGCCGCCGCCGCCGCCGCCGCCGCCGTCGCCGTCGTTGTCTATACTCCTACTCCGACACTCCTCCTTCTCCTCACCGCCTATTACTCCACCGTCTCCTACCGTCGGCGGGCGCGAATGTGAAATTGCGTGTCGCCGAGGCGTCGCGCGTCGCGTTGCGACGCGACGCCGCGCGACGCCGCGCAGAGCGGCCGCACGCGGAACGCGGAACGTATATGCGAGGACTTTTTTGTCCGTCTCTCTCTCGCTCTGTCTTTCTTTCTCTCTCGCCTGTTTCCTCTCGCGTTTCTCAAACGAATCGATACACCCACGGGTGTCCCGCGCGTTATAACTCGCTGTCGCGAACGTGTGCACGTGCACGACGGACGCGGGACGCCGCCGCGCGCGCGGCAGGCAGCGACAGTGACGGCGGCGGCTCAGGCCGCCGCCGCCGCCGCTTCCAATCGGCGCAGCAGCAGCAGCAGCAGCAGCACCAACCAGTCCCCGCGCGCGATTTACGCGGACGGATGCGAGCTCGTCGGCGGCGCGGAGACGCGACAAGCGGAGGAAACAGCCAGCGCATCGACTGCGGGTCTGCAGCTGGAGGCGGCGACGGTCGGCAGCGGCGGCGGCGGCGGCGGTGACGGCGGCAACGGTTGCGGCGGCGGCGGCGCGCACAACAAAGACGGCGACATCGTTTCCCGATCGTCGGCGTCTGACTTAACTTTGGTTTGCTTTGGCCGACTGCCGACGGGTCACGGCGCTGGTTGCCGGACGCATGCCGCGCGTGCATGGTTGCCGGCCGTGGCCGAGAGCCGCCGGAGACGACCGAGCCAGCTGGCTCGGTGCGGTGCATCATCGAGGGTTGCTACTGCGTCGAAGTTCAAACTTGACGCGAGAACTACCCCCTCGGGTCGGAGCGGTTCTCTCACCGAAACTCTCATGGCGCTCGTGAAATTTGATCGAAAAGAAAAAAAAACCACTATCGGGTGTCGTACATCTGTCGAAAAAGTTTTATTTTTAGCGCACCGTCGGCGTTTGAGGTGAAGAGGTCGAGCAGAATGATCGTATAAAACGGGGACGCTGAAAGACTCTCGTGCTTAACGAGGAAGATAACTTTTGACGGGATGATATATCGAGCGATATATCGCACACAAAGCGGGCTGCACGAAAACGCTTTTCGTAATCGGAAACTAAAGATCGATTTGCCATTGCAGGCTCATTCGTTTCATCGGTTACACGCGTTTGCGAATTCATTTGCTTCATCGGTTACACCCGCGCGGTTGCTCGAACGCAATTCATTGGAGCGCGGGTCACTTGATTTCACGCCAGTGCACACGAATATGCCCCCTTCGTTACAACAATGCGCGACGACGCGACGCTCCCCGAATGCAAATTCGGTGAAATCTCTGTTCCGATCTTGCGCGAAATTTATTTATGTAACACCTACACCGGATATATTCGGCACGCGTCCGCGAATCGCATTTGAATGTATCGGCTCCGTAAACATGCAGCGAGGAAGAATCGTGACGCGGAACAGGAACACCTTCGAGGAATGATGAAGAAATAAAAAAATAGGTCGTAACATCATCGCCGATGTCGAAACCGAGAGAAAGAAACAGACCGAGAGAGAAAGAGAGAGGGAGAAAGGAGCTCGCGTGAGAAGCAATAAACGCTATTACGACGCTATCGTCACACGCGTTTGCGGTGAAGGGCTTGCAGCATCCCGCGCCGTCAATCTCTTCATCGTGATCTCCGCGGTCAACGCGAGAACATTGCCGCGGTATTATGTTTTCAAACGGCCCGACCGCGAAGTTCAACGACGTATTTGTCCCGCTGACACGCCTCGCGCAAAAGCGAGAGGAGGCTCTTTCATTCGAATGAGCGAAACGTCGCGAAAACGAACGCGAGGCATATTGCGCCGATCGATCGGTTAAATTAATTCTCACTTTCCTTTTTTTCTATCGTCGAGCAATCGGCTCGTCGGCGCGTGCCATGGACATTGGTCGACACAGGACGAACCCCTCTTTCGTTCGAATGATATTTAAATAATCAGATGCGCGGCTTCTAAATTTCGTATTTATCAATCTCGAGATCGCAAACTTTGATACACAACGTCGGATTTGAATAACGCACTGAGAGCGTTTGATGTTTGTATAAACTATAATTCCATGATAAAATTATTATTATTAGACACGTCACTTTTTATAATTATAATGTCAGTAATAATTATATTTATTATATTTAATAATAATCAATTTATAGTTCTATCAAATAAATATACATGTATATAGTTTTGATACTGAAAATGACTTTACATTATAGTCACTACAATTATGGTAATTGCAACCATTTTTTCTCTCGGTTCCGCAAGACGGAAGAACAATAATTTCTACTAGGCAAATAGGTGTATTATACGTCAAAAAATCTATATATGTATATTATACGTTAAGAAACTATGTAAAAATAAATTATATATTTATTCATCCGATTATCCATAATTTATTTAATTTTCAGATAGATCGACTATTATAAAGCGGGGATGCAATCTTTACTCAAGATAAACGTTTTCCTCGCCGAAGGCACGGGATAATCTCCGTTTACAAAAAAAATTCTTGATGCTCAGCGCAATTTCTATTAATGGCATAATTGAATTAATAGTGTAATCGCAATCATCGCTAATATCTTTACTTCAGACAAATCGGCATGATGTAACGAGAGTCGCGATGGCAGGAGGGAATTACCCGCCGTGATAATAAGGTACCGCCCGTATAGCGCAGTCGTTAATAAAGATTATGATAGTATAGCGGAAGTAACGTGCGAAGCTTTAGCCGCGTGCGCGCGATTCGTTTGTTAGCTCTCGCGCTCGCCCATGATTGACGTAATATGTCACGCAATCCGCCCACGTGAATTGTGGATAATATAAACTATATATTATTTTTGCGGTTGCCGATATGCGCGTGAGCGCGCAATAATTGCCAATCTCCGTCTCGTTTGTCAGACGTGATTGAAATGTCTAGTCTAGGGTACGAGAGGTCGACTTGTGGAACGCACTTTAGGACCTTGCATTCGGCACTACTACGATGAATTATTACATGAGATTACATTAGATGATTATTTGTAAGCTAATAATCGCAACTCGCATGCAATTAGACCCTTCAGTAAATAAAAGCTAAGATAACTGTGAAGGAACCGAAGCTCAAAGAGAGCTCTCTCAAATTGCAGCAGATTTTCGAACAGCTTCATGAGTAAATCGATTGCGCGTCTAAATCTCTGGTTACAGAGATTATGTGTTCACCCGAGAAATTGACGCAACTTTCGCATCGAGCAGATGAGATGATGTATATTGCGAACAGCATAAATCTATCACGTAAAGACGGACCGCGATTCAGATTTATTGAATGTTCGGCACAAATGTATGCTAATCTATAAAAATACGCGACGATGATCGTATCGTTATATTAAGGTAGTTTTATCGAGTAAATCCCAGTCAAAAGTTAGTCCTTCCATATGACTAATAATTCAGTAAAAACAAGCGTAATTCAATAAAAACATTTTGCATACACTGTATATATATGCGATTGTGTGATGCTTATGTGACAACGTCACACTATCGAGTTGGCGTTAAGCGATAAAACCACCTTAAGACTTTTAATTACAAATATGTGTTTTAATTGTAATTGTAAAATTAATAAAAATTGAAGGTTTTAACATAATTTTCACGGTTCGGATGATACTTGTATTGCTCAATTGGTACTTTTTAGCTCGTTATGTCTAAATACTGCGTGACTAAATATTTCAAAGCAATTGTCATAAATTATAACTGCCAAATTGTAATTGCAAAAATATAAATCTTTTCTTTAACCTTGCACTTTTATTATACGTAGATAAATTAAGATTTTTGGAACTTTTATTTGCGAGGATAAAATGTTGTGAAATGCGAAATGAGTGCAAAGATGAAATATTCAAAATGAGGATAGACATCAAGTTTGCACTTTCTTAACGAATATAAATTAACTCTTAGCATTTATCGAACTGTGTCGAAATTCGTGATTCGCCGGCACGAAGCGACCCAGCAAACACCGAATATAATTGCCATATAGCATAGATATAAAACGTGTGAATTTACATATATGTTATATGGCAGTTGTGTCTGTGTGTAAACATGTATTAGCATAAACTCGAGGCGATCCTTTCGACTATGACAAATTGATAACAAAAACCTTCGAACAAACTTTCGATCGCTATTATTACTTTCGGATCTGTCAAGGACCACCGCGACGACGCGACAGTCGTGACGTACAGCGAGAGAATTAATTAGTGCCGTCGCGAAAATGAGGCGATAACGAAATTTGATTCCTTCTTTTTTTTTAATATTTTTTTTAAGTGAACAGAGGTGACCGCGATTGACATGAGACCCGTGGCGTGGCAAATGTCGCGAATGTTGCAACGAGAACGTTGTAAGGAATGCAACTCGTCGAGAGTCCCCGACCCAGTGTCACTATTACGATTCACTCTGCCTAGGAGAGTGCTCGAGCTACGATCAAATGTATGCGTATGCATGCGTATGACACCTTTGAAATTGTTTTGTTACAAGCCAAGTGCGTAGAGAGACTCGCGCAATGTGCCGCGTTAAGCCTCGAATCGATTTGAGTTAAATTCAGATTTAGATCTAATTAGTTTATAGATTTAGCGAATATCTTACAATTAGTCAAGTGTTAACAATATTAATTTTAACTCTTCGAAGAAAAATGAAATTTTAAGTCACTAAATTATTCATTTGTGTTTGAGAACTGCAAAAATCGTAATATCGTAGCAAAAATATACATTCACTTTTTCTTTAAAAAATATCAAATTACATAAACGAATAATTAAATTGCTGATTGATACAAAATAATTTTATTTTTTTAACATTTTAAATATTATAATATTTAGAATATTTAAAATATTAAAACATTTTCAAATATGTAATAGTGAAAGTATATAATAATAATGAAAGGACACCGTACATATGTGGAACGATCGATTTTCAATAATCTCCGTTAAAATATATATTTTATTCGAAAGAATAAGTAAGAGAATGATAGAATCAATCATTGATCAATCAGTTTATTGATAATTGAATAATAAACAGTTGTGAGAGCTCGCAAACGATGACCGAGTTTCTGTATCTTGAATTAGGTTACAGCATCTCGATTAGAGAATGTCTGTGCAAATGCATGGCATTGTGCGATAACGGCACGTGTCGAGAGTTAATTAGACTTTCAAATCGGCAACACTTACACCTTTTAAGTCGACAAAGAGGCGCGTACGTGAGAACTGACATGGACAAGGGAAAAGAAATTTCGGTAGGAAAAGATCTCGAGTAGTACGAAACGTCGCGGATATATCACTTTATTCATATGACGTCTACTAATCTCGCGATTTATTGAAAAGTCCAGTTCTCAGATATGTGAAACGACCAACCCTGAACTCGCGCCTGATTTCCACGAAAAGATAAGATCTATCCGACCGGTTGTTCAGCGAGTAATCGAGAGCTAAGCTGACCGTCGACACGTCGGGCACCCTTGCACCACTAGCCAACATCCAGTCGATCGCCTTCGACGCCCATCCAGTCGATCTTTGCGTTTGATTTATAGTATCTTTTTATAGCGCGACATTGCGTGCTTTCGACGTGTAATGCTATTGCGCAATAAGTGATGGGATTTTGCATACAATAATTTCTAACGCTCCTTGACTTATACTAACCGGCCGCGAATAATCAACCTGTGACAGTCTAATATGTTAATAATCGCGAGATATTGCAACATATTTTTCTAGTACTCGATGATAATTAGAATGGATTGCATACGTACGCGTGTACGTCAAATGACGACCTTGGATCAAAATTAAACCCCGTGGAAAGCAAGGCGAGCGTGTACTGGACCGGAAAAGGAATCAACAAAAAAAGAAATAAGTACAGCGCAAGGCACCGCTTTTTACATTGTTTTCGTTTAAATCGAGCGCGACTTATTATTTGTCCCGTCTTATTATTTACTATCGCGCGTGCGCGTCAGCGGAATTTTCGCTACGCTGTATGTATACTACAACATCGCCGTAAACGCGGATGCCAGCATATTTCGAGCGATATCGACAAAAATAGTCTTACACTACCATACAAGAGCTTTGTTACGCGAGATGGCTTGTAAGATAAAAAAATTTATGTTGCCAGAATTGTTTTACAAGATAAAAAGATGGTTTGCATTTTTCTTTTTAAAAATTAAAAGATCTGACAAATACGGTTTTCTTTTGTTCGTGCTTTACATAACGAAACGGTTAGGACTTGGATGATAATCGCCATTTTTCAAGGCCGTAACTGTTAACAGAAAATATGTTCGGTTAGGACAAAGACGGTAACGGAATGCCTCAAGGATAGCTTTAATTGCAGGCTGATCTCGAAGCCATCAGCACCGTTCCGCTTATGAATGACCGCACTAAAACCGCCGTCGAATCCTAATCGATTGCCGCGCCGTTGAACAATATCGAATCTAAATGTGTCTTTGTTGCAACGGCACACCTCGTTACAACGTGACGGATAGCGCGTTAAATTCTAAAGGTACCAACTCATGTGTCAGTCATTTATTGACGCGCGCGTCACGAGTCATAATTTATAACAATCTCTTTTTGTCGGAAACAATTATAATTTTTGTGTGTAAAGAATGATTTTGTTGAAAGGTCTAAAAATTTTGCTGAATACAGATCTGAAAATTAACTCTTGTTGAATCATCAAAAAATTTTGTTTGAATGTTAAAAATGGTAAGCATATATAAAACGTTTTGATATTTTAGTAATTATTTTGATTTTTCAACAAAATTATTTTAATTATTAAACAAAAATTATCTTCAGATCTGTATCCAGCAAAATTGTTCTTTCCGTCTGTGAGCTCAGGTCTTCACTTGCACACAAACTTTTGAACACTGGCGACAAACGCGATGACGCTTTTGCAGTTGGATAAATTCAACTGTAAACGCGTCAAACGCGACAGTGCTATAGAAGTCATTACCCAGACAGAAATGATCGGTCCAAAAGACGTCGATTCGATGTGCCTGTTATGATTATTTGTGCCTTGTTACACTTAATTTAGCTATTTCTCAAATGACGCGTGACGCGCGCGTCAAATGACGCGCATATGAGTAGGTACCTTAACGCGGCGACGCTGCGCGCGGCGTAATTTTCCCTTTCATCGAGTCGTTCACGAACTGCGATTTCATTCTCTTACATAAATTTTCCTTCTATAATCGCTACTATCCTCAAATGTATACGCGTTTGTGATTCACTTTCACGCTGACCCTGAGGCCCGTTCGTTTCGTCGCTCTCGCACACGTGCAGTTTCAAGTTGCGAAGGCGTGTAACCATTTTTGAGAAACACGGGAAAATCACTTCTTTTTTTTTAATACAAGAACCGTGACAGATGTGCAATCGCTTTAAGGCAATTATACAAATGACCGCGGTGATGAATAATAATCTTCTTAATTTGTCAAAAATTTAAATATTAACACGCCACTCAATTCGTTTAGTCACGCGAAAATCCCCCGGTAATTTTTTTTTGTTTTGTTTAGATGCACCTATCTGGAGCTCTCGGAATCCCAAATTATTTTTTTTCCTTCTTTTAGGTGCTTTCGTGGTTTCGAATAAAAAACCGGCCGAAAAAGTGACTCAACGTCTTCGCAACGATGGGCAGGGATTTTCGTACCGACGCGGACGTTCCAGGAATTTTTAGTTCGAATATTTCATGGCCATTGTTAAGCCTTCTCGAACCACCAACGCGCGACGCGTTTCGTCGTGAGCAACTCCTTCGCGCAGTTACATCTATTCACTCAATTTTTTTTTTGTTTTCGACGGCGAGGTCCTCGAAACGGAAAGAGTGGGAGCGAAGCGACGAGCGGCGGCGTGTGTACGTGCGGGGCACGGCATCCACCCCTCTTCTCCGGCCTCCCTATCGGCAAGGTGGCACACAGGTGACTTCGTCGTTCCGCGATCGAACCGCGATCACTCGTAAAGCTCGCGTTCGAACAGCCAGGCAATTGGGAGATCGCGAATACACAGCCCGTACGTGTCGTTCGCTCCGACCGGCCGGGTACTATATACGATACGGTCTTCACGAGAGATAGAGCACCTTCGGTGATTCGGATAACAAAATCTTCACCGAATGTCGGCTTCCCGATGACGATCGCGCAAATGCGAACGTGATCCACGATCGATCTCTTGAGAGAAAGAGAGAGACCTACGATCGCGGGCACGAATCGTTTTGAACCGTCCGATTATACTCCCGCGGCGTGAAACACTTGTTCGTCCGTTCGGCGCGTAAAGAGCGTTGTTTGGAGGGCTCGTTGGAGGGGGCGAAATGGGGACATTTGTGAGGATTTGGGCGATTTTCTGTCTGATCGGTTTGTCGCGCGCCGAGTCGCCGGTGGAGGTCTTGACATCCTCGAGCAGTCTCGGCACCTTCGAGGAAGAGGACATACTACGCGTGCTTGAGCGCAACAAGACCGACACGACGAAGAACTTCACTTTCGTCGAGCTGATCAGCAGCCTCGGCAATTACACGATCGACACCGAGAAAGATCTATGGAGTGACGACAGGCCGGAAGTGCATCACACGAATCCGCACTATGGTGAGTGATAGTCCAGAGCTCCATTACGTTATCTACGCGAAGACAGTATAGAATATCTATACTCTATCGGATACTCTCTCTCTCTCTCTCTCTCTCTCTCTCTCTCTCTCGTAACACACAAGTTTGCGAAATTGAGTTTGATGTTATCTAACATTTCGCCAATCGTATTTCGCAAGGCTGAAATTGTATTTTTTGTGAAGATTAACATAAAATGTCAAGAGATAATGATTGCTCATGAGAAACGTGATGAATTTTAGTTTCACTAATTGATACTTCATCGTCAAATCGTTCAAATGTGTTTCAATTTAATTTTAATTTAATGAACAAATCTGCACGTGCGGCCGAACTGAATAAGTGGCTAAACGAGTAAACAAGTGACTTTCCGGTAAATGGTACCTCTGTATACATTTTTAATTCAGCGGGTGCCACTCGCGTGGCACGAACGAGTAAATAATTTCAGAACTCGTTGATGTGTTGATAGGTTGATAGGCCGCGGTGCATATCGTCATTTGTAGCAATCGCGTGCACCGACTTCATCTTTTAAACATTAGCCGTTAATTGTAAAATCCACTCGCGACAATCGAAATTCGCACCTGCCGGCGCGCGCGCGCGCTAGCTCTCGTAATTAACAAAATGCTATTAACCTTTGATCGAGCGCGAATGGAATGGAATAAACACACACGCGCCTATACTCTTGAACGCTAAAAGTAATTGACTTCGATGATTTGTCGAAATTTATAGCGAGAAAGGAGCGGAGATTCCGCGATTCGTACTAATTTTCCCCTCGCGAGCCTGCGGTAAAACGTGTAATCGCTGCACTTTTACAAATCGAAGGCCGTACGCCGCGTGCATTTATTCCACCTGCGTGTATACTCGCGCGAATGCCGATCACGTTGATTCACAAGTACATCAAGTAACGTAAGAAAGATTCGGCGTATATATCGGAGCTGCCTTCTTTCGATTCCGAGAATGTCCAAACGGCGCCGACTCGAGTCTCGGATAGAAGAAGAAATTATTTCAATCCTCCGTACAAATATAGCGCGTCTGCGATCCGATCGTCTGGTATAACCAAGGATATCCTCACCGGAGGATTCTTTATCGACATATTTTGTCGAAGTCGAGCGCGGCGAGGAATGCATGCGTCCGCAGAAAACCGCACTGACCTTAATTGCCGTACTGATACTCGCGGTATACTTTATACCTCGATATATAGGCTCTCAGGAGCTGACTCTTAAATAAACTCTTTTAATTTTACTACGCGATTAGTCAATAACTTAATCAATTTTCTTTACTTTTTATTTCATGAAATTGAGAAGAATTTGAGAAAGATTGTGTTTGAGAAGATCACGTACATTTAGATTCAGTCATTCTCTTTTTTTTCTATTATCAAAATTTACAAGATATCAAAGGACGATATTTCGACACGCGCGAGAGCGACATTTAGCGGCGGTATATCGTATACGCATTATGCGCCGATGCACCGGCGAACGTGACTGCAGTACTTGCGGTGTGACATAACCGAAGTCTTGAAGATTTCAATGTAGGAAATCACCTCACGAAAGGTATGTCGACATTTCGGCATACTTTTAATACAAACCGTTAGCAAACCACTGGCGATTCGAGAGCGTTAAGAGTCCAGGGATTCACAATATATTTTTACAATGTATACTAAATTGAAATATAAAATAAATAAATTAAAATATTTAATTATTAAATTAATTAAAATAAATTAAATTTTATATATATTTCAAATGTTTATATTTTGTATTGTCACATCTTTGTACTTAACGCGTCAGTATATTAAAATAATAGACAATTTAACGCGTGACAAACTTTAATATCTTATAATTAATTTCCGAAATAATTTATAACGCGTTTATAACCCTACATCTGTGCGTAATTATTATTTGAACATAATAACTTCGTTCACGTCCCATCAGCCATGACTAACTCAGACATATATTGTCATTAACGTATCCGCCTAGATCCGCTTGTACTTTTAACAATCCAAACCAGTCATTCGTTACGCGACGGGTTTCGACGGTAAGAATCTGATTTCCTATATAGTTTATCAATTGAATAGCTGATGTATAACTCATTTGGGAAACCGGTTATGTTCGCCAAATTATGAGCGCGTAAGTTAGAGATGCAGCAAAAAAAGAAAAGGGGGAGGTCCAGGTATTCCTTATTCGCATACATTTTGTACAACATCCGCTATAAAACGGGTTTCCACAGGCTTAGACTTGGGTATTTGTGACGAAAAGTCCTGTTAAGAGCGATTTCGATCGGAGATTTCGGATTCTCGTTGCCGTGACCTTCTTTCCTGGACGGATAATTAACTTCGGTTTTCTTATCGTTCGCGTCTCTTTAATGCGTAACATCCGCATCTGATTTGAAGTGATTACTTCGCTGTTCTAAGAGACGTGTTTTTTGCAGCGCTGATGCTGTAACGATCGCTTGTCAGATCCAAGCTACCGCTCATTATAGTCTGGTTATAACAAATGGACTTGAGTTATGTTTTTAAATTGATTCAACCTTTAACTATCTGCACACGATAACCCGCAATACGCAACGCGCGTTACTCGCGCGTGGTAGTACGCATGTAATTCAACGTTACGCGCCGCTGTATTAAGCGCGTGTGAGTCACGGGCTATATCCGTTAAGCAAATGCCTACCTGATTTATACAAGATTCGAAGCTGAAATTGGGAACTTGATCGTGGAAACGTCGTCTATACTAAAAAAATCTTTCCCCCAAAAAAATCTTCAGAGATGCGTAAGCGACGATTGGGAAATTCAGATTTTACGCAAAACTCATCTCTGTAATTATTTACGTAAGCGGGTATATTTTTTCTTCACATGTAATATAATATTTTACATTATTTTACAATTAATATGTAGAACAGTGTCGTTCCAATTTCAATATTTTTCAATATTGAAAAGATTATATTGATTGAAAAGTTTCTTCGGCTGATGTATTTACAGACAAGAGTGGCTCAGATATTAATCATACAATATTGCATATTTGATAAAATTCATCTAATAATTTAATAGATATCGCAAAAAGAGACGTATCGATAAAAAAAAGAATCAAGAAAGCGTTAAATTGAAAAATTCAGCTATATTAAGAATTTGAAAAAATTTTATATATAGTATGTATGATATAAAAAGACAGACTTAAAGATTTAGTACTTCTTGATACATTTTTTTTTTAAATATTGTGATCAACGGTCTCTGCCGATGAAAAAAAGCATTCATCAGAATCAGATTTACGAGCGTATAACAGGTCATTTTTCGACTATATCTGAAGTTCAGAAATTATATATTTTCCATTAATTGGAAATCAAATTTCGGCATAATTCGGAAGAACGAGAGTTTTTTTAAATGTCACATTATTTAATTATTTAATGTCACCTTGACTTTTATATGCGCCTTATCGTCATATCTATTTCCACCGGAGAATTGAATTCACCTTGATTTGCTCTATAATTTTTCTTACAAAGCAGCCGACATAAGAAAAAAATTTAGGTTCGGCCGTGCCGAATTCTATAATTTCGATGCTTCGATTTCTAATTCGGATTTCCCATCGCCGCAGGCGCGGCGGGGATTCGTAGAGTGTGTCCCAACGCATGTTAAATTATTACAGAATCGAGAGGAGAGAATTCTTGAAGGCACCGTCACACAAATGGAATAAGGAAACGGTAAATTTATTATTGTGGAAATTAGCCAGACCAAAGTTCGTCGTGCAATTGAACTTCGTCCGTCGCTTACTCACCACGTCATTAATCGTACGTCATTAATCGAGGAATGCTGTCGAATTTCCACCGCACGCGGATTGTCGCTCGCGACTCCTTTGGTAGCGGAAAGTAAATATTATCACATGCTGCATTACGCAACGCACGTAGCATGTGCAGCATTGCCGGTGGACCGAGGTAAGGTCGGGAATGCGGCAGTATATTCAATGGTTCATGGTCATTACCGTCGGTACCCGCATGATCTGTAACGATACTTGAAACAATGAATATACCCTGTATAAGGGCTTCAGTTAATTGTAAGTGCGCTGCACTTACATCGATGATGCTGTGTACAGCCACGGTAATCGATTCTGTCTCTCGGAAATTATCACATACCCAGAAATGATCACTTTTCTACATTAATGCATATATAGTCCATGCACGATTTCGTTTCGTTAATCGTGCATGGACCATGATGAATATTAATGTAGAAAAGTGATCACTTCTGAGTGAAAATTTCTTTGTGAAAATTTCCGAGGGACAGAATTGAGTACCGTGGGTGTATGAGTGAATGTTTCATAGGAAAATTCAGCGCAGGGCAGCGTTCAGAAATTTCGCCCGGGTGCATCTAGATATCATTTTAACATTCGGTAAGTAACAAGGATAAAATGACATACCGTGAATCCCTGAACGCACCCCTGCTTTCCACCTCTGCAACTATATAAACTTGATTCCCTTGCCACTTGCCCACTCCCGTCTTTCGTCTCGGTGTCTCGTTTGATGATACAATGTATACTAATTTCGATACGATTCTCAATTTGAATTCACATCTGTAGGATAATCTAGCGAAAGTTTCCTAACCTTCACACTAATAGGTTTAATAGCCTATAAAGATATGGGTGAATGAGAGAAGGATTAACCTTCGAAATCAAGGTCTTCTATCAAAGTCTTCTCGGCCATGGTCAATAAAAGTTATATTTGGCACGTAATTAAATCTCTGTGTGTGTGTGCGCGCGCGCGCGTGTGTGTTCTATGTTAATATTTTAACGATTAGCTAATGTAATGCAATGCGTTACTTTCGTATAAATATACATAGAATGCAGATTATAGAAATTTCTAATATCATTATAGGTATTATATCGTACACAAATCCGTAGATAAGTGACACAACGTGTAATCGTTGCCGTTGCGACACAACCGTTGCTTCCTACCGAAAATAATTGAATTTTAGATGACTAAAACTCACCGATATGCGTGCATGTTTCTCAGAAAACTTTCAGATGTAACGTGAGGAGACGATGTGAAAGTAATAAACAACTGATTAGTGAATAAAATATCCGATGAAAGTTCAGTCAAGGTCCCAATCGGAATTGCTAATTCGTCATTTCTTAACTGCTTTAATTTTTGGAACAGTAAGACAAGAGTAAGAAGAGATAAACCGATACGTGACTAATCAATTACCTGAGATTTACGGTGTACAGCATCGGTGTACGGCGTACGGTATCATTTCACTAAATCCTGCGCAATGCATACGTTGATATAGCAAGAGACGCGGCAACGTCTCGCGCCAAGAAATTTTATTGATAAAGTACGTATTTAATTCGTGAACGAGACGTGCTTCTCGAGAATGAGAACGCTTTTCTGAAGATAAATTGTTATTCGAAAGATGCAGATATCGGAGAAGAGCGTAGACTTTTTACAATGAGATATCGCAGACAAATGCAGTCGATGGATGGATGGATATACGAATATATGAGGCGCCCACCGCAAAAGTGGCCCAACTGTAAAAATTCCTATTTTAAAGCGCTAATGATTTCATATTTAACGCATCGTGGCTTTGATAGTAATTTTAAAGTGTTAATAGTTTCACAAGCTATTATATAACTTACGAGACTATTAACGCTTTAAAATAGAGGAAACCGAGCGTTAAACGTCTCATAATGCGTGCGTTTCTCTTTCCGATTTTATGCCATTCAGGATACACCGTCGTCGTGGTGTTTGCAAAAAATTCCGCAAAATAACGAAATGAGGAATGCGTACAAAGAGACGCCTTGATTCCTTGTCGCCGCTTTCGGTGGAAAGTCCTTGCCGTTTAACGCATTCGGATTCGGTGGAATGCTCACTTATTGTATATATGTCCAACGTGTGAAATCGCGTGTAACCAATAAACAAGGACGCATCTGGTGAGTAAAACGTATACATTTGCAATACAATTGAGAAGGAAAGAGGGAGATACGTTCAATGTCCACACACATAACGTTTCGTAACGTAGCGTCGGTTTTATGGACATTCCGCGGTATCAGGCACACGACATTTGCCGTCGATATAACTGTTTTTCTCAACGCTTTATCCGAATAAATTGGCAATTAAATTGCAGTAGTAATCGTAATGGGTGATAATTCTTTTCTGATTGTTTATCGTCATGCAGCAAACTGATGCCTGCAGTTGCTAAAATGTCCGCGGCACGCTTTAACGCGGACACTGGAATAATTCGTCCCAAACGGAAGAAACTTTGACATTACTCACTTTTAGCAGGCGAAATGATATCTGAGATGCGATTTAATTTATTCCGGAGCGAACAAGAACATCCGACGATTTTGCTGCGAATGAGGGTTTAAAGGTTTGAGTTACGACCGAAAAGCAGGCGATAAATTTTTTTTCTAAACTATTAATTTACGCTTCAGTCACGCCTCCTTGAGACGAGTATGAAATCCACGCTGGCGCGTGGCTGGCAATGAGCGTGTTTGATGAGAAGCTAATGAAGATACACAGATACGCATCCGACCCTCCTTGCCCGCGACGCGTTAATTGCCAGCACAACAAGACGTCGTAAATCCCATTGGGAGACGTAACGATATTTACACGACGGATTGACACTGCCGATCATTATCGCGTTTCGTAATGCAATTTCGTGCTCGCACGCATAACGCAGGTAGTTCTCTGCTTTGAAAGAGTTCCAATTATCGCGCGCCTTTATGTATTACGTATCGTCGGAAGTAGGACCGCCTTATCATCTATCTGACCGCCAAACCGGTTCGGTTTCGAATTTATTAGGGCCATTAGTAGGGCCAGAAAAAAATGCGTGCTATCAGCGCTATTACTTCACTTCGTCCTTGTTTACGACTAATTAACAATAAAAATAAAATGACATGTAATAGTACTGGTGGCGCGCTTCCCGAAACCATAGTCTAGTATTATATATTTGCGCTTTTGAACCTATAAGCAGTAAAACGTAAAGCGATAATGCAATACGTTTTTCTGTCTGCTAGAGTGCTCTATTGCATTATTTCATCCTTATTCTATATAGGGCTAATTAAAGATAAAGATAAAATGGCATATAACAGCGCTGATAGTTTCCCGAAGCCATAGTCTAGCATATTTGCACCTTTGAACCTAAGCAGTAAAACATAAAGCGATAATGCAATACTGCTTACGTTTTTCTGTATGCTAGAGTGCCCTAAGGGCTCCCGTGTACAAATTTCTGTAACCGTATAATTATAAAACGTTACGTAAAAATTGGCCAACGAATAAGTGGATAGAGCAATTCATCAAGTTCGTAGAGCCCCCCTACGATTGGTTAAATTGTTCTACACACTCATTTATTGACTAATACCGTCTTACACGACTACGGGCCCAACTCTTTATGTAACGGGCGTCAATTGTGTCATTATCACGTTTGCCCGTTCAAACGCGGCCCGCGAGAAAATTCGGTTGCGCATTCGTAAGGCGACGACGATGGGATTTTTAAACGCAACGACGTCGCAGAAGATCTCTCACGAGTAAACCAACGAATTGCTCTTTCGCCCATAGGTACACCTATATGCGCGTCGCATTTTACGCGGCCAGGCAGGCAGGCAGGTTGCCACAGCCTGATCGAGCGCGGACAAACCGCGGACAAACGCTTAAGTGATTCCGTTCGCGCGGAGACGATCGCGCGCGCCGCGTCCCGATTTCGACACCGGCACCGATCGCGCGCCTCGTGTAACTCCTCTGTGAACGTCCGGCTCCATTTTCCATACTTCGATTGCCACACGTTTGCCACCGCGAGAAAATGACGTCGTAACCCCCCTCGGTGGAACAATGGAAATCGGGTCGATTATCCGCTGCCGCGGAAAGACCGCGCGCGGGCAACGAGGATGCCCTCGAAGAAAACCGCGCGCGGGCAACTGACGTAATCGATATAGCTATAATAAAAATTAAAAATCATAATATACTGGAAAATTAGAAATGCCGTATCGTTAAGATGTTTATATACACGGTTAACTGTCGTATTAACGTGCGAGCGTTTGATGCAGAATTTACAGCCGCGGTGATGCAACCGCGATAATTATAATATGCAACACACGCCACTTTCTATACACATGCAGCTTTCAAGGAGCGCCCTATCAACGCCTGCATCATTTTGTCCTTGTTTTACGACTAATTAACGAAAAAGATAAGATATACACAATATAGCGCAACGGCGCGCTTCCCGAACGCAGCCATGGTCTGGTATACTTGCGCTTTTAAAATTCGTTTTTTTTTTCTACTCAGTTCACCGACAGGCTACAGAAAATTGTGATCCGCAGTTTTTTTTTAATGAATAATAAACGATCCCGTCGACAGCAGCTTTAAAAAATTGACAAACGAAGCGTATGTGACTATTTTTTACAGTGATTTTTAAGTGCATCGTAAAATACCAAAAGAATTGATCAGAATCCGACCATCGGTTTATCGGATTCTGATCAATTCTTTCAGCATTTTACGACGCACTTAAAAATCACTATAAAAAATAGTCACATACACTTCGTTTGTCAATTTTTTAAAACTGCTGTCGACGGGATCATTTATTATTCATTAAAAAAAAACTGCTTATTTTTTAGCTATACAGAGAATTAACGCTGTAACTTATATTTGAACGACGTAAAATTAAAAGAACGATTAAATAATTTGTTATCAATAAGACCTTTTCGCATAAGTCTTGCGTCTTTAGCGCATAAAATACGTAGCTTTCAATAATACAAAAAAAAAGTTGTTCGCTCACAAATTCTATTTCAGATTATGCAATAATTATTCTTCGCATGCTATAAATTGTTAAGAATGCCTTCATTCAAGCTGCCTAATTATACATAATACTGGTTCAACGTTAATCTGGGAATACCGAGTTTGAAATTTGTACATTGACCTTCGCCATAATTTTATAATGATGTCTGCACCCAACGCGGTTCAACGACCTACATATCCACTTCTACTTCGCTCAATTTCGTCGAGTTATCTCATTAGCTCGTCTACAAGACCAGCCATCAATTCGATTATCGAATAATATAATTTGCCACGTGAAGCGAAGCTCGATTAATACTTCATTATATTGAGAGAAAAAGAGACGAGAAACGTGTTGAATTGACAAGTCAGTTTAATCTGCGCCATTCAGATCGCATTTGTGACTGTTGTAAGATAAATTGAATTACACATATTTCAGATATGGCGTTTTCAATGTAACTAATTCCGAATAATCCCAGTCGGATTACAACGAATGACTTGTACGAACCTTACCCGAAAATTTCGCTTCCGTTTGATCCCAGATTGCGTCACCGTTTGCGAACGAGCGCGCCGGGAGGTATCTTAATAGCTCTCCCGCATTATCATGTCAATGTCAGGCGCGAGCGTGGCTTTTACGTCGATAAAATTCCTCGCCCGTTTGAACACGAGGCACGTAGACGGTCTCATGCGATTTACGTGAATCCCCCGACGATGTACTAATTCGCGAGAGAGAGAGAGAGAGAGAGAGAGAGAGAGAGAGAAGGCTTTGTTTTCGCGCGACTTTCCCTTGCTTTCGCACGCTTTAATACGAGTCAAGAGTAAACTCCCTTAATACGCGATTATCTGTGATTTCCGGATATTGGGGAGGCATTAAAAGAATTCCACGCTTTTCTTTTCCAGAGGACTTTCCCGAGAAAATCGATCTCGAGGCACGCAGACTGTTGCAAATCCTTCCCCCTTACGATCCCGGCGCGGGAGGCGTCAGCGCGGAATGCAAACGACACGCCGACATCTTCCACGAGGAGCTCGCCAAGTTCACGCTGTGGGCGCTCAAAAGTAAGTGTCGACTAACCGATATCATCGAATAAGTATAATACCTATGAGTCGGAAACGCGCGACGTAAGGTCAATCGAAGATAGCGCAACTGTGATTTGAAATCAAATTACACGACAGTGTAATTATTGTACGGAAGCCTCACTTCCGAGAAGCTCCGTCCTTGGAACGAACATTGTGAGAACGGAACTCGGAATACGTACGTATACATCGATCGTAGAGCACGAAAATAAACAACGACGAACGAATTTGTATTTAATGATCCTTCACAAGTGGCCCGAATGACTGTACGGAACGCTCTATTCGTAGACCAAGCATTAATGCCGCACGCTATTCGGCACGCGGCATGAGGGATTTGGCAACGATTGCTTCAAGATATCGCGGCTGCTCGCCAGATATCTCTTTTTTTTCTTCTTTGTCCGAATTCACCTTGCTCGTCAGCGCGCAATTGTTTTTTTTCTATATCAAATGACGCGCATGTCTCACGCACGGTATAATTATCATCGTGTTTTTTTTTTTTCAACGGATGGATCAAAATTCGCTGTCGAGTTTGCTCAATGCGACCGATGACATTGAATTGCGAGGATCGTCCTCACGGCCGAGGGGGCCGGTCCCGCCTTTCTATTTTCGCAATATCGATCACCTTTCGACTGTTTTAGTGTACGACGCGACCGCGAAGGTGCCTTCCGGCCTTCTGAGCGGCAATGTCAATCAATTCGGCGACTTCGACGAGTGCGTCGGTGTCGAGGGCAAGGATGGCATCCGCGGGCAGTATTGCCTGGCGTATCTGCAGCTGGACGTCGACCAGTCCCGGCCGGACCTCAAGTACCTGCATCGCCTGCTGCATTCGCATTACGCGTTTCGTAGCAACATGACCGACGTGAGTTTGTGTGCGTGTGCGTGTGTAATGTGGCATTCTTCGCGATGCGCGCCACGTGGACCAACGTGATCGATCGTTTCGCAATCAATCACCGCATCTTATCGCGATATCTCACGTTCGCGAGCGGGAACGGCCGGTCGGATCGGCACGTATATAGAATATCAAAACCTTTATCAAGTCTTTAAACTGTTCATCGCCTTAAACTGTATTCGCTCGGCAGCCAAATTATATATACGATAAAAGCAGCACGTGCACGACCGCCTTTCTCTCTCTCTCTCTTTCTCTTTCTCTTTCTTTCAATGTATTCCGAACGAGAATACGTCACAGAAATATAATTTATTTACAGATAGATCGCATTAATAAATATAAACGATCTAATTAATGTAACGACACGCAGAAAAAGGATTGGCCAACGCAGCTAAAATATAGCCGTGGCAGCAAGGTGTGTCTTTAAAATAGGGACAGCTAATATCATTACTGCCAAAAATGCTAAATTTATTAAAATTGTTAAAATTTAATTTTTTGCTACAGCAAAAAATCTTTGCTGCAGCTAGAATCAAATGACGTTTAACTAATTCTATTGAGAAATATCCAAACTTTTAAATTTTTTAACAAAATCATTCTTTCCGTATGCTGCACTTTCATAGCTACTCCTGTTAAAATACGCTTTTATTTTAGCTAATAAAATTGTATCACGCAACAAATATATTTTATTTTTAATAGATAACTTTTAGTAATGACAGCAAAGTTCGAACTAACTACTGATAATGCTAAGTCATTTTTTTGCGTGGAGATACACGAGCGTTAAAGTTTTTAACCGGGAAAATAATCGACCGTATATAGGAATCGCGTAACTTCCGTGTGAAAAATGTATTTCCATATCGGTATTTCCCCGCGCGGACTTTTAATGCTCCCGGTATTTTAATGATTCGGCGGATCATCGTCGGCGCGTATGTTTAATCCCTGCTGAATATGTAGTAGACACGTGAATCCTCCGCCGCGCAGGATTTATGTAAATCGACGCGAAGACTGGAGGGACACCGGCGCGGCGGCCGGATGTCGACGGATGAAAGACTTGCCTGTCGGCAAGCTATCGCGATGGAGACGGACGACACAGGATGAATTTTAACGGAACAAAACGGGAACTGCGTAAATAAACAGTTACTCGAAAAAAAATTGCCTGCGGACAGTATCACTGACGGCTGTCTGGAGGCCCGAGTTAAATTTAGAAGTGAGAGATTCGTTTTAGTAGCTCCGAAAAATCTGGATACACCTCACGGAAGTCACGTGACGTTATTTGTCGCGCGACACGCGTATGATTCCCGAGTAATCGGATCTCAAGGCGCAATAAGACGTTCATTTATTTCAAACGTATCGTGCAAAGAGGAAATCATATCTTTTTTCATAATTCAATGCGGCTGTTGATGAAAAAAAAATAGCCGCAGTTGAGATTCTAAAATAAGCGTGAGATAAATTACGTAGGAATGTGGATTGACGAACTATACATATAGATATAGGAAATTTGTTTTGCTTAGATATCGACAGTCCGATTATATAATGACAGACAATAATGTTGCTATACGCGTAGGTATGTATGAGACTATATGGTTAGAATAATCGTCTATAATGTTGCGTTTCGCATATCGAATTGATGTTAATGTTTATCATTCGGTATATTGTTAGCGTTGCGCTTGCAGTACGAGACGCAGCAAGAGCATTAATTATCGCTGCTTGACTGGTCAAATGCATCAATTACTCTCTGAATCGCTCGTTTCGCCTTCGTGTGAAACATGCAAATATGATTTATAAAACGTCTTCGTCTCCTTTATCCGCGCCTCACTCGCAATCGAGTGCTTTTAATAGACTTCCGCAACTCTCAAAAGCACCTGCGCGACAAGTATATTAAAATACACGCCGAGAAGGCGAGTTACGTATTAAAAGATCTCGCGGAAGATCCTCTTAGGGAAAAAAAAAAAAACATTCTATTATCGTGTCGGTTACGCATAATCGGCATAATAATAAACGTCAAGTTTCCCCAGTGTTTCTTCAAACAGCGATTTTTGTTTTCTACAGCTTTTTTTTCAATGTGTTATAAATATTTATCGAAGTGAATACATAATGGTAATTTTTTTTGTAATTTTTTACGGAGGAGCACGCGCTCCTCCGTAAAAAATTACAAAGAATAGGCGAAGAAACTGCGTAAAAGGATTAACGTGGCGAAGACAGAGTGTTATGGTAATTCCCGCGAGAATGCATAATTTGTCGGCTTCTGTTCATAAGATCTCTATCGTTCGCTGATTAATCTTTTCAACGAGAATATATAGCATTAAAATCTGTATCTGTCTGAAGCAAAGATTAGCTTTTGTCATAATTCAAATCTCTTCCATAACGCATAATATCACATAAAAGTATTTATCTTTCTTTTCAGCCCGGTCACAGAGTGCCGCGCTTCAGTAGCGTGAATTGGGCCATATGCACCCCCGCGTCGTGTACAGCCCGGGATGTGGAGGCCTCCCTTCAACATACCATCTCGAAGTACACGGCGCAGACTGGTCTCAAAATCTCGCTGCAGGTGGAGCCGAACATGTGTCAAGTGAGGCAAGAAGTCGAGCTATCAAAAGCGACTGTCGCCACTAGGTAAAGATATTTGTCTGAATCATGCCAAGTGTCTATAACTATTGCAAAGTGCACGAACTAAAATGTTATCACGCACGATAAACTTTTATCTTTAAATTCTCTACTTTTTTTAACGGGGCATTTACTGCAGCAAATCTTCGCAAAAGCGGAAACTGCTAAGCCGAATTGATTGAATAATTTTTACGTTATTTGTTTTCAGTCTTCTCTTCGTCACCGTGTCCGTTCTGACACTCGTGGCCGCGTACTGCGATCATTTCAAAATACCGGTCAGCGAATTGCTTTTATCGTTCTCTTTGAAACGCAACGTTCTGAAATTATTCTCGTTGGAGAGACCGCAAGGCGACATAGCGGCGCTCCACGGTGTTCGATTATTGAACAGCGTTCTGTTGCTCATAGCTCACAAGAGCATGGCGGTATTCTTCAACCCTTATATGAACCGAACTTACATGAGCGAGGTACGTTGCAAATTATTCATTTTCAAGAATAAATACGTAAGCATATAACTCAGAAACCGTAAATTCAAAAGATATTCGATATTATTTCTCTTTCACAAGTAAAATAACCTCTGTGAACCAGGCACTCCTACCACCAAAACGAAGTTCGATTATATGTCACAATTAAGTGCACATTTATTGCTAATTTATTGCTTCTACCCATTCGCAGGAAATTAATATCAAAAGTGGAAGTGCTTCACGTTTCGCTAGCACTCCCGAAAAACACAGAGTACTGTAAGGGAAAAAAAATAGGTATACCAACATTTTTTGCCACTTCCTTGCCCTTGTAAGATAATGCAAAGACTCACGTGTACAAGAGTAAAGCAATTCGCATTGCTGCATAATTTTTGTCTCAAAACGTTTATAGAATTTGCTCTTGAAATATCTCAGTTTGGAATTTACTACTCTTTGTGTAAGTTAAAAAAATTCATCAATAAAAAAGTAACAAAAAATTTTACCAAAAATAGGTTTACTAAAAATTGATATTTAAAGTACCTTTTTTTTTTTCTTTAGTATTTTAAACATGTTTTTCAGGAATGAGTATGCTAGCGTGTAAAGTTAACATCCCTACATTTGATATTAATTTCCTGCGAGTAAGTAGAATAGCAATAAATTCGTAACTAGAGCAATAAATCAGTAGTAAATGAATACTTAATTATAGTACAGTCAAATTTTTTAGTGATGAGCTATAGGTTTACAGAGCTGATAAAATAAACTTTCAAAAATATAATAATATGTTAGAATATAAATAAAATACATGCAATATGTTATTGGAATACAATGCGGCGTAGAATATTATTTTACAAATATTATATTTTTGTCATGTGAATAAAATTTTACGGTATTCTGATTAATCAAATTCAATTTTTCTTTTTCGTCGTGGATGCACATTGCTTGAAAATAAACGATAATTTTCCGACGTAGTTTTTAGGTAAACCGTGGACCGTCATAGGGAGAGCGGCCAGCCTGTATACCGATCCGTTCATCATGTTGTCCGGTTTATTAACGACGTATTCGTTCGTCGGTAGACTGAAGAGGAACGGAGCTTTGGACATCAAGAACGAATACTTGTCGCGTTTGCTAAGGTACTGCGACGTACGTCCCGATCAAATGAATAAAAACAAGAAAAAAAGAATGGTCCCCTTTCAATACGCGCACGTCGGATTTCAGGCTAGTGCCGACTCTAGGGGCGCTGATATTGTTCTGTACTTACATTATGCCGTACATCGGATCTGGACCGCAGTGGCCGCTGGTGGTGACCAATCACGCGGAAATCTGCAAAAGAACATGGTGGCGGAATTTCTTATTTATTCACAATTATTTCGGATTCGAGCATATGGTAGGTAAAAAAACGCGCGCAAAGTAATCGTTAGACTTAGAAGATAAAAAGATAACAACGCGATTGGAAGACACTTTAAAAAAAAAATCTGAAAAGTTTTTCTAGCAACAAATGTTAGCGATAAATTAGTTATGTACATTTCAATGCGTCTCTGACTGGCTTCCAGCCTGTTTACGCCGAGAGACAGAAATCCATTGTTCTCCATTGCTTTCAGTGTCTTACGCACACGCATCATGTAGGAATTGACACGCAACTGTTCGCGATTTCACCCCTGCTGGTGTTGATCCTGTACAAAAAGCCAAAGATCGGCGCTATTGTACTCGGTATAATAGCCTCGGTATCGACGCTATTGAGATTCTACGTCACGTATACCAAAGATCTCAACAATTACGTGTACTACGGCACGTCGTAAGTAAATCACGTTAATTTAATTGCCAATCACGTTTGCGAGTGGCTATTAAAACAAGAGAGGAGATCGATTCCGATTATGTATTATTCACACGCGTTTGCAGTTAAAACGAGAAAAGACATCGATATTCCGATAATGTATTATTCATATCTCGTTCTCAGGATAAGACAATTATTCGACACCGCGGATTACTCCTACACGTTACCGTCGCACCGATTGACCGTTTACATCGTCGGTATCTTCGCGGGTTACTTGCTGCGGAATATACCCAAGGACTTTAAGCTGGGCACAGTGAGTGCATTGAATTGTCTACGTGTACATACACGGACACTTGCGACGAAGGAAAAAAAGCCAAGCTAATTTTTCGCGTTTCCAGACAGCCCTCTACACAGGCTGGACCGTGAGCGGCCTGATGTTCCTAGCGGCTTTCGTCGGGCCCTCCAAAATGGGCTCGATCGATTACGTGTACGACCCGATTCACGCGGCTACCTACAACGCGTTCGCTCCCATCGGTTGGTGCGGCCTGTTCCTCTGGATAGCGATAACGCAGCACACCGGCAGTTCAAACGGTAATTTTATAACCGAATCGTCGCATTTGACATTCGAAAATTGACGTCTTGCAAATAGCAATTATCGAATAACGCGTGTCGCATCGCAGGATTCTTGAACAGACTGTTCTCCTGGCGAGGATTTCTCGTTACCACGAGGATCAGTTACGCCGTTTATCTAACGCAATTCCCGATATTTTTCTACAACGTTGGGCAAACCCGCACCGCGGAACACTATGAATTTTTCAAGATATTGGTAAGTCTTGCGCTTAAAACAGACGCAAAATTCGGTTCGACATATCTCTCTTGAGAGCGTTTCTCTCCCTTATCTATTTATAAAATTATTTAATTGAATGCAATCTTATTTTAAACGTCTGTAATTTGTTTCAGATAAATCTGAAAGAGTTATCATGGATTCTTCTCATGTCGGTAGTTCTCACGCTACTGTTCGACACACCGTTCCAGAACCTAAAAAATTATATATTGAAAAAACCGGCGTTGAAACAGGATACAGCGAAATCCTCCAAAGTGGAATAATTTTATTATTTTAATTTTATATCAATTTTGACCAAATATTTTAGCTTGACTACAATATCTCGTCTACGGCGCACTTTGTACATAGCGTTTTTTTAATTAAACTTTTAATAATTAACGTGTAGATAAATTACGGTACGATACGAGGTACTATAGAAAGAGAGAATTGAGAGAAGAAATTATTTAGTGAAAATTTTTTAATTCAAACTTTCTTTATGTAGGAAAATTATGTAGCAATTAGCGGAATGCACGCAAATGAGAAGTGTGCTTATAAAAAGGTTTCTCCCTTTTTTTTAATGAATATCGACCGACTCCCATTGTGTAATTAAAAGTAATATTCATTACATTTTTATACAGCAATAAATGTGGCTATAAGAATAATTGTAAATATTAGTTCCTCGTTAAATTCTCGTGCAATTTAATTTAAAGAATACTATTCTTACACTCAGGCATAGTACTACGTAATTTGTAATTACTACGTAATGATGCATACGGATTGGCGCTGCATGCTTCAATCCTTATCCTTTATAGAAGCAATAAAGATATAGAAGATTAATAAATAATGTAAAATAATAAATATTTCAAGAGGTAAAAATTTTGGTATCTCTTTCTACATATCATGGCAGATACGTAGTCAATAAAAAACATAAGCGATCACAATTAGTATGTTTTGCAATCAATTGGTATTGCTCATTTAATTGCACGTTGATGAAGGAAGACACACGTGTCGTGATATGATTTCATGTACAAATGTTCTCTAATTAAGAATTAAAAAATCATTCAGGAAACCTAATAAAATTACTGTAATTATTGTTAATAATATTAAATACATTAAATACATTATTAAATACATTTCGTGTAATTTTGTCTTGTCCTTTACTTTTATATATTACATACATCGTTCAAGGAATACAGCTTACATATAATTTCTGTCGAATACAATTTTCAATCATCACGCGGAATATAGCATAATGAATAAGATAAATGTTCAGTCATTTATCACAATAATGTACATAAATACACATAGATACAGAAAAAAAACCTAAAATCTATTGTTCCGAACTTCACTGAAAACAAGTTTTAATTTTGTCACATGCATAATGCTTATTGTATAAATTGTTTCATTTTTTTTTTTACATAAAATGCATTATGAAATTAAAGTAAACGATATACGGAGCTGCCTTATAGTAGCTCATAGCAACTATGACAATTTAAATGTATTTACACAGCTATAGCCATAGAAGTGGAGTATCCTTTTATGTTATATATTAATATATTATACCTTTCTTTTATTGATTTTAGATGAATAGATGAAGGAAGAAAGTAATGTAATTTATGTTATATAAATGTTTACAAAAAGACAATTTTTCTGGTAGACTTAAACTCAGGTATACATATATAAACACTTCACAGAAAAATTATTCCAGACAATTCTTCGGTTAGATTTATAGTTACATAAACACTTCGCGGAAAAATTATTTCGAGGAATAATTTTTTACGTATCATAGAATTGCAAAAAATTATCACATATGACAACTGTCTAATCCTACATCCTTAATGGTACTCATTCACGCAAGATCAGTTCTCATTAACTTCTCTTACAGTCGTAGTTACGTACGTTTTGCAATAGGCGGATGATATTACAAGAAAGCTCTAAACTGAGGCTGTTTTCAGCTGAAAATAAAAGCATAAAATAACAACTGAAAGAAACGATATTTGAAAGAGTATGAAATAAGGGTATTAATAAATAAGATACAGATCTTGTAATCATCCTCTGAACAAAAGTAATTTCTAAATGTTACGACTTTCAATAAGCAGCACCATCTAATGTATTCAATTATGCCATTTTATATGAATAGGGTTCATATGTTTGATAGGAATATATATATGCAATTAATATATATTGTAATAACGCATATATATCTATATGCGTTAATTATCAATTATAAACTAGTTATAAATGCATCAGTGGTACAGCAATATTATTTGAGTACATGCAACGTGTTGCATAGTACGAAAATCGAATAGATGCTGAAGTAATTTTTCAAAATAATCATAAATTTCATATTAGAGATATAAATACGTAATTTTCCTATCATACTTTATATACCGTAATTTTACACATCTAATTATATATGTATGGCGTTAATAGAACTGATTCTTATAACATATAAAGCAATACGATAACGATACAATTGTTAATTCCTTGGAATAAAGCACATCATTAAGTTGATAGCTGTCTTGCACATAATCTAAAAATTAGTTAATAGAAGTTTAGTAACTAAAATTACATGCAGTTCATTCTGCACATATCTATGTTAAATACGTAGTTACTGGGAAAGCAAACGTTTGCATATAGAATGCCTACTTCTTAGAGATATATATTTTAATACGCGATATCTCATATTGTATATTATTTGGCTTAAATATAATTCTAATTAGCATTTGAATGTTAGATCATAAGCAGAGAAATGTCTGTAACATAAGATTTTTTAATTATATTAAAACACAGATATTTTTGTTTATCGCTTATTATAGTGCTGCAATATCGAGTAATAAATACCTGTTTTATAAACTCCTGGATTTCGGCTTACAATTAAATCCAGAAGTTTAAGAGAAATCTCTATTCGGGAAAACGACAGGCGCTACCAACGACCATACATAAAGACCCAAACACATCCACGAAGAGATAATCTTCACCCACATTGAAGCAGGGTTCGCATTCAATGTATCCAGGCTGGAGTTCGGTCTGTTAAAGTATCAGTATAATAATATTGATAGATATTGGAACAAATACAGTTTTAACATCATAACTTTGAATACGCACTTATACCAGTTTGTCAGTGTCATCATAACATACAAAGTGGCAAGGGCAAACATGAGATGGAAGAAACTCCAGTTGTACGCCACTTTGTCTTCCTCATTGTCCCAAACCTTGGCGTCGCTCCCACCCTCCGCATCGGGATTGCGTCCTTCTACTGCAGTATAATCTGGTTACATTTAGGAAAACGAAAAATAACAAAAGAAAAAGCTACTAAGCTGCAAATAAAAATACTGAGCAAGCACTGTTTTTATAAATGTGACAGCATGCCGTAAGATGCATGTGCGTATAGAGACGTCTTTTCATCACAGTTGTGCACTAAAATTAAAGGAAAATTTAGAAAGCAACTTGCAGCACCTGATACTTAATTGTAATGTTACAAAAATTATGTATTATACATATAATATTCATAACGTTCGTGAAAACAATAAAAAGGGAAATAAAGGTAAACACACACTAACTACCATAAACAAATTTAGTCATTTCATATTATAAAATTATATAAATATATATAGAAAATATATTTTCTATTATCTGTATGAAAACCATTCAAAAACTTCATCTGTGCAAGTATACAAATAAATGGGAATATAATCAATAATAAATAAATATATGGATAAATATTTAAAAAAACAGCAATACAAACAATTCATGACTAGAAAATGAATTCTACTTATAAAATAGTGTGTGCCTACCTTGATTGCCCATAAGAGCCTGCTCTCCCGTACTAACTTTCCTAACTAAAAAGATTGATATTTAATACAAAAAAAAGTAATAGATACCACTGTAGGTGCATTCATAAAGATATTTTTACGAATAAATTGAGATTTCTGAAGGAACAGCACGCTTTCACAGATGTACAATTACTAAAACACACACACATATACAAACGTCCAACTAATATTTACCAGCTCCGTTATCCTGAACTAATACATTTTCGGACATTGTAATCTTCGACGACTTGGACGCTGTGCGTAAGGAACTGTATAAAACGCAGCTAAACCATATTATGAGTCCAATAATGCTCTCCTTATCGAACGCGATACGATTTTGATTCGAGAGGCCAGGGATGAAACCAGGATTACACTCGTGATCTGCAAAGTTCAAGTAGTAACAATCGAGAGTAAAATATGGACTGCTGACTCTCAAGCAGCGTTCATCGTAAATCATCTAACCTGGGCTATTTGATATACCGCTCCATGTCAAGTACACCACGTATAACGTTACCACGGAGGACTGAAGAAGTCCGGAACGTGGCTGATGGTCCTGTACCTTCGGTAAAATTGACACGATACCGGTAATGACACACAAAATCAAATTAAACGAGATGAAAAACTTGTTCAGGGCACACGTACTTTGCTGCAAATAAAAAACGAGTAAATTATATCCTGTATCCTGAGGGGCGGATGTTCATTTTAAAGCTAGACAAAGGAGCATACAGAGTTAATAATCTTACATGTGTATAATATACGTAAAGTAGCACCACTCCAGTAATAGAGACGGCATAATTGAAGAAAGTTGCACCTAGCAGTGCAGCGTACCTAAAAGTATTTCATACAATTGATAATATCAACGCTTGTGTCGCATAAATGCATATTTATATATAGCTACAAAAATGCTCTTTACCATCCTTTTGACTCGGTGGTCTCGAAATTTCCTACCCAGGCATCGGCCCAGGAATGGGCGAAGTCAACGATCAGAATCAGCTGGATAATTATAAAGAGGAAACCTCCCATCATCCCAAAGTACATCCAAGTAGATCCGAATGATCTTTCCGGTATGAAGAAGGCGCCAACAATCCCGCCAATTATCAAGAGATACTTGATTGCCCAGAATCTGAGAATTTCAATTGTAAACGTCACAGTTTCTAGACCCTGTAATATGCGCCGATTTAATTTACCCATTTTGTATAGCTGCCCGCGGATCCCGTGAACTTTTCACCCTGATCATTATTATGGACATCAAGAAAAAGTACAAGGCGAGAATGAAGCATATTCTGTAGACTGCCAAGTAACCGACTGCGGAGTTGCAGTCAGCAATAAACTCGGACGGGACGTAATTGCTGCTGTTTGAACAGAACGGGACCTGTGAAAAATCGCAGCATTAGCGCGCTTCTTCTTTATTTCGAATTGCCTGCTTTCAGAAGACGCGATTGAGTGAGTGCTCGCTATTAGTATATGTTCTTCTATAGATATAGATTTATTACCTAAAAGATCCTAAAAGAACCTAAAAGGTCTACTTCAATAACAGGCAATAATTACCAAGCGTTCACTCAATTGTTGGTCTTCTGAACATAACCCCATTGTTTACCTTTTTGAGAGCACTCTGAAGACCAGGAGCCAGAGTGATGCAGGCAGCAATAGTTCCCAGCAACAGGAGCAGCGCATACATGATGCGAGTGCTCGTACTGTTCCTGCACGACGGACACTGAGAACAGCAGAAGCTGCAAGCTGTGCTTCCGCACAAGCACGCGAGCTACGTGACAAAATAGAGCGATATAGAGCCTAAATTCCAATTCGTAAATCAATAAAAAATGTACAATAATTTCACAAATAATTCAATCTTATATTTCGACAGTGTTGCAGTATTTCTATCAACAAGGAGACTTTTAAAAATAGCGCTGACACACTACGCTATCTTAATACGTACATTAAAATCAATACTAGACATATATGTGTATAATCAAATAACAAATATGACGATATAGTTTGGATATTTAATGACTTACTCATGTCTCTGAAAAATTTTCTGGTACATATCAAAAAATATGAAATTAAACTCGGTTTAACTACGTTAAAAAGGAAAAGAGAGAATTAAATCTAAGATGTCTTTGTCCGGGCAGAGGCAATGAAAACAAACATGACTGATGACTATTTCCGAGATCAACAATGGAATATAGCTGCAATCGCGGCGTAAACGTAATAAAATGCTGCAAATATCAAGAATTGCTACGAATAATCGGTGAATAATCTCAAGTGGAGAAACGGCGTTGCCGTTTTCGAGGAGTTGAGTGAGGAGGAAAGTGGAAGGGCGAGATCTGCGTCATTGGAAAGGATGAGTCAGATGGTTTATCAAGCGAGTCGACGTACCTGAGCCGTCGAGCATATGAGACCCATGGCGAGATTCTCCTGTTGTCCGAGCTATCTATGGGCGAACAGGACAAATTCCTCTCGCTGGAGACTGGAAGAGGGACTCTCGAGAACTGGAGAGAAGACCAAAATAGAACGAGAAACGCCACAGAGAGGCGCGACAACAATAGGCGCACTGACACACCGTCGCTCTGCGGGCAACTTCGCGCGATCAGCTGACCGCGACGTCACGGACGTCGGAGCTCGCCACCTCGTGGCGCACTTCGCGCGACATCGACGCCAACTGATTGGTCGAAACTCGAAACGCGGCGGCGCCCGGCGGCGCGACGGCGGCCCGGCAGTACCACAGCACGAGCAGTGCTGGCAGCACGGTTCCGTTCGCGGTTCGGCCACGGTGTCCTATACTCCTATCGGTGCGTGGTGTTGTTCACGAGCTGTCATCATCGCTAAAAAAAAATCAGAGAGAGAGAGAGAGGACACTGGACAGAAGTGGACGGAACACGCACACACGCCGAATGCTGCAAATGTAAGCGATCCATTGCCTCGAATTGCCGGAAAACAATGCTGACACCGCACGCTTGTTGTCTCATTATCGCGCGCATACCTAAACGCATTAATCCCCGCTGGCGATTGAATTTTTCCCGAAACGGAGCTTTACAGCGCTAAGACGCAGCTATTGACGTGTACTCATTACCGGGATGTCGGCCACCCGAGGTCCGCGAGAAGGGTTGAGGCCAACAAGCCGAAGGGCTGAGCTCGGCGACGCGAATGAGAATCCCTGTTTTATGATAATAATAATAAAATATATGCGGAACACCGTGTTTCAATTCTGCCTCATATATCCGACTTAATCCGGCGTGTGTATATTCGCATTTATCTGCATTAATTTGTGACTTTAATGCGACAAACAGAACGTTACGTTATTGTATTATGTTCCCAACCTTGGTAATGAATGCGGATAAGAACGGATGTAAATTTCCTATATCCCATGTATATACCGACATAATTATTTCACAAATCCGATGACCTTCGTGTAATGGCCTTTTCTTACGAGACCTCAATTTTCTCTGACGAAAGCCTCTTATCTGGCAACTTCCTTCAAGGAATTCTTTCTAATAAAAATTCTGCAATCAACTTCCTATAATGTCCGTATCAAACTAAAGATTAAGATTGAGATTGGAATTTGGCCAATCAGAGGAAAATTTTATTAAGCGAGATTAGTTTTCCTGCTAATAATATCCATTTCTACCAATTATGGATTAATTTTAATCCAGGTTTAACTTACTTTATATCTTTTTCTAATTTTAAGAATTAGAAAAAGATAAAAAGTAAATAAAACCGAAAAATGGACATAAATTAAATTCCAAACCAATCTCAATCCTAATCTTCTAGTTTGATATGGGCAAAACGCTTTACAATATTTTCTTATAGCTGTTCTTATAGCTATTTTCTTATAGATGATATCTATAGCTTACTGTAACATTTTATATTACAGCTTATTATGTTCTTATTTTTAATTACAATTTTTTTTATTGTTACACAGATTTGTGAAAAATGTTATGAATAGAATTAATTGATAGGAAATAATTCTCTCTCTCTCTCTCTCTCTCTTTAATAAAGTATTTGACATTTTCCCATTACAAAAGTTTACACAGTTTATTATCCGTGACAACGTAACAATTTATTATTAAATATCTTCGCTTTATTAAATAAACTTCTACTTCAAATTATATTTCTTTTAAAGTAGTGTTCTGAAAAGAAAACTAAATTTCTCACTCATTGTCAGTCTATCGCACTTAATATCAAGAAAATTAATTTCTATCGCCTTTTAATTCTCACATGGCTTGAATATTCAAATAAACATAGAACCGTACAGTAATCTGCATGTTTCGCCGCACAAGATCGAGCTATGTTTAGATTTCGACTAAACGGCTGTTCCGCGAAAAGCGAGAGAGCAGAACCACGCGGCCACAGCTCTACTTGTTCATGTATGGATAATTGATTTTTCTCGTAATATTCATAAGTGCGTGGGCTGCACTTTTGTCAACAACTACAAAGCCTCGTAAACGTTATCTTATCGCTATGAATCACCCTCCTCCGCGACTTTTTGCAATGGAAAACACGATCGGTATGACTCGGCCGCGCGCCGTGGAATGCCGTGGATCGGGCATTAATAGAACAAGCTAAAAAAAATCTCTCATGTCTGCTTTAATAATTCTTGTACACGCGTGTCTCAGCGTGGTAATTATATTTGTCACATATTGTTCTGAAGATGAGAGTCAGATTAGTTTTATGCAATGTCATATACGAAGTTCTCTGAATTCTTTCACCGTTTCAGGACTTAAACTACCTATCTTTTTACGACACGCGATAGAGAAACAATAAAAAAAATCCGAAGGAAAGCTAATAGAAATATTAATAATCTCGAAAAAAAAATATTTCCTAAAAATGTAGACACAATATTAAGTGTGATAATAACGATAATAAAACAAATTTTTCATTTTCTTAATTTGCAGCTTGATACTTTGCAGTTTGATGTTCTTGTTATATTTCTAATATTTTTATACATAGATACATAGAGATTTGTGAAAAGTATTATACAAAGAATTAGTTGACAAAAAAGTTATTTTCTTCAAATATCTTAGAAAAGTTATTTTTCAATTGAAGATTTTCCAAAAATTTCGCATGAAAAGTTTATCATTCGGACCAACTTAAGAATTTATTAAATGTTTTCTGTTTTATAGAGATCATATTTCTTTTAAAATAATGTTCGTAATAATGTAACGGATTTCAAAAGGCTTGATTTTTAAACGCTATGGCGCCATAAATTTTGTTTTCAATTATCGTCAATTATATCAATTATATATATATATATTATATAAAAAAATACGTGTCTATAAACGAAAGCAAGAAAAGTTTTAGCATGAAATGTATGAAACACGAAAATGCCTCGTATATTTATTTATATAGAGTATTCTTAGGTTCGTATTGCAATAGAAGTTATCGACGTACGCTTGCTTTGGTCGCGGTATGCATAATTTATCGCGCATGATATACCGCGTATCTTGCCTTTGGCAAGGTTATTGTGTTGGTCCAGCCTCGTGTATGCCATCACGAAATTTTATGTCCTCTCTGATCTTAAAGGTCACCGTGAATTACGTTGATATGATTTAATGCGCGCATAGGCACAATCTAACGGCTACGCAGTGGAGCAATTTCAAAGTAAAATCTATTTCAGCTCGGCACCAACGAGATCTTAACGTTTTAGTTGTGTTAAATGGATGTTTATTAGAGCAATGAATGCACGCAGCTGACTGTGTCATTCTATTAGTTCTAATAGCAAACAGTTAAATGTGTCTGAATTATTATCATTTAAAATATATTGTTATTTTTAGATATAGCGAGTAAAATTTTTCGAAAATTGCACATAGCTTTTGCGCGAGATTTTGCCTACGATAAAACACCGCAAATTATTTCACGATAAAAATATTTGCGTGCTTTTGGCAGGAAAATCAAGATCTGATCGATAATAGCCGAGAGAGATCTGACAATAGGAAGCAAAGATGGAAGGAGATTCGGAAAATAATGTCCCTAATAAAGATGCCAAGGCAATTTCTTGGCCGTACATGAACGTCAACTCGCTGACTATATCGTTTCTAACTAAACTGGCGGCAGTTGGTATCATCTGGGGATGGGGATACTTCAATTACAGCATAGCCTGGTTGATCGCGCCAATCGCACTTTCCGTATGGAAGGCAGAACGGAAAAGGGACAATGAATTGCGAACGATTACAGCACAGGCGAGTGTGCTGGCTAAGGAAAAGGAATTGATTGTCAGTCGAATGAACGAACTGCCCTCGTGGGTGTACTTCCCGGACTTCGATAGAGCCGAGTGGCTAAACAGAGTATGGACAGTCGTTCTTACGTCATATTATAAATTCGTATAATTACGTAATAAAATGTAGAATTAAACCGCATTAGTGAGATGAGCATCTCAATAAAAAATATACGATGATAATAACGATCATAAATCTTATCATATCTTATACTTTCAGATCTTATATAAGGTATGGCCAAGTATGAATCAGTTCGTCCGTCAGCTGTGTAAGCAAACCATAGAACCGTCGATTGTGGAGAAACTGACTGAATATAAGATTAAAGGCTTTCAATTTGATCGTCTAGTTCTGGGTCGCATTGTGAGTTTATTTCAATTCTCTTAACATTCATGCGGCGTTTCTTTTTTTTATGTTTCAATTTTGTAATTATTGTATATTTTCTAAAATCTACATAAAATGATCTTTTACAGCCACCAAAAATATATGGGATCAAAGTATATGATAAAAATACCTCAAGAAACGAGATCATCTTAGATGCAGACATTATGTGTGTATTCTAGTCTTTTTTTTTTGCAAAATATATGTTGTCTATGAAAATCATCTACTTCAATCAATATTTTTTTGCAGGTATGCTGGTGACTGTGATATTACCTTTTTCGTTGGGAACATCAAAGGTGGTATTAAGGACTTTCAAGTAAGTATATTAAAGCCCAGTACACGACTGTGGAAAATATTTTCTAACAGTTTTCAATAAAAATATAAAAAAAATTTCAGATACATGGTTTAGTGCGCATTGTTATGAAACCCATGCTGCCCATGATGCCGTTAATCGGAGGTGTACAGATATTCTACTTGAATGTTCCTACTATTAACTTCAATTTAGTAGGAGTGGCTGATGTATTAGATCTACCTGGATTCAAGTACGATTTTGTTTTTTCTTTCACTCTGAAACTGACATGACAAGCAATTAGTATTATTGCTAATTGCGTAGAACATTTAAATAAAAACGCGACGCTTCTTTCAGTGAAATTTTAAGGAAGACAATCGTTGAACAGATAGCAGCCATTGCTGTATTGCCGAACAAAATAATTATACCCTTAAGCGAAGAAGTACCCATGGAATCCCTAAAAATACCTGAACCTGAGGTAAACTCTGCAGAAATGTCTCATAATATACATATTATTCTTACTCCTTTTTATAATTAATGTTTTAATTTTGTTATATTATAGGGCGTGTTAAGAATTCATGTTGTAGAAGCGAAGCATCTGATGAAAAAAGATATTGGAATGTTAGGTAAGGGCAAGTCCGACCCGTATGCCGTCATAAATGTCGGTGCCCAGGAATTCAGAACGAAAACAATCGATAATACCGTTAATCCAAAGTGGGACTTCTGGTGTGAGGTACGTACGATATTTCTCATAAATGCAAACGAAATCTTAACGAACGTTTAATGCATGGGCTTTACTGTAACCTCTCGACATATATTTTTCAAAACAAAAAAGATACAACACAAGGTCTTCTATATATGGTGGTAAGAAAAATATTTATTAGCAATTTACAAAGTCAACTTTTGTACGAAATTCCTACAGACAGTCTCATGTTACTCCATTCAGTTAACGAAATAAGATGCAAATAAGATACAAATAAGATGTACCACTTTCTTGCATTTTAACTTTCTCATAAAAGTATAGATAAGTATACTTTATATAGTATTTATATAAAAAATTTAAATACATTGCTGATCTAGCGTTCTAAATAACCGGCTCTCTATGCTTTCTCACATAATTCACATATACATATAGATTCTAATAAACCGCAGACACCCCGTTTCTTTTCCTGTGATTACATTTCCTATTTCATTCTTAGTGGTTAATGTTGCCTTTTTCCGGACTGCAATTAGAACATACATTTTAATCTTTCTATGTTAATATAATTTAATTCTACAAGTTGGTATGTATGTGTGTATGTGATGTGCAATATATTACATGGGATTAGTGTGCCGTGACTTCAGCCATCGCGCAGCAACTGACCATACTGCTGTGGGACTCTGATGACACGAAGGGCGATGAAAGTCTTGGAAGGTATAGTTATATATAACATGTACTTTTTCCTTATTTCATTATCCATTTCAGATTTCATGTCATTACACAGGGACGAATTCCAAAATCTATAACGAATTTAATAAATGATGAATTCCGGATGAATTAGGTGCATTTTTATTCTAATAGGAGAAATAATTTATATATATATATATAAATTATCTCTCCTGTTGATCAATGTTTATTGTACAATTTTTATTCTAATGCACATAATTCATCCGGAATTCATCATTTATTAAATTCATTTAATTTGTTTCACCGATCTACGGGAAAAGCTTCTACGGAAAAACTTTTGTGGAAAAGCTTCTATCGCATGATAATGTCGTAACGCTAATGTGTGATAATTGTTTATATTGTTGATCTAAGTATTGTTTGAGTGATGTCTGGGTGCATGATAAAGGTTTTCATTTTATCTTATTAATTTTCTTTACTCACTACTTTACTTACTATTGGGAAAGTAAAATCGTCATGTTGCAAAATGAATGTTGAGCTCATTGTTCAAATTAAATTCCTCTACATATCACGTTTATGAGATTCATAATATATACATTTGGCATACATTTACATAATAGTGCAGCAATGTAAAGACACGCGGAAAGGGTAGTAATAGATGCAACGAATGATATACAGTTGCCAAGAAAACCCCGTCACTTTTACTTTTACATGTGTCACTTTTATATTTTTGTTATACAATATGATATTGGCACACAGGCTCTGATCAGTTCATGCAATATGCAAGAAGCTGTGGTATCTCTTTGGGATTGGGATGTCCCAGGGGTACAATATGATGATTTCCTTGGCAGGTAGTAATAATATTATGATTTGTGAATGAAGCAGTGTTTACGTATGCACTACTAACAAAAATGTGATAGACTCACAATTTGGGTGTTGTATATTTTAAGCATGTGACTTAGCCACGTAATATTTGTCTTTGTGGCATAGTGTGTATTTTCTACATATAAATAGTAAAATAAATAATCTCTTTTATTTATTATTATTTTAGATTTATTTCTGTATTTCTGATTAAAGCTGCAAATTTTATAGCTTGTTAGACGCGCGTGTTGCACGAACATTTTCTATTTTTATATATCTATAAATTCTTTGAAGTTATTTTAAAATTAAATATATGCTTCACAATTGTAAGACTTTTAACTTTCTTTCTACATTTATAGAAAAATCTACATTTCCTAACTTTTAATATATCTATTAATAGTCTGTGTAAATTTTCATTAATCTGTTGTTAACTGAAACAGTTTGCTGTTGTTTAATATTTTTTCGTAACTAAAAAAAAATATCGTACGATTAAGTTCGGTCTTCTTTTGTCAGTTAATTAATCAGAGTAATTAGGTGACTTTGTTTAATAAGAAAGGCAACTAAAATAGACTGTATGGTGACAGTTTATAGTGGAAGAGGGCTTGGGAGCTTACAACACGATGGTTACCCAGCTCTTTGACAAAGACAACGCTGCTCAAGATGATCCACTTGGCAGGTATTCCTGAATGTAGCAAATATCGCCGATCTCTCAGATCAGATTGATAATGCATTTGAAGAGACTTGTACAGAATGTAAATTATATATGCGGATACTCTGCCATTGACTTATTAGATTATGCTTGAAAGACTGCATTTTTCTTATTATATGAGTTATCTCTTGAAATACCGCAGCGCATTTAAAAGTATTTCGAACGTAAGCATCAATCATATAGATATCTGTGATGTGCATGCCGTTTACTCGAAATACACGATACAAAAATATGGTATGTAAAAAAATATTATGATTTGTCGTGCCAATCTCAATTCGGAATTGAGAATAAATTCCGAATTCACGTCACCACATTACTCTCGTTATGTACTAACAATAAGCAAATATCGAGAAATCTATTTTATTTATACGCAATGAAGTAATGCTATGGAATGTTGCATGCCCAGTATATAATGCAATAATGTTTTCCGTATCATTATTCGATGACAAAATCATAGGTACAGTAGAAATAATACGCCGCATGAGAGCTTCCTAAATGAAAACTGTATCACAGATTTTGCATTCGAATCACGGAAACGTTTCGTGTAATAGATTCAATAATCCTCAATACTGCGCATCATCATCACTGCAAAAGAAAAGCACACGTCTAAACTTTGCCGAGATAATTATTTATTCTTGAAAATTAAAGGAACATCTGGTTTATGTGTAATTTAAAATTTTTTGAAAAGATCCGTTTTCTATTTTACATTGCGACAGGGCCACTATCGAAGTCAATCAAGTGAAGAAAAAGGGCACGATCGATACGGTGAGCATGGAATTTATATTATGTGCTTTTCTTTCTTATTGCTAATCGATCTTATTTTGCAGTGGGTCTCGTTGGAGCAAGCGAAGCACGGCATGGTTCATTTGCGATTAATGTGGCTACAATTTTCGAAAGATCCTGCCGATTTGAGAGCTGTAAGTGAGAAAAGTGAAAAAAGAAATATATACGCTTGTGTATCCAACTACATTATTTTAATTAATGAGCTCTTGTGCAGGCTTTAGTGGAAACTCAAGAACTCAGAGTCACGTCGATGAGTACAGCTCTTCTCACGCTCTACGTCGATTCTGCTAAAAATTTACCGGTACGTCGTGCGTCGTGATACGTAAAGAAGAAACGCGAGACTTGTCTAATAAAATTTCTAACATTACACGCGTAGTGCATGCGAGGAAATAAACAACCCGACGTTTACTTGGAAGCGAGCGTCGGTGGAAAGAAGGAGAGAACAGCCACTGTACCACGTTCCTGCGACCCCGTGTGGGAACGAGGATTCACCTTTTTAGTTAGCAATCCCGAAACTGGAATTCTACATATAAAGGTTTTCCGCGAATTCTTACATATAATATATCAGAGACGTAAGATTTATCGTTGTTCAACAAATTATATTATTTTTAGATTATAGACGAGAAAACTGTCATGACAGTTGGGGAAATGAGTTACAATCTTTCTCTACTTTTGGAAAAGCATAATCTCGAGGTGACGCAGCAGCCGTACGATTTGCAGAAAGCCACAGCGGACAGCAAGCTCGTGCTGACAATGTCGTTAAATGTAACACGAAATTTTACATGCGTACAATTTAACGACCGAAATTAGAGTGCTAGCGAATAAAACAAAAATCTGTTTTTACAGATCTTGAAACATGAACAGCCTGAGCCTTGCGAGGAAGACGAGGACGACCACGACATCAATGAATTGAATAAACGAATCGAACGTCAGGAGTCCACCATTAGTAACATGCTATCTTCCAGTGGTAAGTGGAGTCGTCTTAATATTGCTGAAAATTTCCGTTTTTTCCGAGTAAAGTATTTTGGAAGCTACTTTCTTAAAATTATTGGCAACAGGCTGTCATATATAATGCCGTGCGTTTTCCTACAGTACCGTCGAGCCCGCTTAAAAAGCAGCCTTCGAAAGAATCGGTCAACAGTCAACCTCGCACTGGATCCGCCGCGGCACTTTTGCCCGAGGAACCAGCGGCGGTACAAGAGGAAGAGTTAATACTGAGCACCAGCGCTCCGTCCTCTTTCACCGGGAGCCCGCAGCTTATCCACAGAAATCCGAGTATCACGTCTTCCTCGGGCGACGCGAAGTTAGGAAGAATACAATTGACTATACGTTACAGTATGCAAAGGCAGAAGCTTACCGTTTTCGTGCACAAAGTCGCGTAAGTTAATCTCGATTGATCAAGCCAGGGGGGTCGATCGTGTATCTTGAAACGAAATGAAAATTGAGCAAATTCACTTTATTGGCAAATGAAATTAAAAATATTCTAGTGAATTTACTCACTTTGGTAATTTTTATCTTATTCCAATATACACAATCAACCCCCTGGATCTCGTATTCGTTACAATTAGCCTGATATCTCCCGCTATATACATTATGTTTTATTGCAGTAATCTACCGCTTCCCCAAAACGATCCGCACAATATACCGGACCCGTACGTAAAGCTATACATCCTGCCGGACAAGCATAAGGAAACGAAGCGCAAAACCGCTGTGATCAAGGACAACTGCAATCCAACGTTCGACGAGCAATTTGAGTATATAGTTTCGCAGGGTGAGCTAAACACGCGCGTGTTAGAGGTGTCGGTATGCACGCAGAAGGGCTGGCTGTCCACCGGTAGCAACGTGATGGGACAGATTCACTTGAAATTGGGCGAGATCAACACCTCGAAGACGGTCACCAGCTGGTACGATTTACAACCGGAAATCAAAGACTAGAAGAAGAGGAAACGTAAGTGGGGATTCGAGCGTTTGTGCGTCTGCCTGACGAAACAACCGCTTAAATTCCCACTTGACAACTTTTACAAACGATGAAAGTCTCAAATGTTACAATTATCCTCTCTATATTCCGTTGATCGGTATTGTTAAATTGACGATTTGTTGATGTAAGTTACTACGCGATGCTATGCGAGACGCGAGACGTCCTGTGAGAAACGACAAAAGATATTATTTACAGAGATTATTTGTACTTAAAGCCGTCTATTGGCATGAAATGATCTGATATATAATGTTGCCGCGACTGACAAAGCAGAGGCGGAAATTGGGGCTTAGTAGCTTTTAGTAACTTAAAATTTATAATATATAAATTTATCAAAATATTTAAATGCGATACACGCGCGCGAAAAGATCGGATTTTAATAAAGGCTTTATAACGTGTTATTGTACTTATTGTTATCTTGTTTTGGAAAATGTGCGATAGATACACACGCGAAAAGATCGGATTTTAAGAAAGGCTTCATAACGTGTTATTGTACTTATTGTTAGTCTGTTTTGGAAAATGTGCCTAAAAAAACAGTTAAACGCTGGACGTTTAATTGAAAAATCCATTTGGCATGCAATGCGTGTTACGTCAGTGAATCTCAATTATGAGCGAGTATATGACTTGGGAATACAAGAAAAAAATGTGATTAAACGCACACGCGTAAGGGACATTGAAATTTCTCTCGCCCCAATGCCGCACGTCTGGCATATATTTTGTACTTTGTGCTTGCGTGATGATTAAGTTGCGGCACAAAGTGCACAACTGTGCACAGACTATGATCTGAATAAAATATTATAATATATGACATAAATATATATATACATATAATTTATATATGCTTATGAAAACTAGTTACGTAAGTTAATATTTTTGCGATATATTGTGTTCCATATTATTCCTTTACATTTTGTGCCACCGTTTTGTTACTAATAAAGTTAAATAATGCATTTACCAATTGCACAAGCAATTAAATGAATAACTTAATATTTAAATACTAATAACTTGAACAATTTGTATTTTATATAAGACATACATTGGTACACGTTATACATTGATATAGTTTTAATATGGCACTTTCTTGGAAATCAAATTATTGTATACGCTTTATATTTGTATCGAAAATTTTGCTACATTATACATGCATATATATATTATATATACACATAAATATATCTATATATCTATATTCTGTGACGCACGACTTCGTCAATAGTGTCACGAATTGTTGAGAACAATAAATATTATGTGCATTGTGAACGTTCGTGTAACAATTTATTCCGATTCGCATTATAGTTAATTTTTTAAACAATGCTTCTCTACCTCTCTAAGCTATTACCGTAAAATTTATCACAAATTATTGAATTCCCGTTATATAAATTAATTTGTTGCAACTGAAATCTCTACATCGATAATTAGGTGGATAATTAGATAAGAAGCCACTTCTACTCTTCTGCAAAAATCGTTGTGCGTTTTCTTCCCGCAAATTTATCGCAAATTATTAAATTCTCGTTATATGTATAAATTAATTTGTTGCAACTGAAATCTCTACATCGGTAATTAGGTGGATAATTAGATAAGAAGCCACTTCTACTCTTCTGCAAAAATCGTTATGCGTTTTCTCCCCGCACCGTATAGATCCAACGATCACCAAGGAAACTCAACGATACAACGTGAACATGGTATTCCTTCCTTTATCAGTGACATTCTCACAGTACAGAAGTTTTTTCTATTAAGCGCATATCCCGTTCCCCGCGCCATTTATAATGAATTTATAACTCGAGCGATAATTTAACTGTCAATTGATAGAATTTTTATCAGTATGCAACGGGCACCGACGTTACCCTTCCTCCCAGGATTTTGCATCGACAAAAACGTGAGTGATATTTGTATATTCATAACGTAGTTACGACGCACGGTATCGGCAAGATTTCTCACGTCGTTACTATAATACTAATCATTCGTGAAAAAAAGTACGTAATAAAATATATGTCACGTCAACGTAAAATATATAGGCGCAATATGTGAAATATTAGTGCGCACGAAGAGAAAGTTTTACTTATTATATCGTAAATATGTCTGGCAGCTCGGTAGAACAAGATTTCACAAAAGCCAACACTTCGACATACACGATGGAGTTTATTATTTGTCCGAGAAAGCGGATACGAAAATAAACGGCCTTTACTCGTCCATCTATCCCCGGGGGGAGGAGCCAGAAGTTCCGTCGTGGCTTGCATACGATGGCCAAGTATGATTGACAGTAAATCGAGCCTCATTAAAATGAAATTTTATATAATATCCTTTAAAGGAGTCCCTTTAACATGATTCTTTTTATAATAATTATAATAGAACGTTGTATATGGATGAATAAAATTAAGAAGGGGAGATTCCTCTTTTTCTCAAACGCTGTAAAGTGACTCTAATTAACGTTACTTTAATTGCATTTTTTTTTAGAGACTCATGTTCAAAGCGTTTTTCCAAGAGACCGTGCAAGAGAGGTGGAAAACGGCCTTCCACATACGCGTGGTGAAAATTAGCTTTTTCCTAGAGGATGGAACAATGAAGATCGTAGAGCCGTCCGTGGACAATAGTGGTCTTGAGCAAGGTTCAACGGTGCATTTCCTTTTCGTAATTCATTTACCAGCAGAGCAATATCAAATTATTTTTGCATATTATTATACTTTTATCTTCGAGGAAAAATCAAAGTCGAAATAAGCGTTTCTAATTATTAACTAGTAACGTAAAATGCAATTACATTTAATTTTCGTTACGAAGGTGTTTTAGTCAGACGCCAGAGGATACCGATTCCCGATCCAGTGAAGTACAGATATTACGACATACTCGACTTAAATGTCGGCAGGGAACCCGAGATATACGGGCGAGTGTATAAAATCGTGGATTGCGACAGATTCACGAGGCAATTCCTTAACCGCATGGGAATACCAGTGCCCGATCCGATTGACATTCCGAAGGATCCGCATCATGAAATTCGAAAGGACGTAAGTACAGAGTAATAACGCAAATAAAATGTAATCAGATAGATCAAATTCGAAGTCAGTCTAATAGCGTTTTCGTCGCGTTGTACTGCTAGTGTGCTCCTTAAAATTCGATTATACAAAATTTATAACGTCGTAGGAAGCATTTCCAAAAAAGCCTAATCGCATAGTGGATTCTCTCGGGAGCTTTTTAAAGTACGACAGAAAGGTGCTCCGATTTTACGGATACTGGGACGATACCGAGAGCCCCCACGGTATCGTCCACGATCTCGAATTGCATTATTATCTCTCTGACAATACGATGGAGATCAAGGAGAATATACCGCCGAACGCTGGTCGAGATTCCGGTCCAATGCTCGTTAAGAGGATGAAGATACCAAAGGTGATACTTAAACAAGTGTGATTTTCACAGATTTCGACGACGATCGTCTATTGCTACGTTAAATTTTAATATTACATTGAATAAAGCTTAATTAATTTTCCAGTCGCTTATAAAAATGAAAAAAATTAACAATTTTCGTTTTCCAATGTTAAGATATATTTAGAAAAAATATTTTATAAATAAATAATTTTTTTTCGAATTTCTTGAATACATATCGTGGATATACCTGAGTTTCGTTTCGCCAGTTCGAAAATAGATATCGTATCGTCCATGAGGTATACTCTTATAACGAATTGCCTTGAATTATCGTAAAATTACTTGTAATATACTGTTCCAATCATTATTAAATTTTCACTCAAAATTGATTTTTCAGTTTTACAGCGGCTTGCAACCAATCGGCGCGGACGATCGTTTCACGGTTCTGAACGTACTGGGCGAGAGTGTAAGGCAAGGTTACTACATGGTGGATTCTCTGGACACCGGCAAGATTTCCACCGATTACTACAGAGACAATGAGTTGGGCATCGGCGCGGAGATTAACGCTTTCGGGAGAAGAATTGTCATCACGGACATGGATGCTTTCACTAAGGAATACTATCGGTAAGATAACGCGGGATTTTATATTCTTGCCTATAGAGCTAGATTCGATATATACGTATTTTCTGAATTCTAATAATCTTTAGAACGAAGTACGGCTTGAGTGATTTCGCGCCTCTGACGAGGCCTCGAAAAGGCGACGAAGTGTATCAGACGATCGAGAGGTACATACCGCCCTACAATGGTTTCGGATCTTACGAGGACTCCCTCGGAAACTGTTTTACAGTGATGCCGAAACCGCCCAAGGCGGACTTCGTCAAGTTCCTGTATCACGACAGGTGAGTCGCGAACAATGCGCTCCGAAATTAACTTTTTATTTGATTCTATATCGTTTTCTTATCGCCGTTTCAGGCAGGGCTTTAATAGCCACGTCTTGAGATTCCGGGCGAAAATGATATCGAAATTACCAGAATACGAAGAGAGGCTATTCATTATAAGAGTATACCTCATGGACGATACGATATCTGTTTTCGAACTGGCGAAACGAAACTCAGGTATATCCACGATATATATTCAAGAAATTTGAAAAAATTATATTTATATAAAATATTTATTCTAAATATATCTTAATATTAGACGATAATTGTTAATTTTTTCATTTTTATAAGTGACTAGAAAAATTATTAGGCTTTTATGATAAAATAAATATTGCATAATATATTGGAATAAAATAATCAAAAAAAAATTAGAATAACACTGGAATAACATCGCAAATTAAATCAGGCTTTCAGAAATCCCTATTCCAAAAACGGATGCCGATAATGTTGCCCGGTCAGGATATTTTTACAAGCAAGAAACCGGAATACTACAAATCACACGATTTTTACATAGGAGCACGCTTGAGCCTGTACGACTTTCATTTTGAAATTACGTCCGCGGATGTTTATGCCCTGCGTTACATGGAATTACACTGCGACAAGGTGCGCGTTGAAAACGTTCCTACGTTTCCGTCCGACAAACAAATTATAGCCAATTCGCAAAAAGTTCACGTGTAGTATGAATGTTGCAATGAAATTACGATTCTCGAAGCCTGACTTGTTTACGCGCGCGTTTACTAAGGAAGGAATAAACTTTCTTCGCAGTTTCCCAAAGCGAACAAGAAATTGATAATGGAGAAACTTCGAGAGAGTTTACAGCCAGTTTACAAAGAGTTCGTTCAACTGTACGCCCCGGCTAAAGGCGCGGCGGAGGGCGGCATTCGAATCTTGGAATACGAAAGGCTCAAGTGCGTGTAAAGTAATTTATAATCCTTCCGCGTCATCTTCGTTATTTAACTACGATCGAAATTTACATCGTTCGCAGGGAGGCATTACGCCGCTATATGGGGGACAGGATAACGGAACACGAAATGATCACGATTGCCCGATATTATTCGTCTTGCGAGAAGATAGAACACCGATCGAGAGAGTATGTGAGGTACGCGAATCTCTTGTGTCCATTTCTACTAACGTAGATTAACTTTAATCTCTTAAGTTTAATTTTCCTTTTGTCCTTTTCTATTTCTAATAACAAATAGGAAAGGATAAAAAAGTAAATTAAGCAAAGATTAATCGAAATAGACTTTAATAATATTAATTTTAAATCAAAGAAATTTTATAGAAGACATAAGTCTTAGGACTTGTTATTTCTCTCTGAATTGTGAGATAGTAAAAAATATGAAAGATTTTGTATCAGAAATCCTTATAATTAAATTGTTAATTTTCATGGATAATCCTTACAGCTTTTTCATTGTTAGGCCATTACAGATTTCTACGTTATAGATAATTAAAAGTTAAGGAAAAAAGCGATTAAGAGAAAGTGTTCGTAATTAATAGAACCGATACTTTACTTTTAGATGTTTGTTTCACACGGAACTAAATCGATTTCTGTGGAACGATCTCGATCGCTTGGAGGAGGATCTACGTCACTGGGACGAAGACAAAACGGGATTCCTACCGCGAGAATCCGTGTACACGATCCTGCGCGGTTGCAGGATTCCCGTCGACGTGGAATTGTTGAATTCCATGCTGGATCAGTAAGTCAAATAAAATTTTACGACTTAACTAACCGAAGGCCTCATATTGATTGTAATGCGTCATGATTCCCGCAAGCTTGCGCAAGGCCGAAGACGGTAGAATCGACTACGAGGACCTGCTGCGTTTCATGAACGTGAAAATCGATCCTATGCCGCCCACCGAACCCGTAAACGTGAAAGTACGTTGATTCATCGTTGTATTTTTACCTAAAAACAGAAATGTTGTATTAACAGAATTAGTCTAATTGAAAATAATTTTATTAAATGAATAACGATATTAATGGCACACATAACATTTTATTAAAGTAAGAACATGATGTACTTATTCGTTTCATTAATATTGAATTAATTTATTATTTTTAATTAGATTAATACTCTGATAATACATCATTTTTTTCATGTATTCTTTTATTATATTTTATTATTTTTAATTACATTTTATTATATTTCTATTCATATTTATATTTATATTTCTCTTTTAAATTTTTCTACGAGATTCTCTGATATTTAGGGGAAAGGTAGATTTCCAGGCATTTGTGCTATATACGTATATAATTCACTTTTTGATAAAAAAAAAAGCTTAGATAAGGAAGAGAAATTTAAATAAAAAAGGAGGCAAATCTTTTAAGACATATATAACTGTTTGTTGTTTACAGATGGAGCTTTGGTGGGCATCCGAGAGAGAGCCGGACTGCGGGGGGATAAATTGGTGCGAATTCATCAAAGATCTAGACATAAGGGCGGAAGAGAACGCGGCGGAGAATAACGGCAGCACGGAACTCGCGTTAGCAGACTGAACGTGCTCGCGATCGGGATTGTCGCACAAAAACATTTTCCAATTATACGATAACGATAATAATATAACTTGTATAACAAATCGCTTTTCTAACGAATATATATGACGCATTTCTATATGTATATGTATACTTCATATTTCAATTTTGCTCTCAATATTAAAGAATCATAATGGTCGTCCGCGTTATAGCTGAATATATGTCGAAAACATCCCCGCGTCCACGCGAGGCGTGACAAAATTCATAAAACAAATTTCGCTCATCGGGCCGGCGCGGCGGGGTGCCGCGAGATCGCAAAATGGCGATCGTCGCCATTGCGGCGTCTCCGAAATTATTTCTCGCAAACGTTGCGAGAAACAATACAACTGCGCACTGTGCAAATAAGAGGCTATGATCGCACGTACCTGGTCATGATGAGGACGCCGGTTGCGGTGCGGCTGCCCGACGAGAGGACGGCGGCGCCGGTCAAAAGGCTGCTGTGGGACGCGGCGCGAAGACGCTCGAGAAGATCCACACAGGACGACGGCGACGGCGGATCGTCAACGTGGTCGGCGACGTTTACGTCGAGCGACGCGCAGCTCGCGAAGAGGAACCACCTTCCGACGACGCGCGTCAGGCGGGAGCCGCCTCGCGGTCGCGACGATCGCAAAAACTGCGTGCGTGGAGCAAATTCGAACCCGCGCTCACGACGCTCCGACGCGTTTCTCGGTAACTGACTGGCGATTTCAAAATTTCGACGGCGGCGCGTCTGTCCGCTCGAGTGCAGATATTCGCGCGAACGGCTGCACTTTTTCGCGCGCGCGTCTTTCGGGAGAGAGAGAAAAAAAAAAGGAAAATTTGGAAAATTCAAAAACGGAACGAGCCGTTGCTTCGATAAAGGTAACGTCGAATATCTCGGATGAGTGCCAATACTGCCAATTGTCGAAAAATAGTGGATCACCGTCGAATTTTATACGCGGTTAATTGCCGCATTTACGACATCTACAGGCCGGTACAGGCGATCGATCGAGACTCTTGGGACGTTCGATGACGTCCAATAGGACGTCGCTTCCTGAAAATCCCTAGATTTTTCTGTTGGATTTTTATATTGGACAAAGGCGCGCTTCTCGGGTGCGTTCGGATTTCTCCGATGAGTTTCCGATCTATGGTTTTCTGGACTACAGTCGCGGTTGCTGTTTTCACCGCCATTTCGAATTGCGGAGATCCGCTCTTCGGTAGATTCTTGGAGTTGCGGTTAATTAGTCATGCCAATCAATCGGAATACACGCGAATGCAGATTGGATCAACGCGCGGTCACCGGCAAAGGAAAAAGGTATACGAAAACAGAGGTAATAGTTATGCAAATTATCGATATTGAAATGTTGTCGTTCCACTTGCGACACTTCGCGACCATCGCATTGCAGTAATCAACGTTAATGCATCAACTTGACTTTTCACGAATTAACAGATAAATGAGACTTTAAATAAATATACCGAATTCCAAAAGATTTGTACAATTAATGTTAATATTTATGCGAAAAATGAAGTCCTCGTAAAGAATCATATTGCTCTAATTGGAAGGTACATAATTTCGATTTCCGATTGAGAAAAAACGATACTGCTCGCTCTACGTCAAATAGGTTACATTGATCAGTTGCAAATTGTAAACATAAATCTCACACTTAGAGTAACTGCCCCTATTAATGTGCCCTGTACCTATTAGTGTGCTTTTACTGCTTTTATATTTAAATAAGTCATAAAAATAAACTGGTACAAATATATAAAGTATTTTTGTTATAAAGTTAATACTTTAACTTAATTTAAAAAAATACTTTGTCTATATATTTGTACCAGTTTATTTTTACTACTTATTTAAATATAAAAGCACACTAATAGGGACAGTTACCCTAGCATGCAGGAAATTTTTTCAAGGTATTATATATATATATATATCTGATCACCGTTTCCGGTGAAACGAATTCACGCGACGCGCCGCCTGCTCTCGCATCGATCTCGGCTGCTGAATTATTCATATAATCGAGAGCGCGTGAGTTTTCCAGTTTGGAAATTGCATCCTGCCGTACTTTTCGACACACGAACGTATGTCACATACATGTATATTATATATCAGTAGATATCGCGATTTTCGCGCCTCGAGGATCGGGGAAAAGGATGAGGTCGGCCGCAATTTCCAAGCAACGTGTATTTGCAGAATGTAAATGTATAGGTTACATCGAAATATCGAGCATTCTATGTACACTGCTCTGATCTACGTTTTCTTGTAGAATCGCGACGACGACGACGACGAGATGACGACGATGGCGACGCGGCGGCGAGATTTACATTTGAACCTCGCGAGTCAGAGGTCACCCGCGTGGCAGAGCTATAGGATCACGACAGGCGCGGTTTATTCGCCATCGTCCGCCACGATACACGCACAGCACATCGAATAAATAGCAAGTAGCACGGCATAAATAACACTTCTTCTACTACGGTACCGCCACGTGAAAGAGGGAGAGCGAGAGAGAGAGAGAGAGAGAGTCGTGTACACACATTCACGGTAAGTAAATTATCGCCTAAACAATTATATCGTCGGCCGATTGGGATTCGCGACTTTCGCGCGCGCGCATATCATGCGCAGAAATTAATTAATTTTGCGCTTAGCGTTTAAGTTTCCGAAGAATTTTCTTCCCCTTTCTCTTCGTCGACCGCGGATCGAGGAATCGGATCACCGATTCTCCGTTCGCCAGTTGTTCCCAGTCCACATTACTCTTAATTGCACTCGTACGTCTTCACGATCCGGCTGCACGTCTTGCATCTCACGTAGCAGCAGCTGATGTACTTGCAGTCGCATCTCTCGTAGACCTCCTCGGTCCTGGTCACGTGGCCGCGACCGCAGCAGAGGTACTCGCAGCTCTCGTAGCCGGAACTGCTGCCGTTGCATTGTCTGCAAGAGAATTTTTTTTCCGGCTCGTATAAATATCACGGTTGAGAAATATTAACTTCGGTAGCACTCTTTATTAGCCACATAAAAAAAAAAAAATGATTTGCTGAAATGTCTAAAAATTTAAAAGATACAAATTTGAAAATAATTTTGGAAATAGAAATAATTGTATGTAAAAATTCAAGTTGACGAGCAATTCTGCAAAAAGTTTTGACATTCCGGTCACTATTCTTTCTTACAGAAATTCAATACTAGAATATAGTGATCAATTACTTATTTTAAGTATTAAAAGCAAACAGTGCTTTTAATATTTAAAATAAGTAATTTTCAGTATTAAATTAGATTTTTGCAAAGGGCAGATCGAAAGACTTATATAATTATTTTGATAATCCAACAAAATTATTTTCAGATCTATATCCAATTAAATTTTTAAATACTTTAATAAGACTATTTTTTTCTGTGCGAGAATCCGATCATTTACATTTTGTTGTACTGATAGAAATCAGCGTATAGTGTGTGTCGCGGAAAAGAAAAAGATTTGAAAAGATTTTCACATCATAAGGATGAAATATTGTTCAAATAGATTTTCATGTATAATATTTTTCCCGCGGCAGTGTAACTACCTTTTTTTTTTATTGATACCATACATATCGTTTTACCTGATCGCGATTATACCGGATATTACGAACGGATTAGGTTTCATGTTCGCCGTAATTAGACACAGCCGACATCTCTCTCGTTTCTTTCGGGGATGAAATTAACGCGCGTAATTACTGCACTCGTAGGAGTGTTAATCATCTTCACGGTTATTCGTATATAGTGGTCTCTTAGAAATTAATGTACAACAATTCGCAGGAGGCGGCCGACTTCGTATTATCTCAATGGGGCCCCTCTCGTCGAGGCCTGATCCCTCCTCTCCGGTTACTTCGTTAAAAGCCCTCCTCGGACTCCCATTATTAATCGATTTGCATGACGCCCGCCTCTGACGCCGCGCCGTAAGGATGCCCCGCGCGCTTCGCGCGAGAACGAGAACTACCGCGTATATAGATTACGCGGCGGGGAAAAAGAAAAGGAATCCTCCTTCGGGAAGCGTTTACGCCGTGCGACACACGGAACACTTTGGTCGAGCACTTGGCGATGATAAACACTCGGCCACGCCCACTTTGTATAATTATACCCGGGCTTATAATTACTGGGTTTGTAAGCTGTAAACCGGCGAGACGAGTCGGTGGCGGCGGAGCCCAGAGGAACCTGACGCCATATATCAGCGCGCCGGCGAATGAAATATCGGCGTGTCCGAAACAAACGTCGGATTAGAGCTCACGATAATCGTTCCTCACGAAATTATCCGGATCCCGTTCGCGGTGTCGTCAGGGAGAGGGAGAAAGAAAGAGAGCGCGAGGAAAGCACGTATGTAACGTCGCGCGTCGCCGATAAATCTCGCCGCGGAATTGATAGCGACACGCGCGAGATCACGTCCGCGTCGAAAGAAACTAATATCCGGGCTAGATAGGCCGAGATACATTAATTAATCGAAGGAATAGAGAGTTGGCTTGTTCGTTAATGAACCGACGATCGTCGATCGCTCGTGAAGGACGAAGGACCGTCCGCGTTCAGGACGAAGGAGACGCTCTCGACTCTCATTAAGGAAAAGCTGTTTGTTTTGCGTTAGCCATAGCTGAGTTCAAATTTCTGCGATCAAATTTCAAGTGAAATGAAAGAAAAATGATACATATACACAAACACTGCACAAATTACTCTAAAATCATTTAGAGCTAAAGGGGATTTTATACTTTATTCGATTGACGCAAAAGTTCTGGCTCATCTGTCAAATAAGGTTTAAAATAAAATTACAGCAAAGTTAAAAGAAATTATCGCCAGCAGCATTGCTTTCCAATTTTTTTCCAAATATTTCTATTTATAGAAATTTTTGGATCATTTTTTAAAGAATTTTATATCTCTTTATTTAATAGGAAGAAGTTTAATAAAAAAGTGACAAACTTTTTGCACTGTTAAATCTATTGTGTTAAATTGAATCTTATTTAAGTCGCCACTGCTCCTACTTAATAAATAGTTATTTTTAACTAAAATAATATACTTACTTTTAAATAAAACAATAGAATTTAACCCAAATTTGGGTTAAATTTGAACTGTTTTAAATTATTTAACTCCACCGTTTTAGTAAAAAATAACTATTTATTAAGTAGGAGCAGTGGCGACTTAAATAAGGTTCAGTTTAACTATATGCTATACTATAGATTTATAACAATATGCAGTTCAATAATATGCAGTTTAACAATATGCGGTTCAGTTTAACTACTATAAATTTAACAATATGCATCAACCTAATACTACGTATTTTATCAAAATCGTATTCAATGTAAATCAGAGTCGGAATTTAACGTTAAATCTAAAGAGAGTATGGATTGTTTTAGATCACGCAGGGAATTATTGTAATTTATTTACATTCAATACGTAATCCGTGCGGGCATCTCCTCTTTCGTTTCTTACGATACGAGAGGCACGCGAACAATGAGCCTCCGGCGCGATTTATGAACCGAGCGAAACGAGACAAAAGATCCACCGGAACCGCCACGTACGGCCCGTCCGACACTTCCTGCGCCTTGTGGTCCCGGTTATCATCTCCGGAATGCCGTGGGTGATCTTAATTCACGCGGAGCCGAGGCGTGGCTAATCTGAGGACGATGGAGAGCCGTTTCTCCTTTTCGCCGCCGGAAAATCCGTGACGAATGCAATCACCGTGTACAAAAAGCCGCCCTTGTTGCCGCAGCGGATGCGGCTCGCGCCTTTCTTTGGCGCACACGATGAGTTAGTAAATATATATCCTGTATAACGAAATACGCGACCCAAACGATAGGATTTAATGTACGGTGTAATTTTTCATTTAGAAACATTTACGATCTTATACAGAATTGACAAACGTTGGAAATTACTAAGACAGAGATGCGGCAAATGACAATTCGACGCGAAGAGAAATTATCCATTTCGTATTCATAAAAAAATCTCGCGACAAAATCTCGCTCCTCGGGAGATCGTAAAGCGTTCCTGTTATAAAAGCGCTCTTCGAACGGTAGCGCTAACTCGCGAAATGGCATGTAACAAAAATTAGCGTTAACACCTCCCGGAGTCGGTAGTCTTGAGTGGCGGGGAAAAAAACGGCAACAAGACCGTGAATGGGTGCTGTCGGGTAACGGTATTCAGTCTGTCGAACATCGTAAAAAAACACGCGTGTTCATTCGATTTCCAGAACAGGTTCGGGACGGCCGTGCGTCGGGACGCGCCCCATCTCCGTGAGGCCTCCTCTCTCATTCTCGCCTCGAAGCAACGTAATTACCGGCGCGCTCACATAAATAAGTCTGGGCTATCTGGCTGTACGACGTGGCTAACCGAGATCGAAAGAATCGGGAAGAAATTCGTCGCGTGTGGCTAGGCATTACATCGCCTAGGAACGACAAGAGAGGGGCCGGGATAAGGAAATTTTATTAGCACCCGATACAGCCCGACCCCTCCGACTTAATACTATACAAGAAGAAGACCCATGAAAACGATCGTTTTACATCGTAATATTCTTTTCTTCTCTCTCTCTTTTTTTATTAGCAGCGGCCAAATCAGAGCCCGAAAAAATTATTAAATTAGGAATTGATGTTGATGTGATTGTTATTATTTAAAATCGTTTCTTTATAATTAAAGTAATTTTTTGTAGACAGATAAATTTTATGTGGCTCATATTTTATGAAAAACACAAGGAGCATTAACATAAAAGGAGAGACGAGTTTGCGTTTATACTGGAAGCAAAATTGCAGTAGCTATCGTAACTATTCGAGCCAGTTTTTCGTGGATCGTTAACGCCTATACGGAGGATTGCTAACGACTTTTGCAAAAAAGTGCAAGCTGTAAAATAATATATGGGGAATGTTTCGCGCCGGGAAAGATCTCTCCGCCGATATATACTGCCTCGAAATAACGATCGTCGCGAAACACTTCGATTACGACTGGGAGATGAGTATAAGCGGGCGAAAAAGGAAGTCGCGAGTCAGCGGTGTGACCTGGGCGTCTCGTAAAAGCCGCGGTTATGGCGGTGCTAATGGTTTTTCGTCGTACTTTTACATGCCCGTAATCGGGCTAGGGAAGGTGCGTGCAATAAAGTCGCACGGGCTTGCTGTTAGCCGACGCATTTTCGCGAAGCGAAATTACACGTTAATTCCGTAAGAAAAGCCGAACGAAGGCTAGAAGGTACATCGATCCTTGAAATAGTTGAAATCCATCTTTGGCGGCTCAGCCAAAATTAAGGATCAATTTTTGAAAATTATGATTAGATTTATTCTTCTTTGCCTTCGATATATCGCGAGGCGACAGAAAGGAGAGAATTTGCGTATTACGAGAGAAGTTAACGACCTATCGCGAGGATGACCACCGCGGTCGGGAGAGACGAAGGAGGTTCTGCAGCCCGCGGCTACCGAAAAAAGTAGTCGGCTGGTAGTCCCTTACATTCTGTCTTCCCCTTTACGTCCGCCCTTCGTACACTTTGCGAAGTCGCCATGCCGCTTTTCTGCCTGCCAAATTCCTCCTCGTTTTTTTTTCTCTTGAGAAACAAGAGAAGTCATGAGGGGGGGGGGCATTATCGCGCCATTATCACAAAGCTAAACTTCTGCTCTCCTTTCCGATATCGTTCGTTAAACTAAAAGACTATTCGAGTCTAGATATTTGAAGAAAGATCGTCTTCTGTGCTTTTGACTGAGGGAACCTCGTCACGAAACGTCCATACATCCGGTATACTTTCAACGGTGTAGTTAACGCGATAATCGGGCAGCGTGTTCGGGCGGCAAAAAATGGACTCGTCACGTTCCTCGCTCGTTGCTCCTTTCCGTTTAAATATGCACGGTACCGCACACGTTAAAATGCAATTCGAGCCTCTTTATGCGACACTTCGCTCGATATCGCGGTCATATCGAAACTGGAATTTATATTGTGCGCTTATATATGTATGTCGCGTGAGTTCGTAAACTAAAAGACAGTTTTTAACGAGTGAACGTTAAACCGATTTACGAGCTCTAACGAGTTTTATTCCGAAAACATGGTCGCTTTAAAGAGAATAACGTCTCCCCCTTTCCTGCTATTTCCTACTTTAATAAAGCTGGATAAAAAAAACTGCATCTCCTGAATACATAATGTCCAGCCACCTCGTAGTCGTTTTTAAATCATGTGTTTCATACATTTTTTTAAATTTAAATCTTCAAAGAGATATCGCCGCGTTGATAGAAGAGATACAAATGAAAAATTAGCATTTTTAAGATAATGAAAGGAAATTGATTTTCTATCAAGATTTTGGTCATTTATTATCTCAAAAATGTTAATTTTTTACTTGTGTCATTTTTCTATATCAGTGATTTTTCTATATCAGAGATATCTAAGCATTAGCTTTTCCTATTTCTGGCTCTTATATCCCGTATAATTATCTTTATAAGAGCGGAAGAGACCATATTTTACGCATCGCGTGGAAGTAAACGCGTCTCTGACCTGCCGATCGTGCCGAGGCTGCCCCTCTTCTTATCCGGTAGGCAGTAATCCGGACTTTTGGTGGTGTAGAGCAGATTATCGTGATGATACAGGGGCGGTAGTCTACCACCGGATCTCGGCCTCACTTCGGCCGCGGTGGCGTATCTGCGTAGCAAACGGCTTCCGGCGGCGGATGGTCCCGATGCACCCAGACCGCGCCAGCAGGTACGCACGCTGCAGGAACCCGACACCCCGTGGCACTTGCATTCCAAAGTCAGGGACTGCTCGACCGCCTGTAGTACGAAGCAGTTAATCGCAATTGCATCGTATTCCTTTGGAAAATCAAGCCTCAAGAACGCTAATAGATAATAGAATGGCTGGTTTCATTGTTTTACTTTGGCGAACTTGAAATAATTTTAAGTCGGGATTTTGGCAAAGTATAAAAGAATAAAACTAGCCAGGTTTCTATTATCTCTTGGCGTCCTTGACTCTTCTCAGTTTATCGATAGACCTTTAATTGTACCAGTAACTGAACATGTATCTGTACCGGAACACGTACACAAAAATTTATTTTTAAATGCTTTTTTTCATAATATTATAATTTAATTGTAATCTTCTTTAAATATTTTTACAATTAAATTTTGATACTATAATAAAAAAAAGCATTTGAGATTAATAAATTTTGTGTTCAGATATAGATACATTTTCAGTTACTGGTATACGTTTACTTTACATAAATAATGAGAAATTATTTTACGATAAAAAAAGTAACTATACGAAAACAATTAAATAACTAAAATTCGAACCACTTGTATACGTTTAACGCTCTTCTTATCGATCGCGGCATATCGTATTATCGCGAACACTCACCCTCCGACCCGCCCTGTTGTTGTGCATATTGACCGCGTGCATGAACTTGGCGGTCCCGCCGGTACCGGGCGGCGTTGCGCCCTGGAGGAACCGCTTCGCCATCCTCGAGGCGGACCTCACGTCGTCCCCGCAGCCGCCCCACTTGAAGGAGTTCCTCGCGGACAGCGTGTCGAAGGAGACGGGCATGGTGGTGAAGGATGAGGGCGAGATAAGCGCGGACGGCGAGGGTGGCTCTCTTCGCGGTGGAGTCGCGCACGAACAGGCCGCCAGGCTCCCCAGGGCGCACCCTCGCGCGAGCCGCCAGACCGCGGCAGCGGCTGACATCGCGTAGACGAAGGCCTGCTCTCTCGTTCCTGAACGATAAACGCACGCTCATTGAAACGCGGAAACAGAAACGCACGTTGTGAAAGTTCCTACTGCTTAAATCGATACTTGAGAAAGTAAAACCATTAGCACCAAAACGCATTCAACTAAAAATATCTTCACACATTATATATTTATTAATAGAAGTAATTCTTTTTAAAGTTACTTTTGCGATCATCATTAACAATTTTTATTTAAATCAAGCCGCAATTAAAAACTGTCAAGTATATCATACTAATTATATAATAATTATTACATAATAATACCTTCAAATTTCAATTTTCATCCGAATCAATTTTAATTCCAATTTAATTTAATAATTATACACAGATTACGTTTAATATGTATTATGACAATGTCAAATGAGATTTCGTCGTGACGTTCTTGAATTGACGACCGCGCAGAGACCTTTCTTCCTTCGTCGATCGAGATGATTGAGGAAAAGCTGATTATCGTACTCTCGAGAGCGGAAAATATAAAGCGGCGAACGTTACGTTCCGCGGTCCGCATGATGTATATCTCTCATTGGCGCTTCTCGGTTTTCTCATTAACGGAGGATATCTCGATCTCTCGGGCGCACTTTTATTTACAATATAATCATCGTGAAACGCGAGCGATTAATCCAGCGGAGAGGCCGGTCGCGAAAGAGGGAGGATGAAGACCCGTGGGGAGCTACGGGTTTGTTAATGATCGCTAATTGAGGCGCGCCTCGGTCTTCCTATTTACGTCGGGATTCCTCAAAGGATATTCGATACGTTTTCCATCGGTGCCTTCATCGACCTTCGCATCCCTCCGTCGCGCAACATCACCGATTATAAATCTATTACGAGCAAAGTCAACGTACTTTCTTATTTGAATTGAACTGAATTTCCAATCAGTCGTATACATAGTTCTAAAAATGCAAATATTTAGGAGAAAAAATCTAACGTCGCGTTTTCTTTCTTGTTAGCTTCCTTCGCGACGCAGAGTCTTCAATACCTCTCGAGACATGGAATAAATTTTTGCAATCACTCTCTGCAAGAATTATTGAACGTTTTATGTCATTTTCAACTTTGTCAAGAAGTTAACACACTGATTGTGGCAGAATCTTTTAAAACGCTTGTAAAAGATATGTAATGCCAAAAGAAAATGCTGTCTAATAAAAAATTGTATGTAAATAAGGTAGACCATAATGTGAAGTAAAAAAAATACACTATTCAATACGCTACTCATAATATTATTTAATCACATTATATTATATTTCATCATTATAAATTTATGATAACGAAAATTAACTGAAGCATTCACGGGGTACAAAATTTACTGAGCAGATAATAACGTATTAAAAGGTTTTCGGATAATGTGGTTTTGCAAACAAACCTGTGAGCAATTCGGGCGTATAGTCGGGTGCGCGCTCGATGCTGCTACAATTCCATCTGCGATGTCGAAAGGCCTGCTGGCACACCGTCGACGTATCCTTAGCGGCTTGCACCAAAGCGGGCATCACGTCCGGTGCAGCCCTGCATGCCCTCGCCTGCTTCCTCTCCAGCAGACCCGCGCCCTTCGCGCTGGTGCACGCCTCCCTGGTCCACGTATGCGTGTCGCCGGTACGACCAAGGCCGCTAAACACAACGACGTTCTCCGTCTAAATACGTAACTACGCATTTTTTTAGCTTATCGCTTGTCAAAAACTTTACTATTAAGGAAAAGTTAAACGTATTCGAGGCTACATCCATTAGAAAATCTGTTGTTGAACAATTAAAACTGAAGTTAAGTTCAGACTCTTATCGAAGAAACATTTATTCGATAAAATAAAGTAAATATGAAATTTGTGTCGTATAATATATACTATAAATTAAAAATTGTATTTTGTACGTTTGTGAAAATTCGTCGGCAAATGGTCGTATAAGATGAAAGCTTTTAGAACGAATGGTTTCGTTTCTTCCCCGCCTTCAACACTCCGAAGCATGCGACCGTGGAATTCGGGGTGGCACAAAACTCGGTATGTACAACTCTGTCGGACGATCGCATCGCGCGGGGCCGAAGGGCCGACACAGCCGTGAGCGATCCCACCTCTTTCGGTAGACGATTCCGGGCGCGGAGCCCCGCGCCGTGCCGTAAATCAGGGGGTGAATTTCGAAAATTATAGGGCGCGAGGCTGAAAAGGGCTGGCGTTTAAGTGCCGCGGGTTGAATACCTAGCGCGGCTGGAAACTCGGGCTCGGCAACGCGCGCGCGCGCGCGCGCGCTCGCGCACGCTGGGGATAATAATTACGGACACCTGAAAGTCGAAATGACCCGTGCACGCGGCCCCGCACCGCGTCTAGACGTAACAACCCTGGGAATGGCCGGATCGCCAACCCCGTGTCACGGAGCCTACCCTCGGAATTACCCTATCAAAAGCCCGCGGTTCTCTAATTCGTTATTATACCCGTCGTCGCCGCCGCCGCCGCCGCGCGCCGCCTCGCAGCAAGCTCGTGCGTTTCCCCTCCCGATGACATTTCGGGGCTCGCGTTACGACCCCCGACCCCCGGGGAATCTAATTTCCGCGTAAACGCTCGCGAGCGTTCACTCGCGCGTTGCTTTACGACCCATTGTGAAATCGCGATGCCTTGCGCAAGACCCGCAGCGTTGTAGCGGTTTGTGGACCCTTCCGGGGCCTCTATCGGCTTTTATCTTTCTCCGTTTTATCTTTATCAGATCTCCGTTCTTACATTAATTGAAAATTTTGCGTTTAGATTATTTTTACATCTCGATGATATCCTTATGTCCTGTCCCGTATACATTTGATTTAATATTATAAAAACACTAAGTTCTTCTGGAATAAATATTTTCGTGACGAAAATGAGCCAAAGTAAAAATAATATCTCGAGAGAGAGAGAGAGAAAAAAAGGGAAAAATACATTCTGCTGGGATGGCAGTAAAAGATTACGTCTCTTTACGAGGGTAACGCGCGCGCATTCTTCTTCGCACGCACGGCTCATTAAGCCGCACGCATGAGGGGCGGCAAAGCTTCGCAAGTTCTCTCGGGCTTCGCCCCGCGAAAAGGAGAAACGAGAAGGTGGAAACCCCGTTTTACCCCGAGCGCGGATCTAAGAATTTCCACGACGTTCTTTACGAGCCATAAATATATCCGATCCAAATTATCAGCTCATTAAAGGGCTGCAGTTCGCGATGATTACTTCGGCGATCCGGCATCGACTAACGAGGTACCTCGGAGCTCCGCGCATATAATTCGCTGACAAAATAATAAATGTAGCGTGCTGCGCGTTTCGTACCGCGAGGGTCGATTATCGGCTTGATATCTTAATTGACCGCCCGAATGCAAAATAGAAATTAAATCGAGCCGCCTCAAGTATAAATCCGACCACCAACGTCGGTGATCCTAACTTTATTTTTTTTTCCTCCCCCCCTCGGCAATATTAAGCGCTAGTGAAAGGCAAAGTATTCATTCTTCAGCGTCGTGCTTATCTTTCCTGAGAGCGAATAAGTATGTATCACTTTGAGAGCAGATTTTGCTTTCACTGTAATAGTTAAGTAATAATTCTAATGGGATTCTAATAATAAGCGACAGGTTGAGAGATAGCATTCACTTGTCGAAAATTAGAAAGCGTAACGCGGAGCGTTTTCGTCGCGTTAGATCCCAATTATGATTTTATAGACACGCTTACAGGCGTTTCAAGGCGTCATAAAGAACGGAAACTCATTTTGAGAATTGCGTTAAGAAAATAAGGTAGGGTTCTGTTTAGTATTTAAAGTAACTGTCGACTCTTCAACCTCAATTATCACACCCTTGAGCAAATTGTATCTTTGCCGCGGGCAATTTCGAGGCATAACAAGGTAGATCGTTCAGCACCCGGAAAGACAAGTCGCGACCGCGAGGTACAATATTTAATGGGCAATCGGCGGGTACTTTGCAAGCGGACAGGATCCCCAGTGGAACGCACGACAGGCCACTTATGTGGCTAGATACGATTTTAAGCTGCGTTATGCATTTACTCGGCCCGCAGCTTCGCGCTGCGAAATAATTTACGAGCCGCTCTCTCAAGACGAATGCACGACTATTTGCTATCGCGCCGTCAGATAATTAATTATCAGCGACAGCGCGTAGAGCGTCAGGCCCGATCGCGATGCCCGAAGCGACATCGCGGTTTACGCGGTTCAATTAATTTCTAAGATTTTACCGGGTAAATGTACGTTGACTAACGTTATTGTGAATATTATTAATAAAAGTTTGTTAGCGACGAAGGATTTGATTGGCACATGTATTATTGGAAGATTTAATCGGCTACTGTAGGAATAAGATTTCGCGATGCTAGATTAGTCGTTCGGCTGATCAAGTAGGATGATAATAATGCACGATAAGCACCGTGAGTAAGACATGCATAATTCATCTATACAATGAGATAAATATCTCGGGGTAATGAAGTGGGGCTCGTTACAAAGATCTATCGAGATCTCATAGGAATGTAAAATGTGCCAGTGCAGTGGAAGCGGGCAAAGTGATTTACGGAGTGCCTCGCTACGTGATATAATTGCCCATTGTAACGCAGCTAATAATTTACGAAATACAATGAGTGTATACCGCGCGGACGGCTCACGGTTAGCTCGTCCCTCGCCGCTTCGCGATCGCATTGTTCAATCGCTATCTTCGTCATGGGCAACACTCTAACAGTTTCCTTCTTGCTCTCCTCGAATGCAGTATCCACTCCGATGGATATTTGTCGAAATTGCGAATCTCTCTCGTTTTACTTTGCGATATCGAAACGATATTACTGCAAATTCAAAGTGTGTGTAAAAAGTGCCTCATTTGTATAAAAATTACACATTTAAATGTATAAATTTATATTTTTATGCAGTATAGTGTGTTTATTTTTACACGAATGAACGACTTTTTACACATTTGAATTTGCAGTATTCCACGACGAAACGATATTCGCCCTCTTTCGCAAAAACTTGATCGTGGAAAAAAAGAGCATATCTCTTTTTAAGTCAAAGCATATCGCGTCCGTATATGTATACAGCCTACGAAATAATTCCTTCGATAAAGTAAAACGCGAGTCGTATACTCTTGTAACGTAAAGCGAGTGAGATACGAGACGACCTCCAATTCCGATTCTCCATTCCGCGGTCTTCAGACAGTCGCTACCGTCCAGAAAAATAATGACGTTTTTTTTTATCATTTTACAATTCGATATCCACATACCGTTGACTGTTTAACTTTACGTATTTCCTGCACGAGGAACGTGGCTCCCGCGACAGAGGGAGGTTCACGGACGTTCTTATGGCGGGACATTCTTATGAAAATGCACGGCGTTGAAGAAAAGAAAAAAAAAACAGGAAAGGTCGCGACGCGCGTTTCGAAACGGTCCATCGACCGGCTGCGCTTTCGAAATTCGTTTTGACTGGTGGAATCGTAAAGCGCAGTTTTTACGAGACCGATAATAGGCGGGCGCCTACGAGTTCTCTCCCGTTCGGAGGAGGCTGAAAGAGACGCTGTGCAAACGCGTATCCGGGATGATGAGAAAGGACGTGAAACCGGCTACTCTGAATCCACGAGCGCTCGACACACAATAGATCCCTATTTGCGCGCGTTAATTTTATTGACGTTAATTATTGACTACTACTCTACATTAATTCGCTCTCATTAAAATCGTATTTCTCACAAAAGCTGAACATTCCCTTATAGAAATTTAATATTGGAAGGTAATCATTAATTGTTTATTTTGCGTATTAAAAGGCATTGCAACAACAAATGCTTTCAATGCTCAAAATATATAATTTCCAGTATTAAATGAAATTTTTGTAAAAACTGATAATCTCCTTATCTCAATCGAAAAGGTATCGTAACATTCGACACATCACAATCTTTTTTTGTAACTAACGAATCAAACGTATTCCAATACTTTTTGCAATACTTTACTCCTAATAAATCACGCAGCGGCGTCGCGCTTCATTGATTGAGCCGGCCCGTTTCGCAATTAGTGTCAATTTGTTTGTAATCTCTGTGACGTTGGTGTCCCGAATGACAAATTAACGAGACGCGCGCGGGTTAAGATCTCGTCGCGTGGGACGCGCGCGCGAGAGTTTCCACCGCGTTGATACAATCCACAGCCGCGTTGCCCCGACTCGCGTTCTCCCGCATTAAGAATGCGTGATTTACGAGCGATGCATTGTAGAGATTCGCGCTTCGTCAAGAATGATCTTATAAATAGCGACTCGCGTGTGTGATTCAGCGCGACCCTGCGGGCGCTCTGTGGCGAGGGCTGCGCGTAAATTATTATAAATCGATCCTTGGCCTCGATCCTGCCCGGAGAGATATCCTCGCTCGTGATCCGCGCTGAAAGAGCCCGCGCGGATCGCTCTCCGCGAGAGAGAATGCTATCCGTGACGTCGTCTCGAAGCCATGAGCAACGATCTTCGATCTTTCGAGATGATGATTAATGGACCCGTAAGACGGCCGTCCCGAGTAGATCGCTATTTTTTTCTTTTAATCGCGAGATGATTAGAGAATATCCGTATCGGCGATACGTGTATATACTGCGTGTACGTGCTTCGGAATGCAAAAACGACAATCTTTGTGAGGAAACTCTTTGCCGTTTGTCTTTATCTGTACATCTCCGAGAGAGACTTCATTCGTTCAAGCCTTCCTAGTTTTCAGCCTGAAAAACTGTTGCCGTCGCTGTTTTCGAGATACGCGTCGTTTCTCTTCGTTTAAAGCTCCGCCGCTTTCAGAGACGTCCTGGCGGCGCTCCTTAATGCAGAAAGATCATCGTCCAACACTCGCGCCGGACACTCCCTAAAGATAACGAGATCGATGGCCGCTCAACCCACAAAGGAAAAGCGTCCGAGAGATTTCGGATCGCCGTTCGAAAATTATCCGTCAACGTCGCCCGCAATAATTATAAACAGGAGAAACTCGCGAGGAAGGAGGCCTCGCTTCTCTGGGGCGAGTTCTTGGAAAGCGTCGTTTATAAATCACGATTCCGTGGGCAACCCCTAATCTTCCACCCCCCCCCCCTCTCGGCCATCCTCGTGCCACTCCCCGATCATCTTCCTTCCCGTACTGCACCCTCCTCCCACCCCCTATATATAGCGCCGTATTCCCCCGTATTTTGGTTTTGCACGCAAAACCACCATCACTCCGCCATTCATCATCCAACGCCGCTCAACCTTCTCTCTGTTTCCGCTTTTCCCACCGCCACCCCCCACCTCCCCTTTCGTCGGGGTGGTCCTCACCTCGCGCCCTCCTTCTCGGCCGATGCCGATGAAACTCCCTTACGAATCGCCACGACAATTTAACGCGTATCCAGAGACCCCGAGGAACCCTCTCTCCCCTCGCGGGGAAGAGAGTCAACCGACACAACCGACCGGCACATGCCTCGAATGTTAACGAGACGTCTTCCGTGCGCAGCTCCAGATGAGAGGAGGAACGATTTCCGGCGCAGGCATGATTGATAGAAATTGCGGAGTGATGAGAAAACAACTTGCAGAACTGTCCTAAGCGCGGAATGAAGAAATGAAGAGAAGACAAATAACGATGTCTCTAGCAAGACAATAATAAGTCTTCTCACCCGTTATTTATTTTATAATTATTTTTATTTTTTATTTATTTTATCGAACTTTTATATATATGCGTGTGCAATTATTCCGCGATTAACAACAACTAAATCTAGAGGTTAATAGCAAGTCCATCGAAGTTTCCCCGTAATTTGAAGTGAGGTGGTAACAATTAAAACATTTATATATTCTCTTCATGGGAAAAAAGGCTCGCTGATAAATTCGTTTTAAAAAAAATGTCATTTCTGCTTTAAGAAAAAAATTACAAAAAAAAGCCGGTACTTCTATCGCTGATAATTAAAAAGACTGGCTGGTCTGAAAAATAAGAAGCGTTGCGATAAATTGGCCGCACGAGGCGAGGCATCTCTAAAACCAGCGCTGTATAGTAGTAATCATCCGCTTTTCATCTGCGAAACGTATTGGTCGGGATAACGAACGCGAAGCATCGCCGTCTATTTATGCAGCCCATAAAGCAGCACCAACGATATCTTTATTCCTCGAGAGTACGAAATTTATGTCGACCACGAATCGCCCTCCTTAAATTTCGCCCCGATATCCAAGGAAGGAAAATAATGATCGAGATCGAGAGAATCGGGTGGCTACATCTCCACCTCGCACGCGCTTTCGAGCGTTTCTCTCAGCCGCTAATCTATTTGTTTCTCATTAACGGACCAACATTAATCTTCGAACTCGTTTCTGGAGCCACCGCGAGCGAACGTGAGAGCGCAAACGGGACTCGTCATCACGAGGGTTCACAGGAGGACCTCTCGGATGTCTCTATACTTTTGGCCGAATGATTGAAGATTGCCCACAAGCTATATATTTTAGTGGCTCGCCACTATAATTACGCAAATCCAGCATTCACTTTTTCGACTTTATTTCTTCTCAAATGAAAGAAGTTATAAATATTTTTACAATCTTCTTAATGTGTATTTTTTAATTTATATGTTTATCAATAAGAAAAATAAGATTATCCAGGTGCAATCTTAAATATTCAAAATCTTGACTTCACTGTAACAGAAGAGATTAAGTCGCGATAAATGAAAATGGCGGACGTGAACGGAAATCTGGACTTGAAGTGAGCGTCTGACGGCGCCAGTGCGACTGCTCTTTTCGTTAAAAAAAAAATTGATTAGAGTTTTTCTTACGCGAATAAGACGAGTTTCCCCCGTTTCTGTCTCGCTAAATCCGATTGACATTTCGGAGCTCGCGAATGTCGAGAGACGCGTGGCACGATGTCGGTAGATTCTCTCGCGATTCCATCTTTATCGTACGAAGAGCGTAACGCGCGCGTAATGCCAAAAGGTATAATACAGGAAGAACTGAATAATATTCGCAAAAGTGAATTCAAGGTACTCACAGCCATTTTATACATCTGCCATCTTGGACCAGCAGCAACACGAGCAGCAGTAGCCAGACCTTAGCATCGCTTCGCTTCTTTATCCGCATCTTTCTTCGTTTCGCATTTCTAAAAGTCTGACATCGTCGCCCTCGGTGTCCCGTGAATATTCGCGAAGACGAATTTTCCGTGTGTCCGCGCTTTCAAACACCGCCGACCATCCCTCGATGCGACGTCACTCGCTTCGCGAAGATTCGAGACCTCTTCATCGCGTCCATCGTTCTACGTGTAGCTCCGCGCGAAGCGGAACTGTTAAAAAGCCGCGATATATTTTCCCTGTCCCGATGAGGAAGAAGCGACACTTCCGAGAACTGTCTTTAATACATCTTGAGAAAGTTCTCCTTTCATTTATCTCCTTTATATTATATATATCCACACCGAAATCATCGATCCTACATGCATCGTTACATATTTAGCGTTCGCATTCAGTTACCGGGCTCGATCAATTTTTCCAAAATAGTTGCGCGCGCGACGAGGACGGTTTCGGATCACTTAATTAAGACGAACGATATCTCGAGGAACGGATATCACAGCGGTGTTCGTGAAAATCTTTCTCAGACGCGAGACTTCTCGCGATGTTGACTCACAAACGAGCGAGTAAAAAAAAGAAGAAGAAGAAGAAGACCGCTCGTGGAACGACACGCGTGTAGAGACACCAGGCACCCACTCTCGTTCGAGATCGGCGGAAAACGGTATCGCCTCTCAGGATTCTACAGGATCTGCGGCGATTTCGGCGAACTTTCCCGTGGCACCGTGCGTCCGGCTCGACGGGGAGTCTGCGTGCTTACAGGTGTCCGTCGGAGCAGTCCCGCAGGATTTGCCGGTCGGTGGTGGTGGTGGAGGTCCTCCTACTACTTCACTTCCTCCTACTTCGCCTCCTACTTGAGCCTCCTCTTTCCTCGACGTACGAGGAGCCCAATGATCGACACCGGGGATGCCGCCGAATAAGAAGAAGGGCGATCACCGCCGTTAACCCTCTCCCACATAGTCGAATATATTTTTCCATTATTCGTATAGTATAAGAATAAGCGAGATCTCCTATATGTACCCTTTAGTTTTACATGTTCATTTTTATACAAGAGTGGATATTTTCTTCATAAGGAGTCTCTCAAATATTAACAATATTGACGATAACAATTTTAGAATAGAAATTCAAAAACGCAAATGGAATGATAAAAGTTTCTTTTTCGTTTAATTTTAACTTAGAGTGAACTTATAATTCTCAAGGATTGATAAATGTTACTGAAGGTAAAAATGTTTTTAAAAAAATTAATTTAACTTTATTGATCAAAGAATTGCATCTTTGGAACGAAGATGTATATATTACAAAGAAAATGCAAATTTCTATTGGTTTCTGATTTAACTCGAAATGTTACGTTCATGAAAAATCTCGTGGAATCCTCTTAATGTGAACCAGGGAGATTTTAATTGCCCGTCAATACGAATTATGTTTGTTCCTTAGTCACTAATTATTAATTCTGTCGTCGTACCACGCTTTCCTAGCGTTCGATTCTATACCGAAAATTATACATCTTGAAATTGTCGAATAATATATAACGAGTAATATCCTAAAAAAGAAAGATGAACGGAGGCCGGAGACCACCTCCGCGGGATTGACTTTAACGAGCAGGCGGTATCTTTGTGATCATTTATTTTACTACAAGGCGGAGCCAAAACAATTTATCCCTGCCTTTACCATTTAAAGGCCGGTAAACATTGGTGCTATCTCGCTCCGATTTGTTGATCGGATTCGAACGAGTATCGACCATGAAAACGCGTCTATACGGAAAGGAATCGTCATATTAAATTTGTTTGAGTCCCTTAATTTAACTTGATTATACTTAATATTGACGTGATCTTACCCAATAGTAATAATTTTTATAATTAAATCTTTCTAACCTAAATCTCATTTAAAAAGAATCGTTTTTATAAGTAATTTTCTTTATTTTAATGTAGACTTACATTGTAAGTAAATCTGTACTAAATATATAAGCGCATTTTAGAATTGCTTTCGAATAATAATTTTATGTCTGTTTAAGATTTTTTAAATATTTTATTTACGTACACGCATTGTATATCGATCAATTAGTAAATCAACGATACAATTAGCGCAAGCAAATTTGAAGTATTGTACGCTTCAATTGGAAGAAGCCGCACGCCTCCTTGCTCCTCGCTAATTACCGTGCCAATTTTGTCCACGGTGCCGATCGTTCGTCTTCCTTCCCATTCCCCTTGGCCCGATGCCTCGCTCGGCCCTTCCGTTGCCCCGCGTTGCCGTCAATAAATAATCCTCCGTCAGACGTTCATTACGTCGTTAAGTTTCGGGGCCCCGGACTTATATCCACCCTCCGTCCCGCACGCGGAACCCAACGAGCGGATTCGCCCGCAGCGGTATAACCCTGGAAATACAGTGTGCCGTGTAAAAAGGCGTGCCGATCGCGCCAATCAATAAACGATATCGGCATTAGTGAGGCTGAAGCGCGACGAGTGACTTCGTTAAAAATTATTTGGTCTTTAATAAAAATGATCGAAATTTAACTTCCATTTGAGATGAATAAGGAAGTAAATGGTATTGCGCAGTTATAATGTGCTAAGAAAAGATTCTAGGATAAGGAGCAATTAAATTTTTTTTAATATCAATTGGTTTTAATATAAAAAAATTAATTGATCAAATACACGATTACCTTTTATTTAGAGATTAAATCAGATTACAAGTATGAAAATCTATTACGGTCGTTGTGCGATAATTAAAAATTTTGTAGAAGTGAATTATGTAACGTGCTGTACAGAGCTTAAATTTATTCTTGATTTAACACTTAATTAATAATTGAAAATTTTGTAGAAATGAATAATTATACGTAATGCGCTGTGCAGAGAGCTTTTTTTTATTTTCGCGCCAAATTAATACCGCCAACGCGGTAAGATATCGCGATGTAAATGTCTGCACTGCGCTCTAACTGTAAAATCAGATAACGGATGCCAACGTTGCTCGCGGTATAAGGATAACTGGAAAAGATCGAATGACAGGCATTAGTTGCACTTTCGCGAGCCACGGAAATGTGTAGCGCGCAAATGCATCGTGCAATTACCGCGCGGCAGTGTTGCAAAAGTATTCCGAGAAGTAGCGTGTGTTTCTCGCAGCGAGGTGAGATCCGCATGCCGGTTGTACCCATATATACGCGCGCGATGCAACTTCGACGGAAACAAAAGTATAGAAATATCTTTTGTTCGTTACCACCCGGGTTTGGCGGAATGAATGGCACATTAACTTATATACTTGCGGCGCTCGCGCAACGCGTTTACACCTCATTAATTTAAGAACCGCGAATGGACGAATGAGCGCGTTGCGAACGCCGCGCCCGGATCTCTGAGAGTTTCTCGCGCAACCGCGTATTATACGCGCCATAAAGTTCGTCCCGTTACTTATCGTTAATATAACGCATTCGTCTAATTATCTTCTCGCGATCCCCGAATAAACTCCCTTCGTTTTTCTTGATTTCGTCCCGATGTCGTATGCCTCGCCCACGAAGCTCTCCGTTTTTCGCTTATGGAAAAGAATACTTGCACCGCTCGTCGTGGAATTAACGTGGAACAACGAGAGATGTACACACTCCCGCTTCTCCCGCACTTTTCGCCAACTTTTAATATTTACGAAAGGCAGAAAAAAAAAATAAAGACGTCGCGTCGTCGGCTGATCGGGCCGAGTAACGAGCTAATAAGGATGAAGGATCGCGATGAGGCGTCGGTGTACCGAAAATAAACTGGTTAAAGGCACGACTTTATTAGCGGGGAAAGTTGGCCCGGGAGAGAGGGAAAGAGAGCCCCGAGAGCTCCTTCGTCGTCAGATTATTTCCCGGCATTATTCGCCGAAGAAGACATCGGCTATAAAAAAGGGACAAGAGCAGATCCGGCGACAGCTGCTTCGCTATTAAAAGCGACTTAAACTCCAAACCCTTCCTACGATCGTAGAACGCGAAGGTATCCCTTCCTCCTCTCCTCCTTCCATCTTCCGTCCAGCCAGTCAGTCTCTATTTCTCATCCGCGCTCCCTTTCGCTTCTTCTTGTTCCTCTTGCTCCTCTCCGCGACGTCGTGCCATCCCTCTTGCCGTGATTACGCACGGGCGAAGCGTAAAGCCGCACGCGTATATACGCGCCTGCGACTTCTTGCCTGCAAATAAGCGAATTGCTAAATGAGCCGTAAAGCCGAGAGCCTCGGGGATGTGCAGGAAGAGGCGAGAGGGGGATGGGGGCGGGCGGGAAGGGGGAGAGAGAATGCGCGCGGGCCCCGCTCGGTTGGTCCTTAGATTAGAATTTAGAGCCCGGCATCTCCTCTCTCGGTCTCTCCCGCGGTCCCGGCGAGGCACCGCGGGCACGTGGGGAACGGCAGTAAAACACGCCGTCGGGAAGAATGGCCGTTCGAAATATTAAAGAGCGAGATGAGAAATGGACCGCGAGTGAAGGGACGCGCGCGCGCGCGCGGGACGGCTATAGAATTATTGCCCCTCTCCGTTGCGTCCCGCAATAACTTTCGCGACTCTGCGGTATTAATTAAGAAAACGCGCGTCTCGTTTCTTATGCCTTTATTGCAAAAGCCGTATTCGATACGCGGACTCGATTTAGGCAAGAACGCGATGACGCAGATATATATCGGTCCTGACCGTCAGGGGGGCGACCCGGGTCTTCGTAGAATTTTTGTTTTCTCAAACGATTAATTTATCTGCGGATAGAATGCGTGAGCGCGATCGTATAAGATATACCGATAAATGCGTAGGAACGTAAGACGGAAAAGCCCCTTGTGGGTTCACGCTCGCCGACAAAATCGGAACGTCGCGAAAGTTCCGAACTGTCTATTTGCATGGACACGATTAATTAATACGATACCGGTAATTAAATAGATATCAACCTTCTCCGCGCACGACGCCGGGCGTCCAATCTGCATAATCTCTATACAATGACGTCAGTGAAAAGAAGAGTTTTGTCCCTCCGACGATAAACTTTTTGCCACCCTCCACTCTCCCCCCCCCCTCAACGGTCAACACCCGCTACCCCGCTAATAAAGATATACAGGGTGACTCCGAAACTAGCAGAACGGAACGTTAATTACGGCACGGCGCGTTCCTTACTACTAAGATCTGGAACAAAGATTGAACGAATGGAGATATTGAGTGAAAATAAAATTAAGCAATTATAAAGTTACATCATGGCATATACAAAAGAAAGCTTTCGTCTTTATTAACATTCGAGAAACTTCATTTTAGCAGAATCACTATTTCAAGCTTAATCATCAAAAAGTATTCTCCTTGACGATAACGAAATTACATGAACTAGAATTTCTTTGCATTCGATTACAATTTAATAATTTAAAACGATTTATAACATTATTTATAATCGCAATGTAATTGCTTTTAATTAATTTACAGAATATTGATCATTTACATTATAAAATATATTTATAATATTAAAATGCATCTCGCTATACAGTATTTAAATTTATATAAAAACTCAGATCGCTATACAATATTTAAATTTACATAAAAACTCTCAGATCACTTTCAGAATAATTAATTTACAGTGTTTTCCAATTTAACATTCACGTGAAAGTCACAAAATCTAATAAATGTATGTGTGAGAATTATTTTTTCTCGAAAATTATTGAATGTACAATATTTTTTGAAATTACTGAAGAGCGAAAAGAACTCAGATCGCATCAGAAGACAAGAAAAGAGTCATCCGGGGAGTTCTTCGCTTAAATCGCGATTAAAACTGTGACAAGTATTGCCTCTTGGTATCAAATTGATTCGCAAGCTCCATTTGTTTGTGATAACGAACGCATCATCGACACTCGCCTCAAAACTGGTTTCCTCCAAGCTGAGATTTTCCTCGACTTAAACACAAATGCACTAAGACGAGGTCGAAGTGAAGTCGTTAAGGTTGCAACGTAACTTCGCCCATCGTCGTGAGATGCATTTCGCTGATCGGCTGATAGTCGTCCGGCAGCCAGGGCATCCAAGTGTTGTTAAAGTGGTATGGTAAGCCAGCCGGATCGACGGGTTTATTGGACTCTTTCACGAGGACCGATTTATAGCTGTCGATGAACACGTTCAATCTCTCCACGACCTGCAATTGCGTATAACGACGTCTTCTTAAAGCAGCATTTCTCATTTCCATCTCGTCCGCGCCGCAGATGGAACGACGTTTACGTAATTATATGTATACGAGTCATTTTCTTTCATAGCGATCGTAGACGCCCGTTACAATTCAATATCATTTTGTTATCGGCGCAATTAGCTTGTCAGTTTAGAGCAGAAATTGATTGCTCGTTATACACCGATTATGACATATTATTTCATACTTAAACTCGTCTTATTTGCAATTGTTTGGAATATTGCGAAGAGACGAGTGTCTAAAATGTATACGTAAATAAGCTTATTACCTGCTACTTCAATTTAGTCTTACCGTAGGATGCTTCGAGGACAGGTCCGTAATTTCGCAAGGATCTTTGTAGATATCGAACAAGCAAGTGCGATTCGCGCAACTGGAGGAATTCGTAGTATCCTCGCAAACTATCGTGGCCTCCCTCCGGAGCTCCTTTATTTTGGGTGCATTTAATACGCGAGCTGAAACGCTCGCGATGGCCAACGCGGCTGGTGACGTCAGCACATTCGTCACATTGTATTTGGGATACGACACGTTATTACCGCTATAATAATTATAATGCTTCTGATAATCGGACTTATCTGTATGGAAGAGAAAGCAGTTGGTATTAATCATTTACACATTACACGTTTACTCTTAAATCGAACTCTTTATGAAAATAAAAAATGAAAGGGATAGCGAGAATTCAGAATTGATTGGTATAGAATTGAAAAAAAGTTAATAATATGTACCTCTAACGAGTTTATAACGTTCCATTATTGCCGCCTCGTTCTCTTCCTGCATGATATTCAGGAGAATCGATCTCCGTTCGGCACTTTTCACTCTCTTAATCGCGGACCATTGATCAATGCCGTCCAGCTGCTTCAGATCACTCGAGTTACCGCCGGCCGCGGAATACAGTGTCGGCAGCCAATCGGCAATATGAAACAAATGCGTCGAGACCCTCGACGAATGGTCAATCAAGGGTGAGTAGACGCACGCCGCGCCCCGAACTCCCCCTTCGAACAGGGATAATTTCAGCTGCAAATATACCAATTTCAGTTTCATGTGCAATTTCATAATTTTAAACAGCTATTTCCGCAAACTGCAATAATAATAATAATCTATACTATTATCGGCGTGCTATTAGCGATATAGTAAACGGTATAGTCGCGAACGAAATTTCAAGCGTAGAACTGTAATTTCGATTTGTTCGTATAGAAAACGGCATTTACCCCCCGCAGCGGATAATTGGATCCGTAATTGGCCAAGTACCCCTCAGTCTGCGCTCCATTGTCAGCCATAAAAATTATGATCGTGTTCTTTAGCATGTCCCTCCTCTTCAGAGCGTCGACCACCCGACCGACTGACTTATCCATTGTGGCAACGACACCTAAAAACAAAACGTATACGATTATTAAACGCTATAAAGTTAAATAATGCGAAAGCGCAATGTTATCACAACTAAAGTAGAGTAAAGTGTGCGAGGAGATAATAGACAATAGTAGTAATTAAAGTTATCTGTTATCAAACAGTTTGAAGTGGGACGCGCATCATAACGAAGAACAGTATTTAGCTACTGCAATAAAATTGTGATATATTTGGTATCAGAACAAATTTTGATGCGACACATTACGTTCAATCTGATGTCACAGTATCCGTTTTCCAGAATTAAGAATGTAAAATTAAAAAATTTTACTGAATAAATTTGTTCACAGGAGCATGTTAATTTATTATTAAAACGATCAGAGTAGCAGATATATTTTGCTATTACGATAAAATTGTCTAGAATGTACGAGAATAAATAAAATTAGAGCATAGAAAAAATAGAGTAAATATACTCTGATCGCTTTAATAATAAATTAACATGCTCCTGTGAACAAATTTATTCAGTAAAATTTTTTAATTTTATATTCTTAATTCTGAAAAATGGATACTGAGTAAGATTATAATAGAGTAAGTTTGTTATGGACAAAGTAATTCAAATAGTGTAATTGAGGGATATCGAAAGCCAATAGAGTAACGTCTATTCTTATCTGGTATAGGGTAGTCACTATGACTATAAATAGTCACTTTTAATCGTCTCTTTGTTGAGGATTTACAGTTCTAACAAAGCTGTTCTAATTACATTTTTTTTGTTATTTATACGCGATAACTAACGATATGTGCAACAGTGAAATATTTGATGGATCAACAGAACTGACTCTCGTTGTTTGTAAAATATGAAACAAATCAGTTAAAGGATTATTTCACAATCGCGATTAAGTAAGACGCGCTTTCTGATTTCGCATAAAATTCATATTCTAACGATACTCCTGATAAAAGCGATCAGGAGGAATTACGCTTACTCGCATACTTCCTTCTGTTCAGATCTTTGATGTAGCCAAGAGTGGCGTTCGTTTCTTTCCAATTGCGTACTTCCATAATCTCTTTGGCGTCGCTAGAATGGGGGGCGAGATGTGCCAGTTGCAGGTACAGGGACTTGTCGGTGTTGTGCGACGATATAATACTTTCGGCCTCGTCACTTATGAGATCAGTCATGTAGTCGTATCTGTATTCAACCGTGTGATTGTCGCCCACGATGCGGTGCAAATCGTAGCCCAAGTTTTCCTGGAAAATGATATATAGTTTGTACATATATATATATGTATTGTACAATTTTATTATTACTATACGTATATTATTTACATTGCGATTAGAAAAGAATCGCCACATGATGGATCGATCAAATCTCTGCTATAACCTATTGCAAACGGTTTTACAACAATCAATATAATTATATTAACTGTTGAATCGACTTATCAATATTTTTATTATAATTTCATATAATATATAGTGCTGTTTTTCTCTAAGTATGGAAAACTTACACTTTCGTAGAGTGTATGATTGAAATATTGAATGAAGCCGGTGAAATATCCAAAGAAAGTGTCGAAACCACGACGGGTGGGTCCGAAATTTCTCGTGTGATAACCAACATGCCATTTCCCTATGAGATGAGTGGTGTATCCGAGTCTACGAAGATACTCAGGTAGAAGAGTGTGGTTCAAGGGTATCCCACGTGGCTCGGCTCCTCGCAAGGGATAGCCCTGCATGCCTACGTTGTATAATTGATTCACAAATTAAATTCGAATTTTTTCTTTCCATTTCTCCAAACAGCTTCGGAGCGTTTTTACGCTTTGTAACGTACAACAATGATTGCGATTTGATAATCAATAAAAATATAAATTGTAAATAATGAAAAATATGTAATAGGTAATATAATATTATAAGGGTAAACTTTTGGAAATTATCCACGTTCTATTTACGCATCTTTCAATTAAAGCATTTTTAGTGTTCCTAAATTGAGAGTTTACTTTTTCATCTTCTTCATCAAAGTGTCTTCACCTTCATTAATAACTGTTAATAATAAATAATAAATAAATAAAACAAATAATAAATATAAACAACAAAAAATATCAGAAAAAATTAAACTCAAGCGGATAATTTTTACGTCGACAAGCGAAGTAAAAAGTCGCCTGTAATTTGCTACGTCGTAAAATGATACAACGCGCTGTATTGTTGTAAGTCCTGCGCTAATTAATGGATTACCTGTCCTTATAGGATATCGCCCCGTGAGGAAAGCTGTTCTCGATGGTGTACATATTGGCATCACATAATGTCGATTCAATATCACTCCGTTGTACGCGAGGGCGTCTATATTCGGCGTAGGAATCTCGTCGGCACCGTGAAAGCTGACGTCGTTCCATCCCTTAGTCATCGATATGCATATTAAAAAGCGTGTTACATGATTTACTAAATAAGGTCAACTATGCAGTAATGAGTCACTTAACAGTTGTTTCATTTATATTTGATATGTTTATATCAAAATCGATTTACACTAACAATTTTTCGTGACATTGTGAGTGACACGATATCTATTCCTGCTCGTACAAAAATGAAAATGAAACATTAATAAATCTTGATAAAAACATTCTGTAATAACCGGTTCTTTGGCCATTTTCTTCAATATAGGCGATTATCGCTTGATTTTTCGACTTTGCATTATACATATACATTTCTCATTTAACATTTTTAGTTATTAAGAAAATTCAGAAAAACCTTGAGAGATATATGTGACACAAGAAAATCAATTTGCTTTAAAAAGAGCGTTCTTGATAATAATAATAAATGCATATGTAGCGGTTAAAAGAACACAGATCTTTAAATTAAACTACTATTTAAATCGCGTGCTACTTTTTATCGAAAAAATTGAATCATTTACAAATATTCTTCGATTAAAATAAGGTAAAAGTTGTTTCAAGTTCTCTTTATAGGTCATTGAATTTTTACTCGAATATTCTAAATTGCACTGTGCAAAGGAATTTAGTTAATCTCAATATCGCGGATAAAACAGGATGATGATTTCTTACAAGATCATCAGCGATGATAACGACGATATTGGGTGGCTTCACGGAGACGTAGGCCAAAGTGAAATAAAGAAATACATTTAAAACTATCAGTACGACGGTAAACGACACACAGTACTTTATATTCATCACTTTCACCATTGCTTCTGCGCAGTTTGATGATTCACCGAAGTTACGCCCAATTCGCACAATGTCGCGTGGAATCGTTCTGTAATCGTCTGTATATTATATTTTGAAACGTTAAAGTTTACCGCGCTAAGACGGAAGACTCAGCGAAACGATGAATGATTCATCTTTCACGAGATCAAAATTTATCTTTTTAGTAATTAATTATGATCAAAAAGATCTTGGGAAAAATGACAAATATATAATATGATAAATGTTATCTTATTTTCGATAATGTCTAGTTTTTGCTCTTCTTTTACCGTAGCCAGGTAACGGTAACGACAAAGTTCGACAGTTCGAACGATCGTTCGGTTTCGCATTGGGCTTGATACTGCAAAGTGCGAGATACACATTGCGAAATTTATATAGGTATATATGACAGAGCGATAGCATTCACGCGATTAACGCGACCTTATAACGATAAGTGTACATATCTAGGCTATAAAACATAGTCTGTTTTTAATCTTTTTATTACAGTTTTCATGTCGTTGACATGAAAGATTATAATTGCAGTGTTATGCGAAGCGTATTACGCAATTACGATATATCACTTTGAATAAATTTGCAATATAGCTAATTTTGTAAACAGAATATTTTTTCATTTAATGTATGTTGAATGTTAATTATATTCGAAGAATACATTAAAAGTATCTGAATATTTATTTTATTTTCAAGTTTCTATGCGTTTGTCTATCATATAATTAATGTGGTTATATATAAATTATTATTTAATTACAAGACATATATAATTAATAATAAAATATCAATTTAAAAAAGGTACTGAAAGATATTTTTATATTCTAGTAATAATATTAATTGAAATATAATAGCCTTCGATACTTAGGTACGTGACAAAAATTTTGCGAAATTGAAATAATGCTGAGATCGATCCAATTCATTATTCATTATCAATGTCAAGGTAATATAATCAAACAATAAAAACAAAAAACGTATAAATTTTGCTTTCACATAAGGTGGCTTAATTATACCGAATACAAATTAAGCAATAAAAAGCAAAATTAACGGAAAAAACTCAAGATAAGTGATCTTGTTACATTAACAGATTTATGTCCTTTCAGAATTAGTTGTTTTGTATTTACAATCCTCAACTACGCGTGCAAGACTACGTGCTGTACTGCGAAGAAATGACAAACATAGGTTTGAATGCGAATTAATTGAGATAGGTGTTTCGCAACCGGAAAGTTTAGATCAGTCTAAATGTCGATTCTCGATGAAGTCGCGTATTAGAGTATAAGAGATGTATGTGCGTCCGAAATTTATTGATTATATAGGAAGTTAATTAATCTTCGGTTGTCGTGTGTGTGTGTGTGTGATTAAATTATCAACTGAAATGAAAAAAAAAAAAAAAATTTTCACACGTCATATTTATATTTTATAGATAAATTTTAAACAGAAAAAGATTTATTCAGTCACGAGTAAAAGCAACGTCTTTGTCACATCGGGGTCACTTTCTAATGGTTGCCAAACACGCACGAGAATTTTAAGCTGCACAGCGTTACTGCCTAGAGAAGAAAATTCAAATTACTACAGCTAGATGATGCAATTGAGTGCTATACTTCGGAGATATCTGTTTCCAAAGTAAAAAAGCTGGAGTCACCATGACCCCAGTGACAATCAAAGGTTAACAAAAATTCATTGAGAAAATAAGAAAATTTATACACACGCTTGGAAAAGTCTGTAAAATTATCTTTTCAAGATGAATTGTCCGAGATAAGACTTCCTTTCGACGCACATATTATTTTTTCTCTATTCTCTTTAGGTTGCAATGTGAGATAACTAAGCCATATTGCATCTAAATAACTTGCAATGTTACAGTGACGTCAAACGGACGTAAAAAATTTAATAAATTCAGTAAAACTTTCGTCAAGTCTGTCTGTCGAAGTGACAATGTCACGTATAATAATCTCGTCACGTTTTATAGTCGAAAAAAATCTATAATACTATGCGATAGAACATAAATACGCGACAAAGTGACAATACAAATGCTAATTTGTCGAACAATGCAAATGCTAATTCGGACATAGTTCACGTTTAACGTATCTGTAACTTATGCGTGTACAACTTGCCACGTGCATTATCGTGTTATGACATTGCACGTTTTACATTGTGTGATCCTCCCCGTCAGAACGCGTAAAAGAAAGAAAAAAAAACGTAGACACAGGAATACCTCGAAATCGGCTCCAATGTGGCAATGAATTATTCTAGATGGACCGGGATGGAATTACGTTAATAACACGTAATAACACGTCTATCAATTTCGATCGGATCAAACAATTGATTTTGTTCAGACGAAAGCTTTGCACACGACCGCCACGAGAACGATCCCGATATGAAGGTAACACGCCAAACCGGCCAACTGGGCCGCCGCGTTGTACAAATATGTGCCGTCGCCCGACGGTATCCACGGCTCCCACGTATTGTTCGTTCTTCTTGGATCAGCGAGCCAATCGACCGGCGGCTTAACTTGTATCGCGATACTGCGCGAGTAGTTTTCCAGAATCTGATCTAGTTCCCGAGCGATCTGCAAGAAGGAAAAAAAAACGATTAATGCAATCGAATCGGTTATCTCGTCATCTGGTTCGAGATCGGAAAATGAGAAAGGCTTGAATAATTCAGCTTGAATTATTTAGACGAGCGGCTGATAGATCTCAACGATGTTCAGTAATGCATAACAATGCATAATTTAACACTAGAACCGCGGATGAATCACTTATGATCCATATTGCTTTTTTGTGATTTTTGAATAAGTGGACAAAGTTGTAATTAAATAATAATACACTCTTATTAATACTAATTCAGTCTACACATAGCCATAGTCAACAATATGTTACTCACACACAGTGAAATAAAAGCGCGCTATATCCACGCGCGAGTTTGAACGTGACTATAACTTATCGTACGAAGCGTACCGCTTGCCTTCCTCGCAGCGAACGAAACTACGGCGATTTATCGCGATCAATTATCACAAATAGTGATAATAGTAATATACTAGTATATAATAGTGATGATGCAACAACTTTGCGAAAGCACTCTGCCGTGCCGTGCAGAACTTACCGATAAAACAAAACCAAAATTGTCAGAAATAAAACAAGAATAAAAATGATCTTAATACATCGTTATCAACGGTGAATCTAATCGCGGTTCAATGTAAATTTGAATTTTTACGAGGAAAGATTGCCATCATAAAAGACAAATTACTTGTAATTAATTATTGTAATTATTATTTATGAAAAGTCACAAAAATCTAAAGCTCTCAGGTGCAAATCCAAATTAACTGGAAAAGAAAGAACTATCAGATGGATCAAAAACGGTACAATCGCAGTTCTATAGTGTTAAATCTTTCAGATCCGCAAGATTAAACTCTGAAAGATATATGTATGATCACTGATTACACATTTGTACTTTTGTAGCAGTTTAACGAATAAACGTTTTCTCACCCTCGGATATTGATTGACGACGTTCTTCGTTTCGCAGGGATCGTTCTTGATGTCGAAGAGGCACTCGGTGACGTTGCAAGTGATGAAATTGTATAAACTGGCGTTTGATCGACAATTTACCGTGGCGTCTTGACGTAATTGCATTATTGTGCTGGGCTGAGTAACCGGACCGCCCAGGTGATATTTGATGCTCTGCGACACCGTGCTGTTCAGAATGGCCTCGTAATAGGGTGGCACATACTCATGTGTGCTTTTCCTCGAATCGTTGTAGTAACGCCAGGTATGTGGTGTATAATTTCTTTCATAATCGCGATGATACCCGTCGTAATGGCCGTTCTCGATCGATCCTAAAAAACGTAAACTTTTCGTGAGGCTCTAAATATGAAAGACAGCTTGCGAGTTGAAAATGTCTTCTCCATATTTTGAATTAATGTTTTGTGAATTTTGAAATCTACGAGTTTGCGATTGTACCTTTGACAAGATTTTTTATGTAAAATTCGAATTTTTGTTACTATTAATATTTATTTAATATTTACGTATTCTACGATTTTACATAGTATTTCGTAAGCTTTACTGTTGAAACTTCAGCTGAAAAAATTATTCATACGCATCGTCACGTGTAAATTGTTGTCGTTATTTTGCTTAATCACTCGATAACCTCGGGATTTATACCTCGAAGAAGTTTGTAGTGCTTGAATATGGCGCCCTCGGTCGTGGAAATCTCGTCGATGTTCAGCAACAGCCTGTCCCTGACTGTCGGTTCATCTTTGTCCAACATTGGCCACTGATTCATCCCGTCGATCTCCCCCAAATCCCTCAGATCGCCTTCAGCGGCGGCATAGAGGGTCGGCAGCCAGTCGGATATGTGCACCAGGTTGTCGCACACACGTGCTGCTTTATGCAATTTTGGTGACCACAACACGGAGACTCCTCTCACCCCACCCTCGTAAAGGGTGTATTTCATCTGCCGTCATAAATCACACTCTTATATCAAGCCTTGTCTCTCGAAACATCAAAGTGGCTCATAAGCTCGCGCGTGTCTCCGCGAAATTTTCGAATAAATTTGATAAGACGCGGTTTTACAGTCTATAATATATCTAATATATATATATATATATATATATGCATGTGTGAAGTTAGCACCCCAATAATAAAATTCCATAGTTCTGATCAGAGTTGCCGCTTCATTTTGAAAAGACGAGGTGTTTTCTATAGTTTCTAACAAGAGTTCTGCTTAATAACAATTTTTAATTTAAATTAAAAAAATGGGGTGCTAACTTCATATCAAAATTTAAATAAAAAATTGTTACTAAGCAGAACTCTTGTTATAAACTATAGGGAACTGTTCGTCTCTTTAAAATAAAGCGAGAATAATCAGAATTTTAATGTTAAGGTGCTAACTTTACACACGTAATTGGAGGCCAGTGTGTGTATATGAAGTTGTGATTATAGTTCATTCTTATGAAATAATCGGTTCACTCGGAATATATACAATATAATATAAATTAATTTACTTGATACGAGTATTTATAGTCACGATACGAAACGTGACTATTATAAAAGCCAAGGAAGGAATCGAAGCCACGGTGCAAGGGGGTGTACTGTGGCGTGTGGTATCCCAAGTGCCACTTCCCGATCAGCTTCGTCGTGTACCCCAGTCCCCGCAGGTATTCCGGCAGGATCCTCACGTTGAGGGGCAGCCCTCTGGGCTCGCCACCCTGTATACTTTCTCCCTGCATACCTGTGCCGAACGATATAGATGGGCTACATACGAGAGTATCTTGGACGGTGCATTAATTCACGCGCGACGTCATCGCGCGCGTACATATGCATCGCCTCATTGTTATTATCTATGCGCGTCAAATTGCCGTAGCCTTCGCGCGTCTTTTTGTCACTCGCAGCGCAAATGTCGTAAAACTTTGCGGTATGAAGAAAGAAAACAAATGGAAACTGATTTCTTCGGTTAAAAAAAAGAAAGAGAAAAAAGATGATGTATGGAAAACATGTTTCTCAAAAAAATTTTACGATGCACGTAAATAAAGTTATTATCGTGTCCAGAGCGATGAATAATACATACCCATACGTATCGGATATTTTCCGCTGAAAAATGCGGTTCTGGAAGGCGTGCTGGACGGTAAGACGTAATGCCTGTTTAATATAATTCCATTGTACGCCAGGGCGTCTATGTTCGGGGTCGGTATCTGATCCGAGCCGTGGAAACCGACGTCGTTCCACCCCTGAAAATTTGTGAAACGTGTTGTTTTCTGTCGGCACGTATAGTGGAAATGTACAATAAGCATTAATTAGTAATTACTAGCGGAAGTGTTAACGATTCGATAATTTACATTTTGCAACTATGTAAGAGCGTTACATATTTACACATGTATATTTCAAGTATTTTCCGCGCGCGCATACCGGAAGCCGGCACATAAAAAATTACGTGATCGAATTAAACTGTAATTGGCCTGTGTAGGAATTAGTATTCCGGCGTGTAGACCGAATGAGTCACAATTCGGCGACGTGCGTACTTGTTGATTGTGGAGGCGTGGATAACACGTAAGCTACGCTAATTAACTCAACTATGGACAATTTTAGTACGGATACTTTTATGGAAATTAATCATGTCGAATTGAATATATAAAGCAAGCGCAAGCAACGCCAGTATGAGAGTGATAGTTCATGCAAATTAAAGTTTTATGTAAAAGACAAAAATAACTTTTTTCATTTGGTCTCAATTCTACAAAATACAAACGGATTAAATATAATGGATTAAATATATTTAAAAAAGAATCCATATATTAATCTCTCATGGACTTTTCTTTTAAGATTTTTCCTCTTCCTTTGCTTATATTATACTGTATATTAAGACTATAAAACTTTGTACTTATAAATACCTATGAAATATATTTAAATATCTAAACTTGTTTAAAGACTAGGATATTTCTAATTAATCTCTTCACCTCTTTAATTAAATTTTCAATTTCTTGAAGACAAGATAATGGTTGGTATTTATAATCGATTCTTATTTCTCAAGACTGTTTTAAAATGCTAATACAGTGAGTTTTGTGGTTTATGATGATCTTGAATATAAAAATCGACTATGAATATCGCCTATTAATCAATATGAATATAAAAGGATGGAAAAGAATTTAACGATTGCAAAACACTCTTCGGAAATTAAACAGAAAAAGAGAATATTTAAAAAATGCAAATCATATTCATTTATTTTAATACGTTTATGCTTTATGAGACTATTGTCAAGTCAACGTCTATATATATCCATTTTTATCAGTATTTTTTATCTTACCAAATCATCGGCCAAGATGACGATTATATTCGGTACCGTTTCGTAAAAACCACCAAATGCAGTCCCAAACAGCAGAAAAAGGTATAAAACATGATAAATGTTAATCCGTAATATCAATGAATGCATCATCTTCGTGACGATTTAAAGATTTCTGGATATTCGGGGGTGCTGGGAGAAAAAAAGAAATTAAGCTTCGCTCTCTTCGCCTGCGGACTTGGTCTTCTTCGCACTTAACTCGCGTCACTCAACAGCGATACTCGCGTAAACAAAAGGAGGGTGCACCATTTACGCGGCATATATATACACCGACGAGCTCTCGCGAGATGCGAAAGGAGTAAGGAGACGACACAAACAACATTTATATAGCCCACCCACGAAAGAGCGCGTCATGAATGGATCAAAGAGAATGGGAAGGGAAGATACTAATGATTGTGACAATGACGGGGATAACGTGTCTTAAACTGGGTTGCTTCTCGTCTTACAACCCATTTTCTCTACTTATCTAATTTCCCCCTCCCTCGCCCCTCCGACGACTATATGTTCTTACGTTCGCGTAAAATTTAGAAGACGTAACGTACGAGAAGCGCAGTATCCCTTCGTTCCGTCTGAGGTTTCATACTGATCCTCACGATTAAAAATGCTTCCTGTAAAAATATATAAGCTGACAAATAAAAGAAATTAACAATATATACATATATATAAAATTATATAAAATCATGAAAAAGTAATGAAATCTTTAAGCCGATATTACTAAAAATATATTGCGCGATTACTTATAAGTCTTATAAGATGGGATTCATTAAAGCCATAGTTAATCTAACAACTTAAATCTTAAAGACATAAAATTGCCACAATCAATTAAATTTTTTTATAACATAAACTTTTTATAATAAAAATTATATGAATATGCATAGTAGTTGTGAAAAAAAAAAATGTTTATAACTTTTGCGTTTGAAAAACTATGGAAGATAATATTGTAAACTTCTTAGATTCGTCATATCTTAAAAGCCGATGTTACTTAACAATGCCGAGTTAATTGTTGAGATAAGATTTTTAAACATTTCATAGAGTACCCTCTACATTTTTTTTTACTGTTTTTTTATATTCTTCCCTGCTGTGTTTTTGGTTATTGCAATTTATTTAATGGAGAATTGAATTGAATTCTTTAGTAAAAGTCGCAATATATTTTATATATTGCTTTCTGTTTCATAATCGCGTTAACTTTTTCGTTTCTTATCTATTGCCAATTTTCATGTTTGCATTTGTTATTTTTAGTTCTCTAGACATTCAAAAAATGACGTTAGATGTGCATTTATGCAAATGTCACTGCATGGTTAAACAGGAATTATATTTTATATTCAGCATCTTTTTTTTATGAAAATCAAAAAGGTTTATTTTACATTTTTTATTTATTTTCATCGAAAAAGTGTCTTCATCGGTTGCTTATGATTTCTTGGAAATCCTAAATGTTATATCATGAAATAAACATAAGCATTCTTTGCGTGATAATTTGGAACACTTCGAGCGACTGGTTAAATGAGCGCCGCATACCTACAGCTACATAACCGTGCAGTCTTTAAAACTGGCAAACTAAAATAGCGGAGAAGTCACGTTCGCAGTTACTTAAAAGCTGTAAACGTAGTTCACTTGTGACAACGTGGCGAATTGGTTACAGGATTATAAAAAGAAACGACAAATACATGAAAGTAAATTAATTAGGGAAGATACAGAACAATGTGAATGAGAAATGTCGAGTAGATAGAAGCGACGCGAATTGCAGTAATAAATTTATTTGCTTAAATTCGTACATATTTAACAAAATATATGCACAGTTTCCAACAAGAAACGCTTAAGTTACGCTACAGTCCAAGTGTGCAGGTCCCATCCTTTTAGATTAATTTAGATTTTAGATTTAAAGATCTGAAAACGACTAGGCGATAAAAAATAATATACATCCACCTTTTATACTTAGTAACACTTACGTTACTTTTATACTTAGTAACACTTACGTTACTTTTCTTCATATACATAAATTACACAATGTATATGTACGTAAAATATTTAAATTCAGAAAATGCAGGTACAACAAACCTATCCCATAAACTTAATAAATCTTAAAATTAAATTAATTCCATCAGCCCTTAAATCGATTTTACATCGAGCCACAGTAATACAAACTGCGGAAATCGGAAACCCGTAATGATGCGCCCTTGATTCAGACGCTTTGACAAAATCGGGATCTATGTACACCGGATTAGTCCGTCAGCATAGGTATATTTTGGTGATCCACCAGTTTGGCTAAACCGTGCAGATTGTCCCACCAGTGTAGCAGCTTGAATTTGTAAATCAGACGGAACCACGGTGTCAGCAACGACGTGGTCTTCATGAAGTTGTCGATCTCCGATCGCGGCACCCATCGAGTCTCGCTCACTTCGTCGGGATTGGGATTTATGGTGAGGTTGTCCCGTTGCAGAAACAGTATGTAATCGATCTCGTGTTCGCCCCAACGATTGTTGCTCGGCGCTTGATAGCGAATTCTCGTCAGGTAAAACAGATCGGCGGGTTTGACCTCGCTGGTGGGTATGCCCAGCTCGTAATTGAGCCTCCTGATCGCGGCCCGGCGTACCCCGATAGCATCCTCCTCCTCCTTTTCGTTAGGAATCTCCGCCAACGGATGACTGCAGCACGTGTTCGTATAGTGATTTGGAAATGTTATCTGTAGCATAAATTTGACATTTGTCTGTAGAAATACGAAGTTGATCATTTTATGTTAAGAACTTAGTTTAATTTAAGATTATGACTGCAGCAGGTGTTCATATAATGATTTGGAAATGTTAGCTTACATAAATTTGACATTTATTTGTAGAAATACGAAGATGATCATTTTATGTTAAGAACTTGGTTTAATTTAAGAATATGAGCAAGATTTTTTTTGGACCTCTTGGAACTGTTATTTTAAATTTCAGTTTTTGAGACATTTAATATTGTGCGTCTGAAAGTTATGATAAAAAAATAAAACATAAATCCGATAAAAAAAAAATCAGATTTCAACAGAGTATACAATCTTATCGATTTATAATTTTTTTTTACAGGGGAATATTTCATATTTTTAAATAAATCCCACTATTTGATCTTTTCTTACACGCTAAAGTATTCAGAATCATACATTAAAATAGAAAGCATTGAAGAAGCATTGAAGCAATTGAAGAGGAACTCACCTTGGTATTCGATCGTTTTTGGAGTAACAATTCCCCCTTAGAGTTGAACAGGTAGACGCTGAACGCCCTGTGGAGCGGTACACACCCCTCGGTGTCGATCTCATGACAGGCTTGCTTGGTGGCCTCGCCGACGGGTCTGTCCTGCTTGTCCACGAGGATGCAACGCTCCTGTAAAGCGGCCTTCTGCAACGGTGCTATTTGCGCCGTTCCGTAATCCTTCTCCATGAGCGTCGACATCTTGTGCGCAACACTGTTGAACTTGTTGTATTCTCTCCTTATCAGCACCGGCCAGTCGCCCGTCAAAGAATGACTGGAAAGACGAACATGCAATATTTATCTTGTCTAGTATATTCTAGAAATCTATTCAAAAATCTATTCATTACTTCCGAAGGATTATTACATTGCGGAACGGAGCATGTTTGCACGAAATGCTAATGACAGTTTCCTCGTGGAGATAAGAAACTAATTAACACGGGGAACAAGGACATGAGTGGCAGGGTGTACCGTGTGACGCGGCACGTCGAGACGACGCAACTGTACGGGCGGAAGAGCAAGGCGTGCGTTCCCATCTTGCCGGAGTTACGAGCATCGTCCGATTTCCCAGGCGAGCGGCCAATTGGAGACGAGTCTACCGGCGATTAGCATATGGTGTCGAGAACGATGCCTTGACGACGAACGGGAGTCTCTCTCGCGCTCTAGAATGTCTGGAATGCGAACGATCGTGCCGTCGAACGGCCGGGGGTCACCGTTTGTCACCCTTTTGCTTCCGAAATAAATTCCTTATCTCGGCACCCGGAAGCCAACCAAGGTCGAGTTTTGTGTCAAGCACAATGATTCACTCGCGGAAATTGCGAATTACTTAGATATGACCCCGCACGCGAAAACGTCCCCGCGACCCGGCCGACCATGCAACTCTGAGCATAATCATGTAATTTCCCACTTTTCGCATTTCGCCGCTTCCACGGCTTCCACCGTGGAAACTTGTCGCTTCGCGAAACACAGAGGGATTATCTATCGAAAAGTGAAATTACTGAATTTTATACGACTTCCCGGTCGTAGAGGTTAAAGAGACAGCTGACGGAGGGATTACTTATCGAAAGGTGAGATTACTGAAGTTCACATGAGTTCGTGGTCACAGAAGGTTAAAGAAATTATTGGTCATTATAGAAATTATGGCAATTCACAGAAGTGAAAAAATAGACTCGTGATAGCATTTGCGTGAAACACAGCTGAGCGCAATTATCTTGCTGTCTTCCACGTAAGTGACGTAGTAAGACTTCACGGTAATCACAATATTTATTCGCGAGGGCGCTAGCGTGAGTTTCATATCCAAGTAGCGCGAGTCCCCGCGAGAGGGCAGTGATCTTCAATGTTATTTCGCCACTCGCCAGTGTTTCGAGCCGGATGATGAGATAGGTTATGCGTTGAGATCGTAGACGATGTTTATAGCATAAACTCGTGCTCGCAGCAATTTTAAATAAATACAAAAATTTCTCACTCTCTAGTGGCCGATTGTAAGAATGACCGCGAAATAATTGGCAATCGATTCTTTCATTTCGATGACGAATTGACTTCCATTTAACTGATCTTCCTCGAGCTCTCGCTGATAATCAGGCATTTATTGAGAGGAACGTTTGAAAAACTCCTGTTGAAAAAAGCGAAGCGGCAGATATGTTGAAATTTACAAGGCTGTTAGTAAATCACGTGAAAGCGTTGGCGACGCCCACGTCGTCCAGCAATGCGGATTACTTGTCGCAGCAGACACGGGTAATTGCTTTTAATATTACATAGGCGTACAGCCATTTACATATTTTGTGTGTACACACGCGTATTCTGACATTCCTGAGACAGCTTGATGGATTCCTGCAACGTATTGCGTTGATAGAAAAGTAATACCAGTTAAAAAGTTCATAAAGTTAACAATTTGGAGATAACGAAAGGAAATTCAGTCTTAAGTCCAAGGGTCGACTTTCTTTCATTATCTTAAAATGCCAATTTTTTTAGAGTTAATTTTTCAGCGTTCAGAAACGTCACCCGTGAATACCGTCATGTAGCATTTTATCTTTCGTTGAATATTCGTTGAACAAGAAAGATAAAAATGATACACGAGGGCACTCGGATGACGTTTCTGAACACAGCCTTGCTTGTGTCATATATTTTTATTAAACCGATAATATGCGGATGATTAAATCGCTCCCTTAAACTCATTTGTGTAATTATTTTCGCAGAACACCTTTATTCTCAAGAGAAAGGCTCCGACGTCTCTTCACAAAAAGAACTCCAAGCCCCATCGCTTGAGGACGCGGCATTACATTTACGATCTCGTCGAGGACACGAACGTGCGGAGGAAGGAGCCGCTCGATTTGATTCTGACGCAGTACGTCGCGGGACTCGGCAATGTCGGCACCCGGGTGCAGATGCACCCGAAGCCGGCGTACGAGACCCTCTTGCTGCCGAAACTGGCGGACTACGCCACCCCCGAGAACGTGGAGAAGTACACGAAGCTGGCGACGAGCCAGGGTGGCGACACGCCGTTCAGCTCCGCCACGGTGGAGAAGACGATGAAGTACCTGTCGCGGAAGCGGATATCCATCATGATGTCGAAGGACGTGCCGTGGACGTTGGAGAAGTGGCATGTACGAGCGAACCTTCGCAAGGCCGGCATCCTCGTGCCCGAGGACGCCATTGCGATGCCGGAGAGGCCGATATCCGGGCCGAACCTGGATCTGCAGGGCAAGGAGTTTTACGTCACCCTCACGATTAACAATCGCGAGCAGGTGAAGTTGAGGTGTATGGTGCACCACTGGACGTCGGACACCAGCGCGCAGATCCGCACCGAGGAGTTCTGGAAGCAGCCGGGCGAGCCGATATTTCCCGAGGACAAGCCGGTTCTAGACTCTCTACCCCCCTTCTGGACGGAAAGAAAGGAAACGTCGGATATTTAATATATGTCGTTATTATGATATAAATAAATAAATAACGGAGAATAGGAGTGAATACGTTTTCTTAGAAGCTCCTAAGATGTATCTTCCTCCCTTCTGCGCGGAAAGAAAGGAAACAGCATTTGTAATACGTTGTATTATAATACGTTGTATTATAATGTAAATAAAGAAACGCGCTTAGCGGGGAATAAGAGTGAATACGTTTTCCTAGAAGCTTCTAGCTCAGACATACGTATCTTGAATTTTACGTAATCGTTATGATATTGTTTCAACGTGATAATTACACTTTTACGCAATTTGAGGAGGATCCTTCAATAAGAGATCTATAACTACCATTCTATATTTAGGGAGTCTAGCAAGTGCTTGAAGTATATATACTTGCATTGTGGAACTATATCTTCCTAGAATCAATAATTTGACTCTGTTATACCTTCACTGTGATTAGGAGGAGAGCATGTCTATTTCTAGAAACTGATAACCTGGAAATCTGCTATGAAATCGCGTAAACGGAAAAACTATGATATACATATATCTCCTATGATGTAAACTCAAAATGGGTGAGAGATTCTTTTCGTGGGATGAAATTACGGAAGGATTAATTCTATTGAGGTAAAAATAATAATTTTAGAAAAACCGAATTTTGTCACGTCATTTAAGACATTCCGATTAGCTATTTTTCTATTAGTTTTTTCTTATATCCAGCTCATTTTTTAAGTTTGTAAAATTCACTTAAAATGTACGGAATAATTTAATGTTAATTCTATAATAGATTTATGAGAGATCGATATAAATTATTTTTATTTGTAAATAACTATTTCTTTTAAACTATATATTATTATTGTTTATTTTCATGTTATTTAATAAATTTTTTTCAAACGCGCGGCGTTTCCTGGAGCTCTGCTTTAACTTCGAAAAATGCTATGCAGATTAAATTGACACGAAAAATAGATTTCATTTGGGCCCCTTTTTCCGTATAAATTTCCATTTATATCGATCAGTGCGGCAAAGGCGGAGGACGAACAAGCCAAGCGACGAAAGAAGCGAGTTGCTGCCGTCCAAGTGGCGGATATCTACTGCCCACATTATTATTTGATTTTGAGCTATCGGGAAACGTTGAACGACAGCGAAAAGGTAAGAATTCGAAGGCACAACTAAATTAATTCTTTGCTTCCTGTCATCAAGAGGAATGTTTCCTATTTGTAGATCAGATTCCGGAAAAATTTTTTGAGAAAGGTGACGCCGGAGGAGCCGGACATCATTATCCTGCAGGACATCAAGGACATCGTGCTCTTCCTCCTCGTGTCGTCCGTCAGCCCGCAGTTCATAAACTTCCTCCACCTGCCGGTCGTGGACCGGTTTCTGCGGGCGCTGATCGTCTACTTCCAGCGCTACGTGGAGATATGGGAGGACCTGGTGCAGGAGAGGGCGGCCACCATGAGGAAGGCGCCGAATCCGCTGGCGCGCGGGCACAGGTTCCGCTACGCCGACGAGATGCACACCCTGCGCTGCATCCTCGGCCGCGAGTACGTCGACTTGCTGCTGGGCTGTCGGGACGGGCCGCGGTACCATCACATGATGACCAGCGGCAAACGCACGGTCACGCAGTCGCAGGGCGAGAAGGACCTGCGGAACTACGAGGGGCTGATAAGCGTCGCCCATCGGATCGTGTGGATCGCGTTACAGCGAAAGCATTACACCCTGATCGGTATACGACAAAGAGCGTGCAATGACTATGTTTAACACCGTTATTGTTATATGTTTAGTCCGCGACCTATGTTCCTATATATTCATCCCAAACACGACAGTCATGACGGTGTATAAACAGATTGTCTGTCGTGCTTAGGTCAGGCCGAATATAGGTCTAAACGTGTAAACATAGTCAATGCTCAATATATAATGATATACAATGAATATTGTACATTATTACGCAATGATACAAGATGCCCATACAGTACTTGGGACAACTGATTACCGCCTTGTCTCGCAGAGCTGGAGCTGCACAGGCTGCTCCGAACCGAGGCGTACAACACCGCGCAAAGACAAAGCAGCAGTCCGCTTATTCAGGATATGCTGGAGGATGATATCCGTGTTCTGCATGGTCCCAAGACGATGTTGAAAAGTCGAAAATTGCTCAGAAACGCCCCCTTGCCGCGCGAGCTGATGTACGAGGATTGCGATTATCGTCTTCTATCGTTAGGTACATACTATTTATAGAAATTATATATATTCGTATTTCTAAGGATGATTTATGGAAATAATATATCTGAGAATATTTGGAGTATCAAGATCTATAGAAATAGTACATACACTATGGAATGACTTCGACCAAACTCCCATTAATCGACGATTAATTCAACCGGCACAGTTATAAAATTAAAAACAAAATTTCTAATTATATAATTCCTTCTTAATCTAATTCTTTTCCATATGTTAAACAACAGAACAGTAATAATTCCATTCACGTTAACAAAATAATAAAAGTCAATCATCGATCAAGTTAGTCAAAATTTGGTCGAAATCATTTTTAGTCTATTATTAAACTATGATACATTTGTGCACAAAAGGACAGTTGTGTATCTTGCGTGACAAAAAAATATTATACTATTCGTACTTCTGTTTAAAGGGGTAGTAGATATCGACATAGACCATCCGAAAATCGCTTATCTGAGAAACGCCCTTCTCGCCGACGAGGAGATGCTGTCTAAGTTGGGGATCAAAGTGGGTATACTGGGTCACAGTCGCTCGGATTACGATATAATGTTAATGCCGTACAAAGCGGAGGAACCGGCGGAGGAGCCAACGGCGATCGACAGGAAATCATTGGAGACGCGGAGGAGTATCTTTAAACCTCAAGTCGTGGTAAACGTCTTAACAAAATTAAATCTTATACTGGACACACAGAAATATCGAATCTCCGAGACTCATTTCTGTTTCCTCGTGTACAAAGCAACCAGTTGAGGAGATCGAATGCCTGCCGCCCGAACTGATCGAGGAATTCCCGGTGAAGGAGATCAAGGAGAGGCACGAGAGATATGACAAGATTCGCGAAAAGGCCAGGATAAAATGGATTCTGCGAGAGATGAAGCGACATGAACGCAAAGCGACCGATTCTTACTCTATAGCGACAACTCCCGACTGAATATCCGGAGTGGAATAAGGCTCCTATACATTATGTGTATACGACACGGCGAGAATTTTCACAAGAAATTAAAACGGTATTTATATTAATTACGGATAAATTCTATAGATTCGAAATATCGACACTTCGAACGAATACAACATTTTTGTCTATCGATATAAAAATAAAATACACAAGTTTCCCAGTCGTTTCACGTCTAAGCCTCTGATAGACACTGTCATTTAGGATATGAATGACAAGGATGGATATATATAAACTGAAACGCTATAACGCAATGTAAAAAATATGCTTATTGTAATTGGTGATGCCTAATCAAGAGTAATAATGCTGATATTTTACAAGAAGATACACATATAGGTACATTTCAGGCAATGCGTTATGATTTAAACTCGGCATTGTCCTGTCCATAAATAATTATTGTACCTAATCGCTACCGCTATATACGTAGTAACAATACATACGATACGTTAATTTAATTGTCCCCAATGTGGGGATCGACCTGCACAAATTATTCTCGTTTTGCATCTAAAACGTGCGATAAAGTCGCCGTTTCGCGCTCCTCGCTCGCTAAACGTTCGTGTTAGTTAAAGTGCGCCTTGCTCCAAGTGCGACCCGTTTCTCCTGAATAAGTGACACGCATTACATATCGCAATGTAAAAAAAAAAAAAAAGAAGAAAACGAAAAGAGATCTCTTGACGTTTTTGGCACAGCGATTTTGATAATAAAAACCAGATTTTTATAAACACACTCGACCCGTCATTGCGCATACGCGTGTAACGAATAACGTTTTACAAATGTTTGGCTTCAACGGTAGACAGTTACGTAATGCACGACACTTTCCCCGTTTTCGATCAAGCTATTACGATATGTATTGAGAGATTACAGATGATTCAGTTATTTGTCCGCGTATCTCGCGTCCATTTTACACTGCTACTATTACACACGGAGTTATAACAATGTTGTGCAGTACGTGCGGTACTTTAAAAGTCAAATGGCAGTAAGCAATTCCACGCCATTCACGCGCTTTATCGCACCGATCTAGTTTTACTTTCAGAATCTGTGCCTTTAAAAAAAAAAAGTTCTCTTAAATAATCGTTGACGTACTCTCTTTCTCTCTCTCTCTCTCTCTCTCTCTTGAAAAAATATACGTGATAACAATGATAACAAGTTTCCTTTTAGTTCAGCTAATTTTACACAGCGTGTCATCTCATTTGTAAGGCTGCAAAGCGTTGCACATTCGGTAACAATGTTGAAAAATGAAAAAATTTTTTTTCGGCACTTTCGCTAAATGTTTATACTTCACTTAGATATTACGGCTATCCCTATCGTCGCTGAACATTTGTCTACATGAATATAATACAGAATGGACAAAGTGACAATATTGATTATGCACATATTAATAATAAAACGTTATTTAATAAATGTGGTTATTTATATAACTGTGTTACTGTCGGTGATCAGACGATGGAGAAGGAAACGTGATTATGTACACTACATGTTACATATATTTATGTAGACATATGTATGTTTCATTTTCTTTTTTTTTTTTTTTTATAAACTCAGTCGTGTGTGTTTGTACAAACATATTCATATGCACAAGGTTTCATAATGAAAATTAACTTCTGAAAAAATGTATTTTATTTAAATAAAATTCAGATAGTATATTTTCAAAGGATGATACCGCATACGATGTATATCCCCAGGTTCATAATTTCTTTTTTCTCGCTGTATATTTCTGCCATTGAAAAAATGCAAATACCAATTTTTACATTCTGCAAATTAACGAATAATTTTACTACAATTTGCTCTAATATAAGAATGATATATATATATATGTATATATATATTTATGTATATATATACAAAGTTATATACGAACACCAAATATTTCTTTCAAGTATTATGTCGTTTGACTCCAGTTATTCTGTTCTTTAGCTTTTTTGTAGAGCTAAGCGTACCCCGGTTATAAACCGGAATACGTCTCTCACAGTTGCTACAGCATAATCGATAACAAATAAAATCATTACAAATCAGTCATAAAAATACCTTTGTACCTATTATTTGAGTAGAGTCAGTAATTAGCTAGACATTACGTGTAGTTCAATAAATATGGGAGCTATATTAGTACACATAATTTAGATAAATTCCTTACTGTGGATCTCAATAAAAACAAGCCGTATATAAAAATGAGAAAACTATGCATCCCGGTTTAGCTCGCGTTGCGTTGGAATTTAGTTTGAACCATTAATATGAACTGCGCCCGCTCTTACCCTCCCATTCTATTTATACACTTCGTTACAAAGAAAAATGATTGCATGTTATTAATTGCAGTTATAACAATTTTCCTAAGCAAATTTGTCAAGTGCAAGTCAAAAGTATTTGCAAATAAGCTACAAATATATTGCATGTAATCTAATAATAATGTAATAATAATGTCCGTGATTATTTGTCAAAAAGGATGAAATTCTCGATTTCTTTTTTTTTTTTTTACACTGCTACTTGTCTGACATAAACCTATCTGTGTGGTATTGTACCCGATGCTGTTTACACTAAATTCATAAATTTGCTATTGTTTTTTTTTCATTTTTTTTTCTTCGTTTGTTACTTTCTGTATGTCAATCCCTGCCATTATCTCGGACTTGCGTGGCTACGTAACAACAGTCTATAACGCAATCTTACGTTTAGCAGCACATACACAAACAGTATTTTTCTCTCTACGGTTTACAAGGAACACGCACGAATTCCCTTCCCGAAAGATTATTACGTTAGGATTGGTGGGGCTACGAGGCAATGTCCGACATAAGCTGGGCGAGCAAGGCCGGCTCTAAAAGCCCATGCGTCTGCCCCATCCTCTCCAAGTTTCGCACATCCTTGTCAACTTCTTCCAAAGCCCGTTGCAATTCCTCCTCCTCTTCCCGCGACGGCTCGTAATCTCCGTTTCTACCCTCTGTAAATTGAAACACATCGTATTATCGTACGAAATAAATACATAAAGGTCCTACAAAGGACCTCCTCGAGATTTACAAAGATTTACAATTATAGAAAGATATGATATACTGCAATTACCGATAAATAAGTCGTTAAAAGCATCCGGGGGTAAGTTGTTGAGCACAGTGCCAAAGTCGTGCTCGGCGGAATCCAAGGAAGCGAACACCTCGTTATCACCGAGCTCAACTTTGAGTCCGCCGGTCAGGCCGAGGGAGCCCAGTCCCAATCCTAGACTTAAGTTGGACGTATTCGAACTTCCCTGCGGAATATTCAGATTGTTCAACGTCTTGGTGTGGTTTTCACTACAGTTCATTTGGCTCAGGTAATGACTCTCCTCGTGCATCAGCGCGGCGGCAGCCTTGGTAGTCTCTATTTTATTCGAGGGCGGCCGTTTGCGCTTCTTCGGCTTGGACTTGGGTTTAGGCTTCGCCGGGACAGGGGGGGACGCTGGCTTTTTACGGGCTTTCTTTGGTTTGGATTCTTGGATTTTACGGTGATAATTGTCCCGCTTCCTCGCGTGCTCCGGGCAAAGGGGTAATTCGTGCGCGACGTCAAACACAGGAACGCAACACTGTGTGTTGTCACTAAACTTGGCAGTGCAATGCTCGAACAGGAGCTGATCTCCGTTTGACATGATGTGGCGGGAGCAGTGCCGGGTGCAGGGCAGAGACGTCTGCTGGCAACCCTCCTCCCCGCATGGCCCGCCAACCAACAGCGGTCCGTCGAGTACCTTGCTGGTGCTCGGAGAGTCGCTTAGAACCCGCGCGGTGGAGGCGGGATCCTTGGTCGCGGCCTCCAGCAAGCATCTGACCCGGTGCCGCAGCACGGCCTCGGCATCGGCACCGTCGATGCGCAGCTGGAGCAATTGTCGTTGCAGCTGCGAGCGCAGCTGGGCCAGCCGAGCCGCCCGGTTCACCGGCGCGGTGGACTCGCCGGAGAACCAGTGGCGCTGATGGACCGTCACCTCGTCCCCGCTCGAGTCGCTGTCGGATATCTCGTCCCCGGCCCTCGGATAGTACAGCAGCGTGTGGTCCCGACTCTGCCTCCTGGATCTCAATCTTCGCAGATTCTCGAGGTGTCGCTGCTTACGCTGAACCAGATTAGCGAATTTGTGATCCAGGCTCTCCCCGACGCCGATGTCCTTGACCGCGCCTGTCTCCATCGTCGCGGCATTGCCGACCACCCCGGCGATCTTGTAGCCCGCGGCTGGCACAGGCGCTGCCATCCTTATCCTCTGCTTCACGCATTTCCCCTTTGGCCGGTTGTTCTTGCAGCCTAGCATCACTTCGGGATTTGTCGGTGGTACCACCGTGGCATTTCGTCCCGCTGCCGTGGCGAACGGTTCCGGCTCGCTGAAAATGTACGGATCAACATCTTGGTGCGCCTCGGTTTTCAGCAGAGCCTTCAAGCGGTCCGAAAACTTCAATTTATTGTCCATGTTTGAGTTTTCGGTAATAGGGACCTTCATTGATTGCCGCTTCTGTCCAGATCTGTTCCACCTGCATTCTCAAATCCTCCAAATCAACTTTCCCTCCTATCTAGATAAAACTTAGTTCACGCTATGTGCCAAGATCCAAGATACAATCTGTCGCGCCATCGATTCGAAACGTAATAATACTGAGATTGTTGTACATGAGAGGAAATTTTAAAAAATATGTTTCACGTCGTATCACAGATATTTGCTATTGTATTATCAAGTTAAAAAAACCAAGTAAAAAAGACCCAAGATCCAAGCGCGTGATCGCTCGAACGTTTTATCCTTAATACGACTCAACAAAGTTACAAGCTAAATTGTGCGATACACCAGTCACACATGAGTACATCGAGTACGTATAACGTATTCTTCCCCCCTTCAAACGTACACACGTGTACGCAGTCAAACAAAGTCATGGAAATTTGCATCAATCGAACTGACAGAATCTGAACGACTCGACACACGGCCTTGTGTACGCCTACCGGGAGTACAGAATTGACATTACAATCGCATTGCTCAACATCGCCCGACGACGCTATTCCACCAACGCTACTAACTGCGGCGGGGGGGGAGGGGGGGAGGGTTCCCTGGTTCGAGCAGCAAGCGTGAACTTAGTCCATTGCTAGATCAGGACAAAAACGATCCTTGCCTCGCATAGTAGTCTACATCAAGCGTGGTGCCTGCACATCGTGCCCGAGCAACTGCGCCGTCGTCTGCGTCGTCTGCGTCGTCGTCGTCGTCGCGCGTCGGGCGGACGTCAGGTCGGTGTGCAACACTGCCGGAGTGGCGCACCTCGAGGATCCCGCGGCCGGGAGCGTGGCCATATCACCGGAGGGTGATCTCCCCGCCGTTGGCATAGGGCGTTCCCGACGCTCTCCTCGTCGCGATCCGGACGGACCAGGATTCCTCTCTCCTCAGCCTGTTGTTTTTCCTTTCCTCCTCCCCTTTTTGTAGGTTAGGTCGCCTCACGTCACGTCACGTCGAGGCAACGGCGGGCCCGCGGCGTGATCCTCCCGGGGTCGATCTCAGCGGGGCGACCGGAAGCACTCGCGGGACGGACCTCGCGGCATCGAGGACTCGAGGTTCGCGCGCAGGATCCTGGCCTCAGTGCCCACCACCGCAGCTCGTTCTCGACGTTCTCGGGGGCTCGACTTCGAACAGGCAGGGGGGAGCCAGAGAAAGGGGGGGAGGGGGGAGTCTCGAGGTTGGAACAACACTGGTGTATACTGTATGTATGTATTCCCCGTGCGAAGGCGACACGGACGTGCCGTCGCGAAACGAGCTTCCTGTCCCTTCGTGCGCGCGGACACGCTTCACCACCGCGGGCGGCACACAACACGATGCGGTTTCACGCGCAAATTATTTTCCGACGTCCGTCGATAATAACATTAGAAAGACATGTCAGACGTGCGGGGGCAGCAAAATGGCGGCCGCGGCGCGGCACGGCGCGGAACGGCCACGGGCCCGTGGGGCCCCCGGGGGTTCTCTCGGGCCGAGCGGAATCGCCGAGTCCGCGGGCGACGACGGACGCGGATTCGGCCGCGCCGAGTTAACTCCGGGCGATGCCGCGGGCGGGACGCCGGACGAACGATGGGCCGCACCACGTGGCGGAAACGTCGTTCCGCGCTCCGTCGAACATAACCTGTACGCCACAATTCTCCCGATTTTTCCTCTCAAAGATCTCCTTCCCTCTCTCTCTCTCTCGACGTATCTCGAGCGTTTCAGCAAACGGACGCCGTGGGGAAGGAGATTCGAGGAAATCGATGCGAGCCAATTCATCGGCCACCCTCTCTCGTCGTCGGACTCTCGTTATCGCATTCCGCGAATCGTCCGAACTCGAAGACTTTCCCCAAGACTCAGAAATGACTCGGCCGACTATGTTGATGTTGTTTCATGCCTGAGAAGAAACATCGGGGACCATGTGCGAGAACGATTTGTTTGTTCCCCGCGGCTGAACTTTTTGCACTTCCCTCACACTTCCCTGATTCCCTCTCTTTCATCTCCAATCTCTGAAGTCCAGTTTGTGTGTAGAGCTACTTCGATTTTAAGCACAGAAAGCATGACAATGCAACTACAAAGACTAGATCTAATTATGTGTGTTCTTTGTAGTGGGATTTTTTTTATCTCTCAATTATGTATCTACAATTTTTTTCCTCATTTATTCATTATCTTTCGATGGTCTGTTTATCAAGAAAAAATTGCGCGATTAAACAATGGACTTTATTTACATTCAAATATGATAGTCATCCTGCATGATTGAATGAATCATTTTCAACTTTCGTGCGGCTAATAAAATTGTTATTAGAAAAAAAATTTTTCAAAGCCTCTTCTTTCGGAAAATCCTTATCGCGCTTCTGGCATATGTATCAAGTTATAAATATACGTGACTGGCGAAAGGCAGCGCGGGGAGCTTTGATTGCGGCAATCGAGTATGGAAAGTGCGTTTCCATTGTCTCAAGTTAAACAATTAGTTTGTAGATCCGTCGCAAAGATTAACTGGAATTCGTAATTCATCAGCCGTTACGTAAAACGAATAAATTGCTTCTCGCTTGCGAAATGAATATGAATTTCTCAAGAGGTTCAGGAAAAATTAATCGTAACTTACGAAAAAGATTTGTTGATGCGCAGGTCGAATACGATATTCGATCGTTTCGCGTCGCTACAAGTTGAAATTTCTTCAAATCCCAGGACTTACAAAGTGCCAATAAATGATACATTTATGTGAACAATATGTTTGCAATTACATCTGCAATTATATATATTAATTTATTATATCATCAGTAATATTATTTGTCAAAATTTATCAAAGATTACATAAAAGAAATAAAAATATTGAGTCGCACATGACGTTCCGCTAAATAACATGTTCAAATTCCTCTCTGTATTTCGTACAGAAAAAAAAATCATTAAATCTGTTTGCGCGTAATTTCTAATTTAATTTATATTAAAAGATTTCTAACTAGGTGAAACAGAAATTAAATTGGAGTCACGTTCTCAAATACGTATTTCGTTAAATAACAACACTATGTTATCACAAATGTTTATCTTTCAACAAGGTGCTATACAACAAACTGTGTACACATGACACACACACTCGTTCCGACGTTCCAGCTGAAAATCGTCGGCGGAAGATTGCTTATTGAACCCCCCGCCCGATCCCAAAACGGCACACTATATCCGAGGGAACGTCCGAGGGACGTGGAGCACGTCCTCCGGGCGTCTCTGGGAGATGTGTGCTGTATGAGATGCGACATCATGTAATATATTAAACGTGTAACATATTATATGTAACATAAGCGATATGATGTGTACACTAACTAGGATGCCTTATGAGGCCCCAATTTACGCGGGATCCCCTCCCCCCATCCCCTCCGTACAATTGTTGAACGATAACAAATAAACTTTAAGTTATTTTTTTACATCATTAACTATTAAATGCACAATTGGCCCATGGAAATAAAAATTACTTAAACAAGGAATTCAATTCCTTTGGAGCGCAGAAAAAAAGAAATGTACATTTGCGACTTGCTCTAACGAATATATATATATATATATATATATATATATACATATAAATATATCGACTCAATTATATCGGAGATGATTGCGTGTGATCTGCGTAAAACGAAAAGAAGAATGTTACGTTAATAAATGATGTGATTATGCTGATAATCGAAATAAACGAAAAGATCTTTTCATGCGAAAAATGGCGAACGAAAAACGAGTAACGATGTAACATTGTGTATGAGCCAAATTATTACGAGAAAGGAGATTTATAGAAACAATCTTTCGTAAAACTACCAATCTGTCAACCTGCTCTGGAGACGACGAAAAACTATCAGTTTTTTTTTTTTTTTTTTTTGAATATTCTACTCTTCGAGTCGGTTGAATTGTTCTGACGACGATTAAATTCTTAGTTCGAGGTATAGTTTGTGGTAAGACCCAAGGGACGGTAATTCTTTTATTACAAAAGTTGTATTTGCAAACGGTTTTATGAAATAGTCAGCGAATCTTCGTTACGTTGTTCGTCGTTGAGGTTTCTGCCCTTTAATAACAACCGGTCGGCCTTTTATGAAACCTCGCTTGCGCCGTGCGGTCTGAAACATCAATGCCCGACCCCCCATAACTTCAACTACGTTTCCAGATCAATCGATGCGTAATGATAAAAACGGCAAAACGATACGAGAACGGTTGCAGAGATATGAAAAAAAAAATATGTATATCTACCATTCTATATCGTAAGACCGTAAGTGTACATATGCATACCAACCTTTTTGCTAATATACGAATTCGCGCGGCGCGTAATAACTCGCTCGGAGATCGGAATTCTTGGTCTGTTAAACTCCATCGGTTTCTTCACCCTACAGACACACATTTCGGGATTAATATTGACGCAGGACTTTAAAATGGTAACGATACAGTGGATGATAAGCAGTGCCGATTTAAGGGGAGGGGCTAAGGGGGCTGTAGCCCTGGGCCCCATCTTTCTAGGGGGCCCCTTATAAACTTAAAATTGTTAATTTCAATAATAAAAAATAAATATCTACAATGATTGATATTAGACTATCGTCACTTGGCATTATTTGCTATAGAAAGCGAACTACTGAGAAATTTTGATTTTAATGATTTAATCAATGAATTTGCGTACAATAAATAAAGAAAAAAAGTTTTTAAGTACCACTGTAATTTCAAATGTGAATTATTTTCATGTGTTTATTTTTCAGTATTCAGAACTGTCTTGTATCTTTTAAGCAGAAACGACAAAAGTCATATAAACAATCACGTTTTTTAAATAGCAAATGCAAAATATGTATGTATTTAAATCATTGTTATTATTTAATAATAAGGGGGGATCCCGTTTTAATATTATCCCCTGGGCCAAAAATATCTTAAGCCGGCTCTGATTATAAACGAGACTTTTATAATATTTTATTTATAAGCGTGTCGTTCACCTGTAAATCCTGACAAGCCAATGCTCAGTGGTGTAAGCCTCCTCCAGATACGTCAACTGGAAGTTCTTATTGCCTATTTCCGCGTTACGTGTGCGATCGTATCCGTAAGGCGTCCGATAGTCCATCTTAACGTCCCCGAACCGGTAGTAACTCAGCTTGTACATCAGCGAGTTCAGTAGAGTCGGGGAGCCTTCCGAGTCCACGCGGAACTCCCCTCTCTCGGTGAAGTAATCACTCTCACGGATGTCCTGGGGATGCTCGCCCTCGGCGATGCGGACCATCCATAAGAATTTGTTGATATCGTCACCGGAGTATCCGATCATCCCGCCGAAGATGATCAGGACGTAGTCCACGTCCAGGGACGTCATGATGTCGTAAGCAGCACTTTCGTTCGAGCTCATCGCTTTACCCACCAGAGCTATGTGCGAATTATTCCACGTATTATTGTCCACAAGGGTAGTTCTACACAGAAGAGACGCGACAATGTTAAATCGACTTCATATACATTAGTTCAAACATATGTATGATCTAATAAGCGTTTTACCTGTTTGCCATACCAGCAATCTGGTATCCGTAATCCCACCAGCTCATAACTCTGGCGTCATTGGCGGTGTTTTGGGCCAGCCAATAGTAAGCCTCTCGAAAATCGTCCAGTATAGCCCGGCCGCCGTCGTTGCTGTAGGACGCCAGGACGATAGACGGACTGGAGTAGGCGTTGCTGGTCACCCACGTGCAGTGCACGGTGAACATCATCATCAGCATCAGCATGCCGATAACGATGACGTTACGGAGATTCGGGCCCAGTCCGTCACCGTTGCCTTTCGACCTCTCGTGCTTCATTCTACGAAGCTTACCGGCCTTGTCGTACAACGCCCTACCGGGACTCCTCTCCCTCTCCTCCTCGCTCTCCTCGTTGCTCTCGTTGCCGTTGCGATCGTCCCTGTCCTCCTCTTTGAGGAACAGCTCCACGAGTCTGCTGACAGCGACTCCGGCCAGCATACACACCACCGGGGTCAGGGTCAGCATAAGTCTCACCATCACACCGGCGAAGTAAACGGCACTTATGGCGTACAGTACAACTGCAAGAGGATCGAATGTTAGTGTTCGTTAATGCTATTTTATCCTAAAATACACTCTCATTGCGGATTCTTACCGAAGACACGCTCGTCATTGAGATGTATAATGCAGTACCAAAGACCAACCGGGAAGGATGCGATCAGAAAGTGCAAATCAAAGAAAAAGCTGAACCAAGTTGTCGGCTGATGTTCCGATACAGACGCTATAATGGGGATATGTATCTTGGCGTAACCGGTATCCCATAAAGAGTAGAATCTACCGCTCCAAGGGGCGACGACGCCGGTGTACGTTAAGACGGTCAAAAGTAACAGGAGAAGAGCAGTTGTAACAGCCACCACCATACCACCGAAATATTTCATCTCGGATTTAGTAAGTACAGTTCTTAAATATCTGTAATCAGAGAAATCAACGTGAGTACACTGCAATTAAAATCACGCATATTAAAACAGCTTTAAAATGTCAAGTTGAATTTCAATATGTTCTGACGAAAAATATGTTAAATGAACGAAGACGCAAATTTCTTCTGCGTTACAAACATCAATTTGCATCAATTTTTTTTTCAGGATAATACAAATAAAATTTTCAAATTTAAATATTCATGCAGGCATTATTTGACATGATTCGAACATAATAATAAAATGTGAATATTTACAATTTAAATGACTATAATTTTAAAGTCCTTCAGTTTAAACTTTCGTTAAAAATTCGTTAGAAATGGATTTTGATTAGGTCTTGTACTTCTGTTTTAACTTTTATCTTTATATCTTGCTAATTTAAACAGAAAGAGATAATTTTCATCAGCCATTGAATTGAAAATTAAATCTATTTACTGATATTTATGCTTGTAGTTGGAAATTTAAAAAAAATAGTAAAACATATTAACAGCTTATATTAGAAAACATTTTAGAAACAAATAATTGTATTACTACAAATAAATGCTACAGATTAAAATAATGAACAAATTGACATTGTAGAAACGATACGTACCTAAAAGCTGCTACAAAGATTATCAGACCGAATACGCCACCCGCCGCCATATGCTCGGACGTCCTGATCGGTTGGAAACCAACGAACGGTATCTGCATACTCAGTAAGAGTCCAAGAACGTAAAACGTAGTGTAACTGGTGAACAACCGATTGCTGAAGCGATTCAGAATCAGTAAGGCAAACACATGGAGTGGTATCAGATTGATGATGAACACGTAGCCTCCCCACGCCGATACCATGTAGAAGTAAGACAGGGCGGTCACGCTCGCCCAGAAGATCGAGCCGGTCTTGACCGATTTGACCCAAAGGTAGTAGGTGATCTGCAGCGCGAAGATCGCGATTCCCTCATTGTCGTAACTCCCGGCCACGGATCTCGAGATGTAGCCGGGTACAATAGCGATGAAACATGCGGCGAACAGGCCGGCCCCGGCGCTCCATATTTCCTTCGTTAATAAATACGTAGATATGGCAGTAAGGCCACTAAAAATTGGAGCTAGGAATACACATATGTCTCTTATATGCACTGGTATGTTCAGAGAGTGCAGGATGTAGTGTATCGATCCAGATGTTATCATGAGCCCGGGATAGACGGTACCGCCAACGATCCGGCCCAACGGGTACCAGGCCCGCTCGTCGAACCAGTTTAGAAAATTGTAGAATCCATGCTGCACCATGTACGCCGTAGCTCGGTAATTGAACCTGCATTCAAGACACGTTTTATTCCATCTCGTCGCTGACTCGGTCAACGACTCTTTCAACGCTCTATTTACTTAGGAAAAAAAAAAATCAAAACGCACGGGCAGAAGAAGCGAAATAGAAATAGAAATTATTATTTAATTCATCTCCCGCGTGTTTTCAAACAGGCTCGAAATATACCGTCCACTATCTCACGCTTTCGTTACGTAACGGTAAAAATAAAAACGAGAACTTATCGCGGCACTGCTGCGATAGTGTCATATCTCGAAAATTGACAATTTTGAGTTACTCCTCAACAGATAAAAGTACACGCCAAAATCCATCTTTTCCAACGAATAACTCAAAATTGTCATTTTACGAGATATGACCTGCACTATTGCGGCGATGCGGCGTTATCTCTCCGCGAGATATGATAGGAGTAATTGCCGAGGGGGAAAAACGTCACTCGGCCACGTCGGAACGATTCGGTAGCCGGTCTGGTAGCCGCCCGGGTTTTTACGTACCAGGGATCGAACTCGTGTATGATGCTCTCGAAGCGTATGACAGCGAAGAGCCTCGAGGCGAAGCCCGAGATCCAGGCGAGCAGGAGTACGGTGAAGGTGATGAGGGAGCTCAGGCCGGCGGCGTTCGTCAGCGTGGAGGACTTGAGCTGCTTGGCCGTCGACCTCTTGTCGGGGAACATGACCTTCGCGTTGGCCGACGACGTGGACGACGAGGACGAGGAGGACGACGGGGACTGCTGCTGTTGCGACAACGACGACGACGACTTGTTGGGCAACATGTTTTCTCCCCGCGTTGACCCGCGTCCGCCACAGCCACGAGCGCGTTAAACGTGCGACACCTCGGTATATCCGCGTATTATATCGATACTCTCACAACGTGGCGTTCGCCATATGTGCACACCTCGTGAACGTCCGTGCGGTACCCCCCCCGGTGCGCGCGCGAGTACGAGAGCGGCGCGCAGCGAAATTATCAAATGTCTCCCGCTGGCTGCACACCTGAACTTTGGGAGGCTAGGACACGTCGAACGCCGGCTACGTGTTAACCATGACTTCCACCGCAGCAGTTTGCGGAACGCGGAACCTGCGCCAGGGCGCAGCAGTGGACAGGAAGTCGGGGTGCGTTCGCGATCCTCTTGGAACTCATCTCTCTCTCCACCGACACAACCCGAATCGGAGCATGTTGGAGAACTTGACGAATGATATCGGCTCTGCTTTCACATGGAAACGTCACTTAAGTACTGCCAGCTGATTGGTCCATGTAATCTTGGTCGCAATGGTCGATTTGAATCGAATCAATTTTTTAAAATAAGAGCCTCTTCAGACAAACTTTTGCAGAATCATATGGACTGCGTTCAGGAATTCATTCGGTATATCATTTTATCCTTGTTGCTCACCGAATATTAAACAAAAATAAAATGATATCTAAATGCACCTAGGCGAAGTTTCTGATCGCAGTCATGCACAAAGAAAATTATTCAATTGCATTTCTAATATAAGAAAACTGCATGGCGAAAAGTGGATGTAACACGCATCACAGTATACCCGCGGTGCAGAAGAGTGGATGTTGCTATGTAGTTTACACCACTTCTTCAGAGGGGGCGTTAAAGTGCGTGAAAAGATTCGTCGACTTGATAACAATGATAACCGCATCGAGATCTTTGTTTACTTGTACGTAATTATATTTTTTATATATACATTATTTATATACAACTCTATTTTTTTTAATCGACTTTATTATTGCAGAACATAATCGTCAAGTGTCGCCATAAAGGAATCTCTATGCCGTAAATAATAATAATAAATAAAATATATCGAGACTCAAATGTTCTCCAGTAAGGCGAGATTATTAAAACGCACAGGGAAGAATCCCACTGGACGTTACGATTTTTTAAAGCTCTTAGTTACCGAGTACAAAACAACATCGTCCAAAGGTAAAAGGTTAACGGTTAGGATTGGGTATCTCACGAAAGAATTCAAGTCATTAAAAATTATTAATAAAGTATATCACGTCTCTCGAGGATAGATGTAGATTTAATCAATATAATGATGATAAATCAAGGTTTTTTTTTTTATTAGACGCGCAGGAGCAAGTACTGGCAAATTTGGCAAATTTTGCCTATGACCCTGTTAACTATGGATACATGAGGCAGCTACAAGTGATTGATATATTTCTCAATGCCTTGTCTCAAAGTAATCCAAAGTTGGTACGTTTCGGCATTGGTGGTCTCTGCAATTTGTGTTTAGGTAAGCATATTTCTGAGAATCCCTGATACACACGACGAAGAGTCACGCGACATTTGTGGCATTTCTATGTAATACCATTCTTTCAGATGCAATAAATAAACTGTATATCCTGCGCAATCGAGGCGTCGAGTTAGTATCGTCCCTACTTTCTTCCGAGGACGAAGATGTTTTGCTCGCAGTAATCAGCACCTTGATGTTCCTGGTCACATCTGAGTCCGTGAATGAGATAACGTCGCCCGCAATAATTAAACGCATGCTGGAACTTTCGGGTACATCGTACGAAGATACGCGTATTAAAAATATGGCAATCTTATTTCTGAACGACGTCTGTCAAGCGAGTGACGTCGAAAAAGTGAAAGCTGAGGACTAGTCCGATTGTGATAGATATAAGTCTAGTTTATTATTATTAGATGGTTAAAAATCTAAAACGCTCTATTGAGAATTAAGCACTTTAATTCTATAAATTGACACTTCTGACTTGTGACTGTAAAAAAAGTAATATCATGAAGCTGATTCAATTCTTTGCTGGATTTCTCAAAAACCACCCTGCGAGAAACTCCAAGATAAGATCGTTCGCCGACATAACGATAAACAATTTGAGAGTGGGAGACCAGGTGTCGGTTTTGAAGGTAATAACAAATGACGATATACTCAAGTTTGCTGAGTTGACGGGCGATCATAATCCAATACACACCGAATCAGCAAGAAATATTGCGCACGGTGCTTTACTCAATGGGCTAGTGTCAGGTTTAATTGGTACAAAATTGCCCGGTGCGGGTACTATAGTTGTCGAACAAAATATCACGTTCCCTAAACCGTGTTACGCTGGCGATACCGTAGAAGTTATAGTCAAAATTAAGTCAGTAAGAAAAATCATTAAATGCGTGTACATGTGTATTGCTAACGGAGATAGAGTCGTATTAGAAGGAGAGGCAAAACTTATAAGAAAGACACTGTAATACTGAGATATTTCATCATTTGTATATTTCTTCATTATGTACTGTAAAGATGTTTCATATAGAATTATAGAAATATTTAATAAAATTTAAATTAAACTCGGATAAAATTTTTTATTTTAATGCGCATATAAATACTCCTTTATTAACGTATCTCTGGTAATTATAGAAAATACAGATGTTTATATGTATTTTATTTCTTTTTAATTATTTTTAAATTCTTTCTCTCATTATATAAATAATCTTATCTGGATATCATTGAAATTTTAGTTAAAACTTGGGCTGTTGCGAATGCATGTGGTATATCCCAATCATAAGTACAAACAATTAAAATGGAACTCTTACACAAAATCTGGGGTTTCGCTTAGCAAGCATTTCGAATGTGGCCCATGTAAGCATTGCGACATAACGTCACTTTAAAGATTTAGAGCACCGGCTTTGCGTTCGAGTCAAGTTTTGTGAGGTGATACAGTGAAGTTCGGCGAAAAGAATTCTGCAGTAAATCTAATTCAATTTTTGATTCGCGCATATTGCTCAAAAGAAAGGTACGCACTTCATTTTTTTTTATTAAATATTAAAATCGCTTAATATAATTAATCTGACTGATATCATCGAAATTGAACGGAAAGCAATGTTAGTAGCAGTAGTAATTCACGTTTCAGATCAAAATGTATTTAACGTTAGCGATGATGGCTCTTTGCATATCGTACTCTTACGCAGAGGATAATAATACTGTTACAAATAAGCCGTTCACAACTACAAAAGAACAGCCAACTGGCTGCGTCTGTGCCGTATTTTTAAGCGGACAATTTAAGAAGGGCAGCAAGGAGCCACCCAAAGGATATCCCGCGCTCGTCCACGAATATCCCGATCCACTTCCATGTAATACTGCTGGGAACAAACTTTGCGTCAACAAATGTCTCGATATTGTGAGTTTTCTTAATTTTAATTCTCGGAAAATATATCTCTTTTTAAATATCTTATCCTGCTAAGCCGAAATACTTGTTAACAACAAAGAATTAAAATATTTCACAGATAGTGAAACATCTACCGAAAAGTCCGGCAATTCTCTGCGCCTCTATCGACCGTGACTGTTACAAAGAAAGGGTGAGTACACGTACATAAATTAATTTTCATTATATCTTTATCTGAAATTATTATGCAAAACAAAAATATTATTTCATTGACCGTATGATCTTATTTCTCGGCAGGCTTATCTTTTCATGAAGAATTGCAAAGATGAATGGATAAATACGAATCTGTCGGCCGGTAGAGAATATTGCTGCAAAGATGGCACGCCGTATAAATGTTAATTAATATGTATCTATAAGATAGCATTTTTCTATAACGAAACGACGTCGACTCTTGTACTATTGTAATTTATAACTTTGATAATTCAAATCAATTTCTAATAAAATAAAGTTTCTAACAAAATACACGCGCCTAACGCTCGTAATACTTTGAATATCCCACCGTCTGTCTAAATATAGCTTGTAGATCATCAGAGATACGCTCTACAAAGACACGCAGGAATTCAGCACGAATATCTCAAACCGTCCTTCTATATTTAGACCCCGAGGTGTGAGAATTTTGTGTACGCGGTGTCAGCGCAGAGTCCGTGATTCGTAAAACTTGATCAGAGTGCTTCCGTTGGCTATTAAAGGCACATCCTGAACTTCCACTTCGGATTACTGAGCCAAGTTCAAGTATAATAACCCCGCAGGAACTTCTCAAATCACTACAATGTCAGCTTTAAATTCCAACGTACCGTTTATCGCCGCAATTTTACGACCGCGGCGCTTGATCGACTGCTCCGCGAAGATATCAAAATCAAGCGGTGTCATACGTATCGTAATTACAGACGCAAAGATGTGCCACGCTTCATAGAGATTGGCGAAGACGCGTAGCACGCGCGCGTACGATTGAAGAATAACGAGAGATCTCGCGACAGACAAATTACGCGAAAATGTGCGCACGGGTCTTGGCGTGTCCGCTGTGCTCGCAGCCTGGCTTCCTGACGCTCGACGCGCTGCGAGCCGGACTCGTGAGCGTAGCGACTCGACCCCTCGTGTGTCCCGTCTGTAACGAGGTGCTGCTAGGCATAGACAAATTAACCATACATCTGTTTGGTCACACGATCAATCTGAGCAGTTGCACGGCAGAGTCGTCCAAGTCCACGAACGTCGCTGCCGCCGACGAGCGTCTGATCGCCGTCCACAACGCGCACAACGTGGTTCCGCAGGACTGGAATGTGCTGAGGCAACTGGGCAGAGCTTCGAGCGGCAGCAACAGGACTCGCGCGGAACCGTCAGACTCTGGTATGCCGAATGCAGCGGACAACATCTCTACCGTAGATTCCCGGCCCAAAGCGCAAAGTCTAACGGGAGGCGCGTGTCAGGCAAGTTTCGTGGAGGATTACGATCGTGATGTGATCAAAGTGAACATCCACCCGCAGTCAGAATCGCACGGGAATCACGACGCGGTCCAGCGAGCTACCGCGAATCTGCAACAAGGGACACTGAAAGCAAATTGTGCGACGCAATACTTTTGTAGCGACAATGTCAGGCATTTGAACGTACCTCGGGAAGCTGCGCGGGCGGAGAAAACGGCCGTGTCAGATTTAATTGTTGCGACGAAGGTGGCTGTGGGTGCCAACATCTATCGAGACAGGCTCGGAAGGGAGTGCGTTGAATCGAACGGCGGTCAGCGTGTCCTGAGAGAAGGGCTAATAAGGGACTTAATTGAGGAAGAACTCCCGAATTTCCAATCGGTCCAGAATGCAATGGCAAATGTTTACGCGAGAGAGTCACCGGAGGAGCGCGACGGTGAGGAGAGCTCATCCAACGCGAAGAGTACGACGCACGAAACGAATTCCGGGGAACCGAATCCAGATTTGGAACACAGGCAAATGTTGCCGCAGGCGCAAACAAGTGCTAAAGCCTTTCGTGCGATAGCGCCGAAGGAGAAGACGGAGAGATGTAACGTGTGCGGCTTTCACTTTCCCGACACCAACATCCTGACTTTACACAAACAATTGGTGCACGAGCAGGTGAACTCGTGCAGCAACAGCCCGGAGAGAGTTCCGAAGAATTACTCTTGCCATCTGTGCTCGAAGGTGTTCAAAATGCGCGGCAGCTTAATGGTGCACATGAGAGTGGCGCACGTTGGACATAATTCGGGCAAGTAATTATTGATGTGCAATTATTAATATGTAATTAATAATTAAATCAATATAATACGTAAATATTATACACAAGATTCAATAGTTCGATTTAATATGCAAGCAACGTTTTTCACCCGCGACAGGTTCTTTTTCCAAGGACGACCAAATTGAAGTCGCATGCGGCGACGCCGGATACACGTGTCCCACGTGCGGGAAGAAATTCAAGAAAGTGAGGATACCTCCGGGCGTTTCGCTCGTAACACTCGCCGCAAACGGTATTTAATAATAATACGTAAGCACTTCTCTCGCTCCCGTTTGCAGGAGCAGCACGTGATACAGCACTTGAAGACGCACGAGGGCAAGCAGTGGGAGTGCGACACTTGCAGCAAGATGTTCACGACGAAGTACTTCCTGAAGAAGCACAAGCGACTGCACTCGGGCGAGATGCCGTACAAGTGTAAATTATGCGACAAGAGCTTCACCTTCCAGCAGTCGTATCACAAGCACAGGCTGTACCACAAGGACGACAAGCCGCACACCTGCGCGACGTGCGGCAGATCGTTCAAGGAGCTCTCCACCTTGCACAATCACGAGAGGATTCACACCGGCGAGAAGCCGTTCGCGTGCGAGACATGTGGTGCGTCCGCGAGAGAAACGATCCCTGGGGAACGAGTGCAAAGAGTTAACCAATAGATAATCGTTTGGAGATGTGACTAACAGTTAACATAAATTATTTCGTTTGCGCAGTGTGTCTGTAATATTATGGCGTGCTGTGTGCATGGCTTACTCTGAGAGCGGGTAACTTTCACCGAGAGAAAAAAAAACGTCTTATCTTGTAAATGTGCCGCAGGCCCACGACACAGTGACAATAATCCTCCTATACAACTGCCGTACTAATTCTTCCGCAGGAAAGTGTTTCCGCCAGCGTGTTTCGTACTTAGTCCACCGTCGAATTCACACGGGAGTGATGCCTTATAAATGCACAATGTGTGGCAAATGCTTCCGATACAAGGTACAAAGTGACGAGTCAAGTGTTTTCCGGACATGCGTTCTCGTCTTTCTAATAATTCACGTTCTTGCAGGTGAGTCAGAGAACCCATAAATGTCCCGTGCAAACGTCGGGCAGCGTCCAGCGGTTGATGTCCGAGGCCGCACGGGAGGCCGACAACAGCACGGTCGGGCCGCAGATCGCCGACAATCTGCAAGAAGGTCAATCGATGACGAGCACCGCCGACAGCGAGGAGAATAAATTTGTGCTGATAATAAACGTCCAAGGGCAGCACGTTTTGGCGCTGCAGTCGGAGATAGATAGCGTGTCCTCCGAGAGAAAGGAGCCAGGCGTCGAGTTCGGGGACGCCAGCGAGAATTCGAAGAGCAAGACGTGGGACGCTAACGATCTTAATAACGCGGGACTCGAAGACTCGGCGGGGTCGATCGAGAGGGTGCGAACGGAAGGCCAGGAGAAGATCGACGCGAAGAGCACGAACGACTTCTTCTCCATGGTGATGTCGCCCCTCGGGACCGGCATGTCGTCCCCGACGTTCGACATGGAGCACCTGAGAGTGTCCTCGCCCAAGCGTAAAGAGGATCCGATGGGTTCCTACACCGACTGCTTCCCGCAGGTCTCCGACAGCGTGCAGATCAATCTGGGGCCAGGCGTGGAGCAAGGCTTCGGCCACAAGGACGTCGCCGATTCCTTGCAAACCATAAATGAGGATTCGCTGAAGGAACTGCTGTACGGTATGGACAGAAAATGATGCAAGTACATACAACTTACAACTTGATAGTACAAACTAACGAGATACATTTTAGATCCTTTATAGATGAATATTGTAGAGAAGAGAGATATTATTTATTTCAAGTGCAAAACTTGAAAATTGTTATGTGATTGTTGCAATTCAACCATCTGCACATATTGACCGTGTAGACAAAAGATATCAACAGCTATAATTTATTAGTCTTAGAAATAATTGATTAACAACAAATCTGGCAGCTGTACATTGATTGCTAGTGTTACAAAGACTGTTATAAAAAAATATTGAAGTGCAAAAGTAGTGCAATTTGGATGAAATATATCCGATATATTTTAAAGCTGAAGAAGCGATGAAATATCAGTGTTTGGGTATTTCATCTGCCAATCTTGCAAGATATCTTTATCTTTTGTTGTTATAAAAAAACTTGATGTAAAAGTTACAGTAAAAGCGTAAAAGTAATTGCGTACGCTTATTGTAAATGTACACAACTATTCGTTACAAGTCGCGTAATATCCTCAATTCATACGATCGTTATTGCAAATATAAAGTCTTCAAACGCCGGCGAATATCGTGACGAAAATACACAATATCGAAATACCAAATTAACGAATAATAAAACGCCGTCTTACGAGAGCAACTTGAAATGTTTTCTGAAAACTTACCCCATGATCAGAATGTCTCGTTAATAAAATTACGGGATTACAAGATACAAAGCAACATAACCTCCCATGCTTTGTTGACATAGCGCTCTCGGTGGAATCGCGACGGACATCATCTGTTCTTCAGGTCTGTTCCTCGCGGCTGAACGGTGTACAGTTTGTGTACTTGAAAAAATGAAATAAACATATATTTTGGAATTTGAGAAAGTTTGAGAAAGAGAAAAAGAAAATTTTAGTCCAGTTAGGTTAGCGATGAGAGTAGGACTTACATTTTTGAATCTATATCGCATAAGATGGATGATACAAAAATCTTCTCTAATAAAAGTTTATAAAATTTTATCGTACCCATTACGTATATTATAAATTTTCGTATAGATTTGTCTTTTGTGGCTGAGCTACATTACACTTATTTAAAATAAAATAGTTATATATTTAAAACTTGATATGCAATTAGTGAAATAATTCAATGCAGTTCAGTGCAGCCACAAGAACAGATTTTAATGGCGAGTGTACACCAACGTCACCGGCTGATGCCGGTCGGTTTTGTCCAACGCGTCGATTGGCCGGCGCGACCGGAAGTGCGGCGCGCCCGCCAATCGGGCGCGAGACGGCCGACGCGCCCGCCGAACGCGGTCGAACATCTCGAAGCGCCGCTCGTGCTCCTCGGTCGAGATATCTCGTAGCAGACGACGCGCCGCACGGATCGACTTGACAGCTCACTCCGTATTTTCACGTGTCCCATCGCGCATCGCGTTGCGTAACTGGAGTCCGACTTCCAGGGAGGAGCTCCCTTTTTGCGGTGAGTAAGGCACGTTTGCGCCACGCCGGCGACGAGGGCATCGCTTTCATCGTCCTCGTCGTCGCCGTCCGCGCGATCGACCGATGACGGACAGCTGATCGGGATGCGGGACGCGATCGACGTGCAAGCCAAAAGACAGGTTGTTTTGACATCGCCACGGATGGCCGTTTTTGTCGCGGTCGTTTAACGACGGCCAGATTGATCGTCACCGGATTCCGTTTCCCCTCCCCCCTCCCACGCGCCAGTCGTAGCCGCCCGTCGACGATCGAGGGCGACCGCGACCGGAAATCTTGGCGCAATCTGTTACGACACGACGAACGAGGTGTCCTCCTCGCCTCCGCGCCTACCCAATGTCGTCGCGTTTCGTCGCTCGTTTTTTCACGCCATCACGGGACGAAACGGAATCGAAAGCGACGCCAAACGCGTCGCGTCTCGCGGCCGCGTTCGACGTTTTTTTTTTTTTTTTTTTTTAACGCGACTCCCCGAAACGCATCTCGTCCCGCAGCGACGCAGTAATACCTCCGATCGGTTCGATCCGATCGGACCTTGAAACACACACGCGCTCGCGCGTGTGTGTTTCATGCGCCGAAGCGTTTCGCCCTGCGCCCGTAATAAAAGCGGTCGTCGAACGAAACGCGACAGATAAGATACTTTTATCGTTCTCGAGGCGAACGAGCGCGAGGGCGATTCGAAAATGGGAAAATCGATGCGACGTGTGTATATATTCTCGCGTGCGATTTAGAAATTCGCCTTATCGCGTATACCGAGACGCTCGCGGGAGTGTCGGATAAGAACGCGCAGAAGAGAGGCGCAACGCGGACGGCCGAGAGACGGCAAGCGCTCTCTCCTCTCTCGCGCACTCCTCCTGCACTCGGCCCGCAAGCATAAAGGTGCGGACAGAATATCATTTCGTGCGAACGTCATCAATTTCCGTCGGCGATAGCGCTCACGTCAGAGAGTAAATACGTGCGAGTGCGCGGGTTACATAAACGGCACGCGCGCGCGAGAGGTACATTAGACGTATGTAAGCGCGTGTATTGCGCGTCTCTTTATTCCTTTTTTTTCTTCTTTTAAACTCGGGCAATTCGATCGATCGATTACGCGGGATCGGCCGCGTGACACGGAACTTCAGTTATCGCGGGGGGGAAGAGGAAGAAAAAGAGCGGCATTTACGTAAGCGCGTAAGATCGCACCTCCGCTGGACAGGTTTCCCGCTGCCCGCGTAGCAAAAATGCGAATTTAAAAAACGGCCAGGCAAGATGGTGATTCGCGCGCCACGCGGCCGCGGCGCAGGAGCGGCGGGCGACAGCCAGTGTCCCCGGATCGAGGGGCGAATCGCGCGCACGCGCGCGACGAGGGGCTGACGTTTCCCCCCCTGTTGCTTCCCCCTGCTCCCCCCCCGTTGCTGTCGCAAAGGGGAGAAGTAACTTTTAATCGTTTATTCGGTTTATTTTAAAATTTTCTGGCCCCTCGACGCGGCCATATTGGACCGTGACGTCAGAAACGAGAAATCATGCGAATTTTTTTCCGCACGCGCTATATATACGTGCCGTAATAAATTATAGTTTCCCCGCTCGCAGTGTAATGTCATTCGCGTTCAATAGTCGTATTGGGATGTCTCCGACCTGGTCGCGCAATCGAACAGGAAGCGGAAAATTAAATCGAAAATGGGAGCAGTGAATGGAACGACTATACAGAATAAAAGAAATTTGTTATACGACGTTCTCGAAAAATATCTTGAAAACGATATATTCAGTTCTTTCAACATTTTATGTAACATCTTATTGAAAAATAGTAGTTCAAGTATAGTTTCAATATTACGCATATTTTCTTCAGTAATTTAAATTACGTTGAATTGCTTCATGCATACGGAATGTCACATACTTTTTACCTCTGCAATTTTGACGCACTAATATCGACGTAAACATACGTTATGTACATTTAAAAAAGTGAAAGCATTACGTGATTAATCTTCTAATTTTTACTCTTTTTTTTTCTCCAAAAAAATTTCGTGCCACATTTTTCGTACGTGTTGTCAGTTATTTGTTCTTCGCTGTCAAATCGATAGAAGCTCTTTTTTCACGTGTACATACATCGGCAAACGTAAAATCGCGCACTTTTCAACACTTCGTGTATCATCAGTTGAGAGAAGAAAGAAAGCTTAAGCTATAGGTGAAAGGGAAAGGGAAGAGATGAACGAGAAGAAATTCGGAGGCGCCCCGCGTGCGGTGCGTGCCCGAGCGCCACGGGCCTGACGCGACAACGGCGGCCGGCGATTGGTGCGCGCGCGGCGGTGGCGTCGGCGGAGTGGGGGGGGGGACAGCGGAGAGCGAGGGGTACTTCTCCCCCTCGCGTACAATCATCATACGTATATTGTACGTCCGCCCGCGACAGGTTTCCGAACGCGGCGCACGGGCTTCCGCTGGCTGGTCGTGTGTGCGTGTCTCTGCCTGCCGTTGCCTTGCCTGCGTGCTGGCCTGGCACCGTGTCGCTGGCTCGTGTGTGACATTGGCGACGGGGGCGGAGCGTTCTGCGGCCACCCAGTCCTAACCAACCCGAAGTGGCTCTCTCGACTCGTCGTCGACATTCCGAGTGACTCTTCGTCTCGCCTACGGTGGCCGCGTCTCGTCGATCGAGGCCTCCGATCGCGCTCGGCGTGTTCGTTCGTTCGTTCGTTCGTTTCCCCCCTCGTTGCGCGACGATCGCAACCCGCAGCAGTGTGTGGTGTGTGCACAAGCGTGCGTTCGTGTATGTGTGCGCGCGTGCATTGTATTACGCTCCTACGACGGTTCCCCTGTGTGTTGCGCGCCGTGGCGTGGACGGCCACGAACGCTCTCTCGCTCTCCTCCTGCTCGCTCGGCCGCTACGCTGCTGCCGAGCGCCCGAGTAGTGTCGTGCCGTGTCGTGTCCCCGTGCCGTGCGTGCATGCGCGCGTGCATGTGCGCCGCGACGTCTCTCTCTCTGTGTGCAGCGATAAAAGCGAAGGAAACGTCTCGTCTCGTCTCGTCTCGTCGCGTCGTCGCGTCGCATTTCACCAGGCCGAGAGAGAGAATATCGAGCTAGAGGATATTGAAACCTCGTCATCATCATCGTCATCGTCGTTATATCGTGCCGTCGTCGTCATCGTCGCCGCGATGCCCTGGGCGTGTTTCTCCCGCATTCAGGTAAAATATATAAAAAAAAAAAAAAAAAACTTCGCAGCGCACTGTTTTCGAATCGAAGTTCCTTGACGAGAGCATCGCGAGCAAGTGCGTGGGGTTGGACGAAGCGGGTGGGAGGAAGAGGTGGTATGGATATACGTAGGTATGATGGTACTGCGCGATGAGGGGGGCAGCGAACGGGTTGGGGGGGAAGGGTGGGGTGACGGGCGCAAGAGAGCCACGGGTAAGGGCGAAGAGGCTACGAGGGGCGAGGAAAGGGGAGGAGGAGGGGGGGCGGGGAGGGGGGAGGAGGAGAGGGCTTCTCTTTTTTGGAGGATTTCAACCTGAGGTCACGCACACGGCGGTGCGAGTGAGGCGGAGCGCGTGCGGGTCGGAGTAGGACGAGAGGAAGAGTGGAAACCCGTCCTCCATTGCTCGGATCGCGAGCAAATGGTGGCTCTCGCTCCACACGAGTCTCTTTGTTACGCTACAAATACGAGTTCGAGGAGCCCCCTGCACAAAGCCCTCCGCCTGCCTGCCTGCCGCTGCCGTTGTTGCTGATGCTGCTGCTGCTGCTGCTGCTTGCTACTGCCTGTCCCTCTGACTCGCGTCTTTGTCGCGCGACTGAGTAATCTGTCAGGCTCGTCACCGAGGAGATGGGGAGAAGGGGCCCCCCCGCCGTAATGTCAACGGCACAATTTCGCGTCAGCCAGTGATACTGGATGGACGGACAGGTCAGACGGACGGACCGGACCAGACCAAACCAGACCAGTCAGTCGGCCAGCCAACCCAGTTGGTTAGCTGGGCCCAGCGAACGAAGGGAGTGAGCGAGGCGAGGCGAGGCGAGCAAGCGAGCGAGCGAAGTAGCAGTCGTAGTGTTTGTTATGATTCTCGGTTCGTTACTATCTTCTTCGCCACCGCGTGGGAGGGGGAGGGGAAACATTAATTGCGTATCGTGCCCCGCGGCCGTTTTATTTAGTCACGCTCTTGTTATCCGAGCGCATATGGCTCGCGCCGAGGCACCAATCCCCCTTTTATCTCTCTCTCTCTCTTTCTCTTGTTTCCCTCTTTTTCTTGGAAATCGCGCCGTCGATATCGCTGCCGTTGCCACTGCCGTTCAAGTTCGTGTGGCGTTGCAGCGAAATGCCAGCGGATCGGCGGTGGATCCTTCGCGAGGAGGTCGCGCTCAACGAGCACGGGGGCATTTAAATCCCTTTGTGTGTGCGCCTCGTTTAAATGCAGTGACACGATCCCGAGATCGAACGCGGACGGGTCGTCGCGCGATAAACGGGCAGCCTCGCTCCCGTTGGGGCGAGTGTCTGTCTGTCCGTCCGTCCGTCCGTCCGTTCGTCCGTCTGTATGTCTGTCTGTCCGTGTGTCTCTCTGTGGATTTTCGGACGCGAGCGATAATCGAAAGTAAACGAGCGCGACAGCAGCGTCTGTGTTAATGTTTTCCTCCAACAAAGGGGACAGGCCGCGACAAGGAGAGACTCGCGCCTCACGTCCGTCCGCGACGCACGGGTCCGCATCCGATTCGTACACATCCGACCTTTTTTTTTTCCTCTCTCTCCAGCAGCGCCCAGCTCTCCTCCACCATTGTGTGTCGCTTTCGTTGTTACGTGTCGTGCTTGCACGCAAATGAGAATGTTACGTGGTAACTCGCAAGTAGTTCGACCTGACACTTGGCCATCTCGAAGCTCTTACGAGCTGTCCTTTTTTTTTCTCCGGGGGAACAAAATTTATGCTCGATCGTCGGTGCCACGTTTTATTTACGGAAGCTATTTTTAATCATTAACTGTATGAATAATATTAAATCTGTCGAGAAGTTTTCGTTTGCTCAAGGTTATCAAATACATATACATATGCGTATTTGGACCTTTTGTACATATTTTTACGTGTCCTTATGTAGAGACTTGTCGTTACTCCGTATTTTTTTTTTTTTTTAAACGATCATAATTGCGTGTAAATACGAAGTAGGAGAAAGTCATATGCTTGTATAAAAAAAAATTAATAAAAAGCACGGTGTGCTTTCTCTTTTACAGACAGAATAGTGGCATGAGTCGATTAATCTATGGCAGATCAACAAGATCAGTTGTCATCAGGGGGGTCTGTAGAGAAGGCCAGTGCTTCAGCAGACACCTCTAAGCTTAGGGGGAAGGGCTCTAGTAGCGGTTCGAGTGGCTACAGAAAACGACAAAATACTGGTGCAGTCCCAGATAGCGTGGAAGAGAAGAGGCGTAGACAGACACCTGGTGATCCGCAGACATCCCAATTTGACGGTAATACAGCGCACACGCATTCGATCGATTCTTCCAAGGGTGAGGGCAGAGTCAGGGGTGAACGAAGAAATCATGGAGCTGGCTTAGAATCTTATCCAGGTAATTAAATGAGCCACGGCGTCGACACTGTGACCGAGAGTAACGCTTTAAGCGTTTCATCTGCAATGAGACTTAAGACTTCAGATTTAAGAAAATTGACCAATCATAATCGATCATTCCACGTGAGCAAAAAAAAATCGATTGTGATCAGTCCATTTTCTTGAGTCCTCAAGTCTCATTGCAGACGCCGCTTTACCACGAATCTCTTTTTCTTTTATATCGTTTAATGTAACGTTGCGTCACATTCGTGCAATCCTAGGCAATTTTTGCTCGTTATTATACATACGCGTGCAAGTGAACTTTCCTACTTCTGCTTTTTATCACACTTCGAAGCTCCTCTTCCGAAGTCTTATCTTTGTTTATTAGCATACCAACGGTTGAATTATGTGACATTAAGTGAAATCACGTTAAAATATTGCAACAGATACTGACTGGAGGTCGCATCATAAGATTCACCAAGCCAGCTACAGCAGTGGTAGCAGTGCGAGGGTGCGTAGCACGGCAAGAACGAATTTGCCAGAGTTGAATCCAACACCTACCGATTGTGTGGCGTCGCGGACACGTTCCCGTACACCACAGAATCCCCAAGCACTGACACAGGGAGTCAGCAGTTACGATCTGTCACTGCCCAGTGGATACGGTAGCCGAAAGACAAGTACCTACCTGGCTACCAGCTTGGTAGCTTCATCGAGTGCAACGTCGATTACTAGTCATCCATCCACGTCGAGAGGAAGAGGAGGTTAGTGCGACACTTTTCTAGTTCGTTTTATTAGTCGATTGTAGGATTGTGATGTGTGATTTGCGTGAAGATACAATTTTGTTTTGAGATTGCTTACGTTAATTATATCTATAATGACTCTTAAAAACTGACGACAAAATCTTTAAATCGAAAACTTTAACAAATATTTGTAACAATTTATTTTATATATCTGATCGGTTACATATTTTTGTTCTTTTTTTTTAGCATTCTTTATTTTCAAAAAGTTCTTTAATATCCGCGATAAAGATTATTTTCTAAAATTGTTTAACTTGACTAATGATGTTATATATCATAGATAGCTTTGAGATTTGAATTTGAATGCATTAATATAATAAATTTTTTTATGTCGTATTAAAGAATTTGAATGTGAAGGAAGAAAGCAGAATTAATCAATTATATCTTATGAATAATTTAATAAGCATTATATATTAGCTAATAAGAGAAGGCTTTTCAAAATGTTTAATTACTAATAACTATGTAAATTATTCCAATTATTCTAAGTTTAAAAGAATCATCTTTCTAGTAGCTCTGGTTATTTTACAGCAAAAAAAAAGAATAATAGTAAATTCGATTTTTTAAAACAATGCATACGCAGAGAAGAAGAAAGAACAAGTAGTATAACTAGGTAACATGTTAGCTTACATAAATCCGGACAAAAAGTTCTTTATGAAATACGTATTTCTTTTCTACATATTTGCACATGTACACATTTGTTATGTCTCTACTTGTGTAACATTTGCTAACTTGTTGGTGAACTTGGAAATTTTTGTATTTTTGGTAAGAAATATGATACAGAGATATACGACACAGAATTCGTATTGTTACTGGAATTTCTAGTATTAGTTACGAGTATAATGACAAAAATCTCGTGTGTAATACGTGTGTAAATGAAACTGAGTGATTCGGCCGGTGAGAGGCAAAGAAAGTGTGAAAAGAGTGTTTCGAGATAGGAATATATAAAGTAAAATTTAGAAAACGCAAGTATTATCAAGATAAGAGTCATAGATCAGACTGTATCATTAGGCCAGAGGATGAGCGAATGTCTGGAAGGATTTGTGTCTGCTGTCAAAGCACTTTTTCCAATATCAACACAAACCTACCATCAAGAAGGTAAGCTTAAGGAGTACACACTCTTCGTACTACCATTTTCTTCCCTCCCCTTATTTTTCTCTTGCAAACTTCGCGCGCGAGTAGCTTAAACGAACATCCCGAGTCATTGAGCTCCATTCTGAACTTACATTCTCTATACATCCACATATGCGTCATCCTCATTTACTGTACTTAATAGTTAATATCAGGTAAATTTCTATATCAGTTTCATTCATGCATGGTATTAATTATGTAAATGTATTTAGGGGAGAAATACAATTTTTCTTCAACTTCTACGATACTCTATTTGATTTGAAAAATTGCCACGAATATTTAAGATCATTATGACTTGGTATCAAGACGTCAAATCTCGAAATCTTTTTTGTTACATACATAATAAGATTGTATTAATAATTTATACATAATTGGCTATAATAAAAATCAGAAATATTTTCATGTTTATTACAATACAAAGAAGAGAAAGGCTTGTATTTCGAATTATATTGTACATATGTGCTGGAAGTTCATCAACTGTTTGCAAACATTTTCGTAAAGTTACCTAACGTATCATACATCATACAGTTGTACATAAATAGGATGATTTGTAACGATTAAGTAAAAAATTTTATAAGTCAACATTCAAAACTACTATCGTTCAAGTTTTTATGTTACCTTGCTTTTAATTTAAAATAATTCTTTTTTATTTAATTAAAATTATATATTGAAATAGTATGCCTTCAGTTTCAGTATAACGATTTTAAATTTTATATCATAATTGTACAGGATAATCCGACAAAATATTATCGTCTTTTAAAAAATATAGTTTTTGTCGATTTTTCCAGCGTCCAGATTTAATCAATCTCTATGTCATCTTTCAAATATAACAAAAAAAATTATCCGTTAAAGGTCCGGTTCTTATTTATTTCTTTTTTATTCAAGATTGATTATGATTGATAAATGATCGTAATAAGTGTTTAAAAATTTTGAAAGCTGAAATTACTATATTATTCCTTATTTTTTGCCTATAAACTTCTTATCTCAAACGTTTTGCTCTCAAGATAATATGTTAAAATTGATGTCGGAAATTCTGGTGTGGATAAGCAATTTTTTATCGTGGAATTCTGTATCATGAGGCTAAATTGATCTTTGTTTCTCTCTTTCAACACTTAATGGAAGTGATTAAATATTATAGTTAATAGATATGTATAGAAGTACAATCGATAAAGTATTGTTTGTCAACATTTTTTTTTTATGTCGATACTGGCATTTTTTAAATTGACACGCATTTCACAATATTTTTTTTAAATTTATATTTGTTAATATTTGATTTGCTTTAATTAGAAACTTATTAATTTATTCTGGTCTTCTAAGAACTTTTATCTCATATGAAGGACGACTTTTATTGCGTAGTAATACTTTTGTTATCAGATATTATCATTTGTAATCATTAATCTTCTCTTTATACTTGCCAAGAAATTGACTGTTATATAGAGTTTGGAATTATATGAAGCGTATAACGGTTGCCTCGTTATATTTTATTTGAGAAGAATTATGTATATTAATAGTGTGCAGAGTGTGCACTTCATTAAACATTTTTCGATGGATTGGACACATCTTGTTTCACACAAAGTTTTATAATGTTTAAATTAGTATATAAAATATCCCATCAGACATTGCGTGACAACAGTTAATAATAGACTTCTGAGGTAATTTCAAGGTGAAATACCAAAATGTGTTTTCATCTTCACCTTCATAATTAAATCTTTATAATTTTTGCAAAGTTACTGGGGAAAAACTGTTCCTATTTTAGATATATTTGATAGCGCTGTTTTCAATTTGCAAACTTGCGACATTTACACCGAGCGGTATAAATTCGAGAAATCCTTGATCTATTGTACCAAAAATTACAATATTCCGTTTTTTTTTAAATTCGCTTCGGTATACCTCAGGTACCTGCCTTGGCAGTCATAATGCGAGTCTGCATATTTATGCAATGACATATAATGTTTTTTCAATGTAACCAGAAGGAACGCACAATACCATGTGAAAGCTTGGGTCAATGCATTATCATACATATTGATATTTTACCTGGCAACAAAAATGCGAAAATCTTTTTTCCTTCAGGTAACAAACGAATTTTTCACAATTTTCCTCCTATTGCTCGGTGTAAGTCGCCTGTATGTTGAGAACTGACAGAATGAAATATATTTAAAATAGGTGCGTAATCTTTGTGAGAATAACATTCATATTTTATGCTGCGGTATTTAGACAATACTCGCTTTAATCCCGCGGTCTCTAATACTTAATATCTGCGTCTTGGAAGAATCATACAATATTGAATATTACTAAAACTACGGAAGATGTTTACGAGCCGAACAATTTTATATTAAAAACAAAAAAATATATATATATAATTGCTTGGTTTTAGATTAAATATAGGTATCTATTTTTACAATCGATAGGCAAAATTGTATATAAAATTGCATAAGACACATCATGACAGAAATCATACATCACTTACAATTATCAAACTTGCGAAAATGTTTGACATTTGTAATAATGCACGCGGAATAAGAATCGTATCGTTTTCTTTTCCGTTCTGAAAATTTCACACGTGCATCAGTAAGAAGTGTAAATAAAAAATGTTGCATACACTCATACAGCAACTTCGACATCCATACAAATGAGAATCTACGCATTGCGCGCGCAGTCAGGACAATCACACACAAGTCTCTCGCCCTAAGTCTTTGCCCTATGTATCTCAATGATTGTGTGACATTTGGACATTTTAGATTCGAAAGCTCACGGTGGTGCAACCTGTAGTGCAACGAGCAGCAGCACGAGTAGTCAAGTCCTGGGTGTCAAGTCCAGCATCAGAGTGGGTAACGCAGCAAGTAACTCTGTGGAGAGTGGTGGGGGGGCGTTGGCACATGACGGGGCAGGCACGAGTGGCATCACGTCAACGGCCACTGCCAATCCACCTGTGTCTGCCGCCGTTTCTGCCAACCCTGCACACCCTCATTCTACACACAAGCACCTGCTACGCTCTCGCGCGAAAGCCTCCGGTGAACAGCCGAAGGAACTGCCATCCAGCAACAAGACTTCGGGGAAACATCACAAGAAAGACACTACAACGGGTTCCTGCTCGAGTTCCAGGTAGACACCCAGTCGAGGACACCCCTTCTTTCTTTTGCTAACTCAATTACGAGCTTGGCTACGAGATCTCATGTAAACCGGTTGAAAGAATTTGTAACGCGAAAAATTGTATCTGGTTGAACGTTGTTACAGACATCGCTCCTCATCGCGCGTGAGGAAGCCGGTGGTGGAGAGCGGCTCCGGTGGATTAGGTAGTGTAATGTCAGCCAATGACTCTATCAGCGCCACGTCAGTATCATCCTCCATCCCGAGCAGTCAGTTAGTCTCGACCACAGGTGAGGAGGAGTCGGCATCAACTGCGACATCCGCCACAGGTTAAATGCCATCAATGCCTAAGCTTATAATAGATAATGAATATGCTCAATCGATTTTATTAACACGATGTCAGACCGCGTCATTCAAAATGTCAATTTTCTACTTTGCACGCGCGAAGCCAGTGGAGGACCATCTGGAATGTCGGGAACAACCGGTGATAGCGAGAGCGACGATGGGGAAGTTGGACGATTACAGGCTCTGCTCGAGGCTAGAGGTCTGCCGCCTCACGTGTTCGGCGCATTAGGACCGCGGATGCAACACTTACTTAACCGAAGCATGGGCGCAAGTTCCGGTATGAAAATAATGTCCCTTTTTTTTTGCAGATATGTTGCAACTTAATTGGAATTATTCAAAATTCACGCTGTTCATGACAAGTGATCTTTAATTGTTCGACACACTGTTCTTCACTGTCTGTAAATAGCATGCCGAATTTATTCGGCATACTGATCTTTAAATAAATAACTTGCAGCTGCTAAAGCGCAACAGCTACTAGCCGGTTTACAAGCTGTTGAGGACGAGGGAGAACAATTGCAGGCCGTCATGAACATGGGAGAGATTCTTGTGATGGGCAACGAGGATACTCTGACCGGTTTTCCCGTCAAGCAAGTGGTCGCAGCTTTAATTAATTTATTGGGGATCGAGCATAATTTCGCGATAATGACCCACGCGTGTCGTGCCCTTACGTACATGATGGAGGCGCTGCCACGGTCGTCCACTGTCGTGGTGGATGCGGTACCGGTGTTCCTGCAGAAACTCGAATCGATCGAGTGCATGGACGTGGCCGAACAGTGTTTGACAGCATTAGCCATGTTGTCACGCAGGCACAGCAAAACAATTTTACACGCGGTACGTACACATGTTCCTCCATCCAACTTACATACAATGCAATTGCATTTTAATTCACTCGTTTTTTTTTCGTGCATTAATTGATCCAGTCTATAATCTTGTATATGAAAATTTTTTTATTGCAAGATCATTAAATGGTTTATATTGTTTCTAGATTTTTCACGTTTTATATTAGAACCTTGACGCAGAACCTTGACTTTTTGTTGATTTTATATCTAATTTGATTGCACTTTGGTAATCTTAATATTTATAAACTTATTCAATAATTATTACTAAGGAAAATGGAAATGATCTTCGTATCTTTAAAATGGAAAATTACTTGTTTTGAAGTGGAATAATCTATTGATCTTTTTTTGTGTTTTTAATAATGAAGATATTTTAAGTTGAACTGTTCAAATTAAATAGAACATTTTTTCTGCTGTTTTGATATCAACTTTGGAAGCATATAATAACTTTTGTTAACAATTAATGTGAGTTTTAATTGCAATATTGTATCTTGTTGTTTTCAGGGTGGAGTATCAGCCTGTTTGAAGTTCGTTGATTTCTTCAACATCACGGCACAACGTGCAGCGTTAACAATTACCGCAAACTGCTGTCAGAATCTTCACCCTGATGATTTTCACTTGGTAGTGGATAGTCTGCCATTATTAACGAGCAGACTGACGAATCAAGATAAGAAGAGCGTTGAGTGCGTGTGTCAAGCATTCAGTCGACTAGTTGACAGTTTCCAACATGATCCTGTGATGCTGCACAAAATTATCAATGCCGAACTCTTACAGAATCTGCAACAGCTGGTACGTGCGCGCAACTATTATCAGTTATACAACTTGCGTATAAAAATTTTTTTATTACAAGATCATCAAATGGTCCATATTGTTTTTAGATGTTTCACGTTTTATATTTCACAGAACCTTGACTTCTTGACGATTTTATGTCTAATTTTATTGCACTTTGATAATTTTAATATTTATAGACTTATTATTCAATTATTTAGTAAAATGGAAATCTTCGATATCTTTAAAATGCAAAATTACCTGTTTCGAAGTGGGATAACTTTGACTTTTTTTTGTGTTTTTAATAATGGAGATATTTTTCACAAGTTAAACTGTTCAAATTAAATAGAATTTTTTGTTAAAATAATTTTTCTCGTGTTGTTTATACGTCATTCCGTGTCTTCCGTGTGTTACAGCTCATGATTACGCCGCCGGTTAACAGCACTAACAATTTCATAACTGTATTACGAATGCTCTCTGTGATATCAAATCGCTGTCCCGACTTGGCGCAGTTGTTGCTGCAACAAAATATAGCTTTCACGTTAAGTTATCTCTTAACCGGATCTCTGGAGGTCAAAACGGAGGATGTGGAGTTGGTGCCGCGTACGCCGCAGGAGTGGTTCGAAATTACGTGTTTAATCGAGGAGCTTATGCCTCCGTTACCAACAGATGGGATATTCAGTGTAAATAGCTTACTCGAAAGGACCAGCAATCAACAGGAGACTGTCCAGTGGGAATGGCGCGACGAAAGACAATGTTCCCATCCGTTCAGTACTATAGATTCTAGAATTATCGAGGTAATCTAATAGACTTATTTAATAGACTGCGTATCTATATGACAGCTGAAGATAACGCAGAAGGACATAGATATGCCTGATTTGTCATAACTCTGTTCTTGTGAATGTGGTGTCTTCAGCTGCCGCAAATATATAAGTGCGTAGTTTATTATACAACTTTATAAGTTACATAATCCTGTCATGTCTTTGATTAGCAACCACGACGAATTAATTTGATAAATGTATGTTTTAGATGGCGTTTCAAAATGGCGAAGATGAGATATGCCTTACCTCTTTAGGACGAACTTACACTATAGATCTGACTGTGATGAAACAAATTAACGAGGATATAGGAATGGCAAGGAGTATATTTCGAAGAGTGAACGCCAATCCCACTGAGGGGAAGAGTCCAACTTGCTCATCTAGGTACAAATTACATTTGCGAACCCTCTTAAGGTTACTTTATCGGCTTTATCGTTAAAGCAGCTGTTACGCTATTGATTGCAGTATGGATGTTGTGCCTCCGGTAATCGAAACGAACGAATGGCTAGTGTCTTTTATTCGAACCCTATTCTCTGTACTGTATGAGGTTTATAGCAGCTCGGCTGGGCCCGCCGTGAAATGCAAATGCCTCCGAGCTCTTCTCCGTATGGTGTATTATGCTTCAACTGATTTACTTAAGGTGAGACAGGACATTGGAACGCGATAATGTTTGTTCGTAATATTTATACTTTATGTACAAATGTTCCTTTTCTCGCACGCAGGATGTTCTAAAGAATCAAGTGGTTTCGTCACATATAGCCGGTATGTTAGCGTCGCAAGATTTACGTATAGTTATCGGGGCTCTTCAAATGGCGAGTATCCTGATGAAGAGATTGCCGCAAGTGTTTGGGGTTCATTTTCATCGCGAGGGCGTGCTGCATCAAGTTCGTCAATTAGCAGATCCCGAAGTACCTCTCGGTGTTTCACCACCTAAGTGCCCTTCTGGTAAATTTCAACTTTTTCTTATTCTCATCGCCATTGTCTTTCGTTCAGCGTGTCCCAATGTGCTTCACATGACTATTCTCGTTGCCGAAATGTGATATACATATACTGTATCATGCGACATTTTACGTTGTATTTAGGTACATCATTACCAAGCCCACAGCCAGGTCCGTCTAATACACCACTTTCTTCCACCACAATGTTGTCTTCTAGTAGTGCCACGTCTCCGGTTGTCTCTCCATCTTCGAACGGCAACATATTGTTCGGCACAATCGCGTCGTCGTGCCAGTATAAACCAAATATCAGTGCTTCGTTGGAACCACACAGAACGGAGTTGAGCAACAGCGTAGAGGAAACGAACACGCCGCAGAGTGCTCACCTGTTAGTACAAGATGTCTTCGCTAATACGTTTACAATTTTTTTTTTTTTTTTTTAATTAACCGTTTACGACACTTGCACTTACGGATCGCGTCTCTTTGCTCGTTAGAAGGATCGGTGACGTGCTGAAGAAGAAACGGCAGAACAAGAAGGGTCGTTTCTCGAGATTGGGAGGCGCCACCACGCCGCAGCAGACGCAACAGCCAGAGACCCTGTTCACCGGTTTCACCGCGAAGAACAATCGATTTCTGGGGAATCTCAATCCGGCCAAGTGGGGCCGGAAATCGTCCTCGTCCAGTACCAGCAACGACAAGAGGGACTCGAGCTCGTCCACGAATCTGTCGAAACCGCCGAGTAATCCGAGCCTGACTGGCGGAAATCGGGATAAAGCGAAGGCGTGGGTGCGCGAGCAGGCAGCGCAATTCCTGGCGCGATATCAGGACGACGCACCTTGCTCGCATCCCGCCCTGACGGTTCTCGCTCGGCTCACCGCTGCGATACAACGTTTGCAGTCAAACGTAAATGCATATGTATATCATAAATAAACACCACAAAGATATTGGGCATCAAGATTTATATTAATTTTTATATAATAAATTCAGCTTCGTATATAAATGTGAATACACGCCCAGCCTGTGCACAAAGCACAAGTGATCGAATTAACTGTGTACTTATTACAGTTATTTATATCTGCAGATTTTTATAATCCACACATCTCACGTTTGCAGGAATTGGACGAGATGCTGTCAGCACTAACGGAATTACGGGACATAGTCCTCGAGAGCGATATCTCGCCGTTCGAGATGAATTACAGCGGCCTTATCAAGGCCCTGTTGAACTACCTCACTACCACGGATGCACCGGGCAATCGCTACGACCGTCTTCGTATGTTTTGGAAATTGTTTGCCGAGTCTACCGTAAGTAGAAGCGACCCTCTCCGTCATTGGCAACCTTCGAAGTGCGCGCGCGTGTAATCCTCTGAAATTTATATATTGCCTCCAGATGCAACAGAATAACGACATCATGGACCTCAATCCCGGGGCGTTCGGCGCTTTAGTAACGAAATTGAACAGTTGCGTTGCACAGCTGGAACAGTTCCCAGTGAAGGTTCACGATTTGCCCGCGGGTTCTGGCGCTGGCCGTGGTGGCACCAGCGCTCTCAAGTTCTTCAACACGCATCAACTTAAGGTAATCGATGCCTACGCACTAAATCTAAGATCTGAGGTAAAATTTTTAACTGTCGCGGGAAAAGACTATTTCGGTTGACGATCGGCCGTAATATAAACGCAAACGTTTCGTCGAATTGTGCTGCAGTGTAATCTTCAACGGCATCCGGACTGTAACAATCTGAAGCAGTGGAAGGGCGGCACCGTGAAAATAGATCCGCTTGCGTTAGTACAGGCGATTGAACGTTACTTGATGGTACGTGGATACGGCAGAATACGGGACGCCGACTCGATGGTCAGCGATGACGACAATAGCGAGGACGACATTGACGATACTTTGGTATATATCTTTCTCCGTCGGGGCGGAGATCTCTATCTTTGGGTTGGAGAAAATCGATAAGATCGACGCGAGCCGAGATTTACTTGCTCCCTTTCCGTTCCAGGCGGCAGTCGTGATAAGCCAAGGACCGCCGAAACATAAACTCCAGTTTTTAATTGGCGACGTCGTCCTACCTTTCAACATGACGGTTTATCAAGCGGTCAGGCAGTTCGGATGTTCCGGAGTGGACCACTCCGAGGCGGAGGCCGACAGCGAACCGCCGCTCGGACACGACGCGGTGTGGGTGCAAACTCACACGATATACTACAGGTACATTTTCAGACACCCCCATACAGGCGCAACTCATTTTCTCTTTTCTCTTTCAACATTGTCAAATCAACGTCTTTATTCTCGAGGCCAATTTTTTTTCCAAATAACTTACAACATCGTTCATCTTTATCCTAATCCAATCGAACAAAGAAGAATTTTAATCTTTCTGGATGCAGACCTGTACCAGAAGAAGACGCCGCGACCTCTCCAAAATCAGGCTCGAGCTCACAGGGTAATAGCAGGAAGGGGAAGGGAAAAAGTACAAAGATTAGTTCGAAAAGGAAAGAAGACAGTCTCTGGCTGGAAGGCACGGTTCCTCTTCAACACTGTCCCCTCGCGCCATATCTGTCCCCTACATTACCACCCTCGGTAACCATCACGGACGCATCCCTCGACGGGCTGTGTCTACTACGGCTCTTGCACGCTCTCAATCGCCATTGGGGCATACTGTTCCCACATCTGAAAAGCATGAGCCTGCTGTCGCCTCAGGACTTCATCAACAATAAGATCGCCGCGAAAGCCAGCAGGCAGCTACAGGATCCGCTGGTGATCATGACCGGAAACTTGCCATCTTGGCTACAACAGATCGCGTCTGTCTGGTCAGTATAGCGAGAATGTAGATTGATCGTTTGTTTAATTTGACTGATTTTCGTATAAATTTCGGAAATTTATTTGCAATAATTTAACGTTTTCAACTTCCAGCCCTTTTCTCTTTCCGTTCGAGACGAGGCAGCTGCTGTTGTACGCGACATCGTTCGATCGAGATAGAGCGCTGCAGCGTCTCTTGGACTCCGCGCCGGAACTCTCGGGTTCGGACAGCCAGGAGCGCGTTACGCCACGCCTAGAACGAAGGAAGAGAACTATCTCGAGAACGGACATTCTCAAGCAAGCGGAACTGGTGATTCAAGACTTGGCCTCCAACAAGGCCTTACTCGAAGTGCAATATGTCAACGAGGTGAGTGCGCACTTTTGTGCGCGCACGCGGCTCCCCTCGGATTGTCGAATCTTCTTGCAAAGGTCTGCTAACGCGATATTCGGTATTTACAGGTCGGTACCGGTCTCGGACCAACTTTGGAATTCTACGCTCTAGTCTCCAAGGAACTGCAACGCGCTGATTTAGACTTGTGGCATGGCAGTTCGAATCCTACCGAAAACGGATACGTTAATTCCGCACACGGGCTCTTCCCCGCGCCGATCCCATGGAACACTAAAGTGTCTCATCTAGCAAAATTGAGGACAAAGTTCAAGTTCCTTGGGAAGTTCATGGCGAAGGCAATATACGACTCCAGAATGGTAAAACTCGACGTTTCGCGTTCGCAAAATCTTTTCCGAGTCTCTCCCTCGATCGTATTTTTTTTTTTCGATATGACACGTCGAATCGTTTCTCTTTCAGTTGGACTTGCCATTTAGTTTAACCTTCTACCGCTGGTTACTGGGAGAGGAGCATACTCTCACGTTGGCGGACTTGGCATACGTATGTCCCGACGTACATCGCACTCTCAGCAAGCTCCAGGAGGTCGTGAGGAAGAAGGAGGCTATGGAGAAGGATCAGACGCTACGGCCGCACGAGAAAGCGCAGTTAATTGAGGCTCTCGATTTAGATACGTGCCCAATTTCGGAACTGGGCCTCGTGTTCGAGTTGCCGGGCTACGAGAATATCGAATTGCGGAAGGGCGGTAGCGAAATATCCGTTACTATTTACAATTTGGATCAATACATTAAGGTAAATGCTTGGCATTTGACGCTTCCCGACCTCGCCGATGTTGTTCAAGGAAATCACGGTGGTCACGGCAAAATTTCTCTGTAAAATTTCAGTTAGTGGTACACTGGTTCTTGTATGAAGGAGTGTTCAGGCAAATGGAGGCCTTCCGGGAAGGATTCGAGTCGGTATTCCCTCCGTCGCAACTGAGACTGTTCTTCCCGGAGGAGCTGGAGGCGGTGTTCTGCGGCCACGCGCAAACCGGCGGGCAGTGGGACGTGAAGACCCTTGCCGAGTGCTGCAGGACCGATCACGGTTACACCCCGGACTCGCGGGCCATTCGTTTTCTGTTCGAGGTCATGTCCAAGTACAACAGCGAGGAGCAGCGACAGTTCATCCAGTTCGTCACCGGTTCACCGCGCTTGCCCGTCGGAGGTAGGATACTCGATGCCCCTCCACTTTTTTTTTTCCACCTGTCGTTAAAGCGGAAGGGCATCAACTTGACAAAAGTGCTTGTATTTTCCACAGGTTTCAAAAGCTTAACGCCTCCGTTGACGATAGTGCGCAAGACCTTCGATCAGTCTATGAAGACCGACGATTTCCTACCATCGGTAATGACTTGCGTTAACTACCTAAAACTGCCTGATTATACCACTCTGGAAATAATGCGGGAAAAGTTGCGGATAGCCGCGCAAGAGGGTCAACACTCGTTCCATCTCTCCTAGAAACGGATGGAAGATCGGCGCTTCGTTTTCTCCTTTACTCTTTACATTATCCAGGCCGCGAATTATCCGAGCTTCGTTTGAGATCCACGTGAAAATTGCACACGTTGCCAGTGAGCGAATCCAACGTGACAACGGCTTCTTCTTCTTTTTTTTTTTACCCCTCTTTTATGTGAGTTCTTTTGAAGACAACCTTTGATTTCTTGGAAAAAAAAAATTCGTCGCGGAGTAACAGTTCTTTCTTTTGGTGTTCATATCTTTGCGATTTGGATTGTGATATACGTTGATCAGGAAGAAAAGTGCAGAGCTGCATAATTTGCCCGAACCGCGCGAGTTCACGGACTCTCGCGGACGCTACGAACCGAGTGGCTTGCGAGCGACCTCGTTTTAGGGGGAAAACAAAAACTTATCTTCAGTGTGTTACAATAATAAAAAAAAAAGGAAAGAAAAAGATTGTAAATATAGTTTAATATACGCAAGTCGAGATAAATACTTTATATGATAGAAAAATGCTATGAGAAACACTATACTAACTGAATATATATATATATATATGTATATAGATATATATACATATATATATATGATATAGCCCGAGAGCGAGAAAGAAATCGAGAGAAGGAGAGGAGACCGTTTACTAGTGACATAAGTAAATTTTATATCAGTGGTGCATTAAAGAGCATCGCCATACGTCGCCAATCCCCCTCCCCCCGCTCTCCCCTACCGCGATCGCGGAAGAAATGAAAATCTATGATCTAAGGATCAGCAAGGAGACGCGCATGCCGCGCGACGAAGGCGCGCGCGCGCGCGCGAATGTGCGTGCTTGTGTCGGAAACAACAAAGCTAATTTCCGGATACAGACACACGCATACACAATAATAACCCACGATACTGTGTCTCTCGCTGCTATTCTCCATTTTGTAATCGATCTCTTCGTGTTCGTCGTCTTTTTTAAGTTCCAACCGACCGAGAACGTAATGCGCGAGTCAACGTTGCGCCGCGCCACGCCACGCTCCTAACATTTTAAGTTCAATCAGTGTGTAACATTCAACATTATTTGATATTTTTATTCTAAGTGAATTTAGCCCGATCGTTACTTTGTTTAGCTGCGTAAGAGTGCAACCGCGCGCGCGTTAATATCGCCGTCGTGATACACACACATACACATACACATGCGCGCGGGTGGATCGAAAGGGAAATTCCGATATCCATTTATTATTTACCAAGCAAATCGTATATAGAGGGAATAAAAAAACAAAAAAAAACCAGAATTGTAAGTGAACTTGTATGATACGAAATAGAATGGATATATAAAAGTAAGTGAAGCTGGTGTATCAAATGGATAATACAAGGTACATTACTTTTCTTATGTCACCGAAATGCAGGAGTCTATATGAAAAAAAAAAAAGAATGTGCGAGAGAGGAAGAGTGTGTGAGAGAGAGTCAAGTCTACATATGTCGGTACATTTGTTCGATTCAGATTCTACATTGTCAGACTTTGTGTATAATGTATATCGCGCACAGGTTTTTCTCGTATTTGTTGTATCATCCGCGGAGCAATCCTCGGGATTCGAGAGTCGCATACCTTTTCATTAGCGGAAGTTGTAATTTATGTTGTTATTATCGCGCCACGAAATGGTTTTCTTTTTCTTTTTTTTTCTTTTTTTTGAGACACATTGACACGTCGCTGTACACAAGGCGTCACAAATAGCCCGCCCATCTGAGCTTGCAGGGATACTGACCCATATATATGTATTATACATATGTATATACAATAATGTATACGTATACGTGCCCCTGCAATTTTAGATGGGTAGGCATTTGTGACGCCTTGTGTACCTTATCATTATCACGATTACGTTTACCAAGCGTGTGTGAACACATTTGCATAGGTTCCCCCCTCCCCCTTTTTTTAAATACTTTCCACTTTTTGTGTGAGAGAACGAATCGCGAGTGAATAGTATAATGCGCAAGGAAATCAACACGGTCGGAGGAGAACTTGGATATAAGCACTATCGTAAAATGTGTAACTGTTCCAGGATACGCGATCCAAAAAAAAACCCATGTCATTAATATTATAAACAAAAGATATATTTATATCGATTCAGTAGTATAAACGAATTTTACTTTATTCACATCGAAAGATCTCTTTTTTTTTTGTTTTCTTTTTTCTGTTCAGTAAGGAAGCCAGTTCAATAAAACGTATAGATATATCGTAAAATCGCCAAAAGAATGTACCTCTTAAAAAAACGCATCGGACGACACGCGCAAGCATCGGGAGTTGCACAAGAGACACGCTCTGTTATTTTCTAAGGAATATTTAAAAGCCCATTTTCTCTCTCGAATAACCGTAAAATTATATTTTTTATTTACTTTTACCTCGTATTTTATCTTCTGGAAATAAAATCAATCTATAATTGTCGAGTATATACACCCATTGTGATATTCATATTCAAAAGTTATCTCATTCGAACACTCTCTTTCTTTTTCTGTAAATCTTCAACCATCCACTCTTAATGCTACGAAGTATTGTTTTCATCTTTTTTCCTTTTACGTTGCGTATTACATGTATAAGTTGCCCGCAGACTTGTCACTTGTTTGCTTGCTCGTACGAAAACTCCCATTTCTTTTTTTTTTACAGCGTACAGCGATATTTTACAAGAACATACTGCACCACGCCAGTATAAAACAAAATCCCCCGATCGGCGTTGTCGCGCTGAATCGCCTGTTGTTGGTGAACGCGGTGTAGTAACAGCTTCCGCAGAACAGCAAGATCCCCGAGAGCATGAACGTCGCGGCCTACGACACAGATGTACACGTGAAATTATTTCAATTCCTCTCCTCGGGCACACGACTCTCGTCGCGGATTGATGACGATGGTTCAACTTACCACCGTTGGGAACTTGCACAACGGTAATCCGAGCAGGGCCAAAGTGTGTATGAAATGGTATCGATTCGCCGTTTCGAAGATGCGACGTTGCTCCTGCCCTATCTCGTCCTTGGAGTAATGTCCTGCCGGGGCGGAGAATTCGATTAAAATTCGACGGTCTTGACGTTCGATTTAAATTTAAGCCTCGCGTTCGCTTAACACGATTCAAAGCACGTTAAATTGTACACGTTAAGATGATACGGATGCGAAGTGTATATCGAGCGGATTCGATTACTTACGGTGGGATCCGATGGCGCCAAGAATCACGGCCGCCGCACCGCTGAGGGCCGCAAGTCTCACGTATGGACCGCTGGCAGCGGCTAACTTCCACAGAGGTACCGGCGCTGCCATTTTCACCGACTCGACTTTCTGCTTTCCTCCCAAATAATATGCTGCCTGACAGACCGTATCACTTTTATTAGTTTTCGCGAAATACAAATTACATTCTGTTCAAACGACATTAGATTTTTTTTTCCTTTACACTCAAAGCTACTGGCAGTTCGAGTGAGTTAACGAAAACAATTACTGCTACAACTACTTGGACTGCGTCCCGTTTTAACGCTTTTACACGCTGCTGCAGGTATATAATTTGTCCTCGTTTAACATTTGATTAATAAATATAAAATGATTCCGTGAGAGCGCTAAAAAAAAGCGTGAATACGGAACGCAGCCTTATTAGATTTTTATCAACCTTCTTTAATTGAATTTTCCCGGCCACCGAAAAAGATTACCATCAGTTACACTTAACAGCCATTTCAAACAGATGAAACGTTCAAGACTGCTTACGTAAATGCTCGTTATAATGGCAACGTACAACGTGACATTGCACATTGCGATATAAAGATGTAAAAAAAAAAATGTATTATTCATTAATGCTTGTGTTACACGATAATCATCGCGACGAAACAATCGATCTATTATCAATGCAATTAATTTCATTATTTTGCATTATTAAACGCAACAAACGAGCGTGATAATTTTTTTTACTGCAATCCTTGTCAATTGTAAAAAAAAACAGTGGCAAGGACTATTTTACATACATATACACTGCGTATGGATATATATATATTTTTTTGTGTGTGTGTGTGTGTGTGTGTGTGTAAAAAGAAGAGAAAGATTTGCATATGAAACTCTTAAACCTTGATCAGGCTGCAGCTAACTTAATCGATGATTTAATTCAACTGGCAGAATCGCTCTTACGGCAAGATTTCTAATCAAATAATTATCTAATCTTGTTCTACATCTTAAATAATCGATAATGCAACAATGCAAAAATTAATAATTCTATCCAAGTTAACAAAATAATAAAAATACTATTGACACAAGAAAGATTGAAATTGAAAGATTAATCACTGATTAAGCCAATCAAGATTTAGTCGAAGACACTCTTGCTCGTCTCATGCTTCAACTTCAGAATGTAATGGTGAATGAGTAATATTATTACGCGTATATGATGTGTATACGTACACACAAGAGTTAATATGCATGTGAATGATACGATAAGGAAGCATATGGAAGAGAAGTCACCTAATGCTTAGGAGAGGAGGTGAGGTTTAGGCAGGTCCGATTTGATGCGCAAGCTCTGCCGTTTTGCAAGAGAGAGACACTACAAGGCTAAGACCATGCGACAAGCTTACCGACGTGGCCGCGTTCCAAGCCCCCGCACTCGTCTTGTGAATAACATTATAGGGCATAGTGACCGCCGTGTACACAACGTCCTGCAAGCCCATCCTAGGTCCACTGCGCACACGGACGAGGACGAAGTCGAGTGTTATAATTTACGTACGTACATATGTACATTGAGACAACGGTGATCCGGTGCGGCCGCATTCGCGACGACGACGACACGCGCGAGCGTGTCTCCCGCGAGGCTTCAAGCGGCCGAGCCTCACGCGGCGTTCATCTGCGTTTATCGCGTGAACGTATATGTATGTATACTTATGTATGTACCACGAGCTTTGAGCGGTAAGAAGGCAACGTGCACCGTTGAATGCAAACGCACTGGACACCATTCGGTTACTCCGATCATCTGATGTGTACTCACCACTGCTAACTCGATCACCGCTCTCAGTTGTCTCAAACGGTCTCGAACTCGCTGCGAACCGCGACCTACGTGCACATCACTCACCGGCAAACAACAAACCGACGGGGAATCGGCGCCATCTTGAAATATCGAACTCGAATTCGCACGTCATCAGCTGTTTTTCGCAGCTGTGTGTGTGTGTCTCATACAAGACTCGATTTAAGTTAGGAACAGGTCTGTAACTTCTATATAAGGCCTTAGGACGAGATCTCTGTAGGTTGACCTTTTTCTTCTTGGGACGTCAGCTTCCACGAGGAGCTATACAACCTGTGTTAAAATACAACTGCGTGTTGAAGAGAAAAAGAGGAGAGGCGGAAGGAGCACTTTTTGTTTAAATAACAAGCAAAGAATTTATTTTTCATAGTTGAGCTTGTATTGTTTCTTTTTTTTTTCTTTTCAATTGTTATCAGAGCTTATAGCTGATCGAAAATATGTTGGATACGCAAACAACAACAAAAGTTGTGATAAGAGTCCAAAAATAAGTATAAAACTTTTTATACTAAATATTTCAAAAGTATCACTAATTCATATAAATGTCAATGAGAAAGAATGTTGAAGATCAATTGGTCATATTTACAAATCTCACTTAATATTTCAATCTTAATTTATCTATTCTCACCGTGTAATTTTATATAAAAACATATGATAGAAAAATATTATTTGTCAAAAAAATCGTTCTTGTACTAATATGTCACATGTACTTAGTGACCGTCACGTACAAAAAATAGATATGTATAGCGTTATACAGTCACATTAAAAAAAGCAATGTACAATATTTTATATGTAATTTATATATATATATATAAAATATATATATAACTATATATGATTATATATATATATATATTGTATACATATATAATTTATACATAATGAACGTAAAATACTGTTAAACGTTGCTAGTTTGCAATATTGTTCGATTTTCCACTTGCATGTAGAATTGTTCTCCGAACCACTCCCTGTGCATTTCCAGGTAACTGCAAAAACATATTTGCGTTATTAATACATTTTCATCACGAGTTTGCGATTTAAATACAAAAAGTCATCCCGTCACATACCTTAAAAACATATCTAAATATTTCAAAAGTACTTTCAATTTTTTGCTTGATATATCCGCGGACTGCAGTAACTCAGGTAACTTAACTGAAATTAAAGAAACGCATTATTTCTTCGTCACGTAAAGGTTTTAATAGCTCTGCACGTGCGTCACGTGCTGCTCTCGTAAAATAACCAAGACTTACCAAATAATCTAGTTAAGTGAATGGCACCGTAGTAAGTGGAGGGACTTGGAATTTCAATTTGCCTCGGCACCTGAGGCATTAACCTCCACTTATTTGACTGTTGAAGTAAACTGTTTACTTGAGCGGATGTAACAACAGGCGGCATTCTTAGCGTTACACCTCGCGGGCTAGAACAACGGGAACTTGTACTTGCTATGCTACTAAAACAAAACAATCATAAAAAAAAACGTTATATCTAATTTCAAAAACAAAGGAAAAATTCAGAGAAAGAAGCAAAAAATTCATCGGTTACCACATGCGAGAGAGAATTTCGAGAGAAAGAAAAGAGAAACACTCCCGTAAGCAAGAGTTGTCGGAAATAAACTTAGTAACTCAATAAATTTTCTGTGACGAGAGAAGTTCGAAGCGCATTAGTTTATTACCTCGACAAATTGCCACCGTCCTGCTTGACTTCGTCGTAGGACCTCAATTGTCGGCTCTCGTCGACCGAGCTCACGCGACACGATCGCAATCTTCGCTTGGAATTGTTCGACGGCTTGTCCACCTCCAACTCGTGCTCTTGAAAGGGTGGCAAATGAGCGTATTCCGTATCCTCGAATTCGTCTTTCGCGGATATTTCTAAATTTCTTGCAACACAGACGTTTACTTTATTAAACACAGACAGCGCGGCTCTCGATAAAATTCTTAAAACCAAGTTTCAAATCCAATTGTCATCGATATAAAAGAAAATGCAGAAATTTACTCAATCGAGTCCTCCTTTGGGGCCGCGGTCGTTTGTTCGTTGCTTAACAGGGAAGATTTCAGCGAGGAATACTGCTCGCTTTCCTGCCTGTACAGCAGGATATGAGGTAACGTGAAATCGAAGTATACGCGCAAGCCGTCCGCGACTTCTCTGCATAGGTTCACTTCATTCAATGTTTTCTCTACTGTATTATTCGTTTTATTCCGCTGCGGCTTCTCTGGAATATTCGTCAGCTGCGTCGTAGTGAAATGCTGCACCCAGGATTCCAGAATATTTATCACAGTAGGTTGCGCGGGAAGTACAACGAGCTAAAATAAAAATATCGGTGATATACCTGCGTGATATTTGCCTCAATCGTGGAAAGATTATTAATGTAAATCTTTTTTCGTATAAATTTTCATTTAGACGTAAAAATTAGATAAAATGTAAGCAATTGTAGTTCTTGATTGTTTTTAAAATATAACTTGCATTGATAACGTTTATAGGTACAGTCTGTACCTATAAATCTATTGATCTGGAAATTAACTACTGACTTACCTTATTTTTATTAGTTATCAGGTCATAATCCTGCTCTAAAATCCGTTTTAATGTGCTACCTATGTCAAGATCGACCCCTGGTTTTACGCTGGCTCCAGACTGGCTGCCACCGCCGCTGTCTTCATCGTCGCTCGTTTCGCCCATATAATCAGAACTGCTCTCTGTATCTTCTTCCGTGTTCACTTCCTGCAGTTGAATATGTAATTTTTATAAATATTGCTTTATCGCTTCCGTAATCCTTGATCCAACATAATAGGTATGTTCGCCTTTTACATAGTGGGACAAATGTTAATGATGCTTATGCGACAGCCATCAATCAATTTTCTATATTACGAACATAGCATAAATTCTTTAATTATTGAATCAGTTCTTTCTTCTTTGATTGCATTATAACATTTTTTCAAATGTCTGATCAATTTCGCTACGATTTGTATTGAAAATTGGAGGAGACATTTACCTCCGTATCGTAATCAGCGTGCTGGCCCGAACTGCCGTCCTCGGATGATCCGGTCGTAGCCGACGTGGCACGGCTGCCGCCGCTTCTCGCCCTACGGCGGGGCTCTTGATGTTCCGTTTCGGTCAAACGCTCCGACATCTTGTGACTTCTCTTCTTGCGTTCGCGGCGATACAAATAAGCTCCCCTATTTTGTAAGGAAATAAAAATTATTATAAATAAAAATTATATATCAATTCACAATTAAGCGTATTAAGTTTGTACAATGTTAGAGCAACTTCAGGAAAATACGTACAGCTGAAGCTGCGCTTTTTGCGCTAGATCCCGCTGAAGTTGGCGATTCTCCTCCGTATCCTTGAGCACATATTCCTCTGTCACGCAACGGTCCCAAGACGAATTCCAACCCTTGCACAATGAAATACATTTAAACACTTCCACAATGCGCTTCGACATGCGATTAGAGCAGCTTTTTAATTCAAAACACTTTTCAAACTCACCTGGAAGTGTATGAGGTACTCCACCGCTTTTCTGCCCCTTTGGTCTTTATTTACAATGACATCGAGCACCTGCAAACGATAATTGTCTCATTTAACTACCGCGCGCGATCGACGAAGTTACCCCACATCTCTAACCAAACGATACAAATTTATTTCTCATACATTTCGTACGATCCTCTCAAACTGCAACTATTCGTATAGTCTATAGGTTATACCTCCTCCACTTTTGCAATCTGTGCTTCTTGATGCAATAACTTATAATCTTTCTACGCTAGGCTTGACATCCGATTTGCATTCTACACTTATATTTGCATATGTACAGCAAAACGTACTACTGTTAAAGAAATGCAAATCGAATGCAAAGTGTATGTATATATATGTCTAGCCAATATATGTAGATAACGTATACGCCTCACCTTCGAGTCGTACAGCACCTTCGCCTTCGTCGGATCCGGCTCGTAGCACAATACCTTCTCCCCGTCGGAGAATTTGAATTTCGGCCCTCGCGTTGACACCATTGTAAATATTTGACGGAACGTAAGGGACGCAGGTATTTAAAATACATAAATCGTCAGAGCCATAACCTTTATGACATTCGGCCAGAACGGAGCGACGTCTGTGTATTATGGTGACGCTTGGTGTACGTTGACTGATATATATATGTGTCGATTCTCGGGTGAACTTTAACTTTCACAACCCGCTCGCCACTGACAAATCGAACTGATTATCGCTCAATTTTTATCGTCGCCTCTGAAAGAGTCCTCCCGGCACGCTTATTGTGACATTTGCGTGCATCGTACCGTACATACTAACATACCTCCTCCCGGCTCCTCCCCCCCCCCCCCGGCCTAGCCGCTTCTGACGCAGGAACGCCTTAAGCCCGTGTCACACCTACGCATTCGAGAGCGAGGATTGCGAATTTAGAATTCGACCAAGCGGACCTTTAATCCTCAACACGGCCGTTTTGCTCTAATTGGTCGAATTCTCCAATTCGCAGTCTTTAATTGTCTTAAATATTTGCACAGTTTGCACACGCATTTAGGAAACGATCTCACGACAGTCAATGAATTTTCGGAAATAGAAAAACAGAATTATGAACACAGAAATTATGTAAACAGAAATTTAAATTTCTCTAAAATAGAGGAGCTATTTTTTTGCAGTCTTCTGCATTTTATATACATATTATGGACGCAGGGCATTTTTTCCCACTCAATCGCACGCACATTTCCCATCTGTGATTTAAAAAAAAAGGCGGAGAAATTTATAAAACAGAGAAAACGCTCGGTTCAACTGAAAACAGAGGAAAATTCAAATGTAATATAATATAAATAAACGAAATAAAATAGTTCTATAATAGCGGAACGATAGAGCGATGAAGATAATAATAAAATGTGTTTTATTAAAACATCGTTAATCTTTCAGTATTTTATTTATTTTTTTTATCTCTACATAAATTTATCATCATATATTAAAACTTAAAGTCATCGATCTTGCGTCTAAAACTGTACGTAATTTGTAACATATTTCTTTAAATAACTTCCATCTATTACATTTACATATATATACCTTTTCTTTCATATATTTTCTATTAAATAAACATACATATATGTAATATATATGTTTGATCCATTTATCTGCCACTATAATATCTCTCTTCATTAATTCTAAACATAAGTTTTCGCTATAGAAACGTCGTTTTATATAAGAAATAAAAAGGAATCTACAAACAGAATATTTTTTATTTGTAATACGTCATATGTTCTCTTCGTAAGATACGTTTGAACGTTCAATTGAAAAATAGAACTTTCAAGTAGCGAACGAACGGAAGAATAGATGCTTGCAATATTTATCGTCAATACGTGGAACAATAGCAATACTGAAACTAAGATCGAAGTGCGAGGCGACAGAGAGATGAATTGGTTTTTGCATGAACTGATAGAAATGGCATGCACATTTGTTGAATTCGTTCGCTATTTCCAAGACAATAATATTGAGATCCAAGCACATTTCAATTTGCGATACGCAACGCATAGTTCATATTACGCGTACTTAATTTACGTCAATCTAATCACAGAAAGCTAGTTTTGATTGTGCCACACATCGATTCCGTGCAAGTAATAATTTACGTAAGATTATCTAACATTCGTCAAGCAAGAGATTGGCACAATTACGGACACAAGTGGATCGGAACTAATCGGGAAAAGTACAGTAAAAGTTATAATTTTTAACACCTATCAAAAGGATCCGATTCCTACCGTCATCTCTCAACTAATGTCCGCTTAGATGTTTCCACATATTACACGGCAAGGCAAATTAGATATTAATTAATTATAGTAGCCTGGCCATATTTTCATCAATTATATAATACACCACAGAATTGTTCCACTACACTAATACAAACAGTAATACAGACACAGATCCATTTCTATTTATTAATCATACTTTCCAGCTAGTAGAAATGACGATTGATAAACAGAAATCGATTTTGCCTGAATAATCATTTTTATAAATAATCTTTTTCTCTCACTATGTGTGCTATATATATGGGGCATAATTCTTTGTCAAGTCGGCCACCCCTTCTGTCCAAAATTCAGCTCAATCAAAAAATTTCTTCTAGATTCCGATAATAATATAATTAAAAAAAACGATTTATATAAAATATAAATACAAATAACTTTATTTGAATATAATCTAGAGATAAATGACTAATTGTTTATTTTACAGCCGCTAAACAAATATATCCGACACGAAGAGAAGAAAGCATAATGCTAAACTCCTAAATAGAACCGTTATCCCAACAACATCAACGACAGTACATGTATGTAACGTAGAAATACATTAGTAGGGCATTTTTCCCTTATACATAGCAAGAAACATTATAATTTAACAAAACGGATGCCTTTCATTGAAACAAAGATTACTCATAGAATTATTAACATTTCTCATATAAATTTTACATAAAAGAATAAAACGCATTATGCATATGTACAAAACGAGAGATTCGTTTCTACTGCATCGGATTTCAAATGCAATTACAGTAATTCGATTACGAATAGAAACTACTGAGATCTGCGTATTATAAGTAAAGATATATTTCATTTAAATAGAATATATATTACATAAAAATATCATTTGGTTCTCTTGGTCTATATCTTGTAATACCTAATTGAAAAACAGGCGGTTTTTTTTTATATAGAAAATGGAGAAAATTTTGCAATAAATGCTATGTATAACACTGGATCTTCATTATTTTCTTTGGTTCAATTTTCTTTTTTAGAAAAAAATATCTCATATTTCCAGCTATGCCGCAGTTTAATATAAACTATCGCATTCGACAGAAATTCAACTATCTAATGGAATGCACGAAAATAGTTAAAATTATGATAGACCTATCCAACTGATTACACTCTTAGGCCAGAGTTAATCACAGTAGCATATTACAACTTTTACTCCGATATTTGTGACTTGTGCATTACAATTCTAATGTATAAATAAAAGTATTTTTAATAATACGAGATCCATAAAAGATCGATTATATTAAAGAAATGCTCTTTTTCTCTAATATCGAAATTCATCTCTTTTAATAAAAAATAAAATAAAAAAATAAGATTAGCAAAAATCTCTATCTCATCTCTGGCCACGTTGATTTTCAATTAGACAGTACTATCATTATCATATGACCCTTATACGACTATAAATTACAAAATAAACTTCGTCACAGTTTAACAAATTATTACAATTACAATTATTTGATACTGATGGCATTGTCATCTGTGTATAACGTCTGCTGAAACATTAGAAAAGACATTCGGAGAATCTTTTCTAATATTTTCTGTTAGATAAAAATAATCCCTGCAGCAGTTTCACCATTAAATATTTTTCAACTTAAAAAAATATTAATTTTAATTAAAATATTTAATTTAGCATACCCCTATGTTCCAATGAATCTCTTAGGGTTTGATATATTTGCAGCTGTAGCTCTGGCTTGAGGCTGTAAACCTAAATCGGAAGATATATATGTTATTAAAAGAATTTTGCCTACTTATTCCTTGTCATATTAATTTATAATCCGAAGAAAAGATTAATATTGATAAAACTTACATATAACAAAACTTGTTTACCTGCTGTAATAATTTTTGAGGCGAGGCTGTGTGAATAAATGAAGAAATATAGACATTCACGAATGTTGCCATTAAATACTGACAGTCAAACCTATCCATTATCCCACCATGGCCGGGAATTACATCGCCGAAGTCCTGCAAAGCCGTACGAAGGAAAACAAAACAGTTGCGCAACAACATGTAACGCGTAAAAATTTACAAATCAATTAACGTAATACTCAATAAATTACCTTGATCTTAAACGCTCGTTTAAATCCGCTAGCGAAGAATCCTCCAAACGGGCCGATTACAGAGCTGAATATCGACAACGACAACGAATGTAGAACGAATGGATACAGCGTCAAGGTGGGCTTCCCATTTAACTGCACACATTGAAAAAAATGATCGACCACCCACGCGAACGACAAAAAATAGTCTCTAACAATAAGGATCTGTCACCATTCTTGACATCACTTGAAGACTGCTTGGCAACGTATACTCTTGCGGCTGAAATAAGCTCGACGGTTCGCAATCCATAGTCATCCTTCCGAGAGCTTCGCTGTACTCGATAGGACAGACGAAATAGCGATACTGGCACATGACGTAGGACATCTAAATGACAATACTACATCAGCACACAGATAATCGACCGTTATAGATTTCCGTTTGCACGAAACACATTACCTACCAGTAATCCAAGTATGACGGTCGAAATACCGCCACCGATGAAGCCCTCCCAAGTTTTCTTCGGGGACAATTTTATCAGTGGTGTGCGACCGAAAAAGAAGCCGAACATGTATGCCATCACATCGTTTATAACAATCATACTAACAGGTACAATGAACCTGAGGACAATCGGCGTACAATTAATGAAATGACTATATATTTCTTTTATTATATACGGCATAATATAATTATGAGAGAAAATGTATGTACCATATTAATCCTTCGAATATATTCTGGATGATAAGATAGCTCTGCGTAACAACAATGAGTAACGCGACGTGCGTCCAGGCGAACAGGGAAAACTGCTTCATGTAATATTTTTTCACGAGTGAGAGTACAAACCATACGAAGCCAACAATGTAAAGACAGAATGAGACAAACCGATGGTATGTAACGAGCACACGTAGATATCCCTAGAGACAAGAAAAATTTTAATTATTACCCGCATCACGCACGTGTCACGCGTGTTAATAATATGCACACTATCTAACACATTTTTCAAATATTGTTCTTATCATTTTCTTTTTTCTCTATCATGCCTACATTAAATATCTTTAATAAAGAAGCCTCACAGAATGATGAAGCCATAACAAAAGTATTGAGAGGCAAGACTTGTCGAGGCTTTGCTATTGATTTAAACTAATGCTATTGATGATATATAGATGCGTTTTACAAATGGTCTTTTCTCTTTCTGCAAAATATCACAGGTAAGTAGTAACGGCGAAAGTTTTATACGAGCACTGTAACTTGTATAAATTACACGACTTTATAAGAATCGATATTTCTATTTTTT